AAACTACTGCAGCAGTTTTCAATGTCATGATACTGCGGACCGTGTTGAATTTAATTTCGCTTTCAGAATGAACCTTGAATACCACTTAGGTTTGAACGAAAGTATTCTGCAAGTTTAAGTAAGACCACATGAATCACTAGAGAAGCGAACATTAATATTCATCTGCTAAACCGACGGATATTTTCTGACGTCATTTTTTCGAATAGAGACAGTGTAAAAATGAAAAAGATAGACAATGAGCGAGCGCTTTGATCGGAAAACAAAGACATCTCCCGATTCAGTTTTCCGACACCTGTGCGTATTGTGTTTTTCTGGCTCATGAAATATTGGATAAAATCAAAAACAAAAATTTTAGCAATCACTTGTCTTTTCGAGCGTGCGTAGAAAACTTTACCACAAAACCGCGAAAACTGTATTGCGGTTTGTGTACCTAGGCGTTGCTAGGAAACTAAAGGACAGTGTACTCAATGTTGTTTTTTTAATATACTGCAATACGGCTGCCTTTGTTACTAGACCATGTTTTATATATAGGTAACTACGTTCAAGAATATGGGCATCCTGAACGCGCTCATAATATCCAGTGTAATTATCTAAATAATAATACATATGTATGTACATTATTATATCGTTTGCGAGTTAGCCATTCACGTTCCGTGGCTATCAATAATATTATCTAATTAATTTTAGCAGTAACGTCTCTAGCGATCAAAATATTCTTAAATTCTTTCAATCATCTTCATCAAAATAAATCTTATCATAGGTTTAAAGAACACCCATTAAATAACGTTGTCTAACAGTAAAAACCCATTAAAATATCGGGAGACATTTGTTAGGTTTACAAAAGACGTACTGGCTGTTCTTTGGGAGCGTTGTCTAATTCAATCCTTTATATTAGTTATACAAAAGATTTAGTAGATGATACAAAGTTTGATTTTCTATTTAGTTGTTACTTACAGTATAAACTACATTGTTGGCTATTATACCAAATCTGCTGGCGGGTATTAAACTTGGGACTGATCTCCTTTATTATGCTACTACTCAGGAATCAAGTTTATAAACTTACCAGTTACCACAAGTAGCCGTAGTCGATACCAAGATACATTATTAAATTATACGGTGCCTAGTTGCTTGACCTCTTATTATTTTTGGAGCGTAATAACTCGTAAACCTATATTAATATCACATTGAAGCTATATTGACAGCTAATAAAACAGTATGAGCTCAGTAGCGACGTAAATTCCTCATGACCATGGAGTGGAGATCTCTCGACATACGAATGAACGCTTAAACGGCCATAAGTCTTACGCGTTTATTCGCAAAAATAAGCCAGCAAACCGTAAAATAAATTATGCAGCAAGAATCTCACCGAGAGTTATCCGATAACAGGGTTTAACTGCCACACAATTATGAATCCGTATTTTCTTCAAAGAAAATGCAGTCAGAGATCATCAGATCCCATCTTAGAAGAAGTTATCTAAAATCCTATTTTACTTTGGAAAAAATCTCATTAGTCGTGAGCCTTATTTCTATTAATTTAAAATGTTAGGATTCTATTGAAACTTATGAATATTCTTACTGCATTTTTACTCAGACATTTTTCTTTTGGACTTTTTGTCTATATTTTTTACATTTGATAGAATGGTTCTATATCTAAATGACGAACGCGGGCAGAGAAAGCACCAGACAGAGCGCTAGACTGTTAGACGCCGTACTTGTATTGTCGTACATATACATGTCGCTTGAGACCATTGTTTGTAGCTAGCTGACTTCGATATTTAGAATTTTTGTTAATATAATATTATTAAATAGATAAATACAATTAAAAATATTGTTCGACTAAACGCAATTAAATCATCATTTAATGATTAAATTAAATCATAAATAGTTTTATACAAAATAATCCTTAGACTGCATACTGAACTGCGTAAATCACTGAACCAGATTAAAGGTGACAGGAACCAGTATAAAGGACAGGAATGAGTAATGAAATGACAATGAACAGTCTTCCCCGTGGAGGGTAGGTGAATAAACTGCATTAATGGGGCGTCGCGACACATCGGCGCCAACTCCACGCGTGTCAAATAATATGTAGGTATGTTATGTATACGTACAAATACATATTTATGAAAACATCACTATCTATGAATGAACCAAATAAGTCGTATAGGTATTAACTAAGAATTTACACCCGTGAGTGTCTAGTACCTTCTTGTAATTGGTTCTAAATTAATAAAACCTGATGTTGTATAGTTATTTTGGCACAGTTTTTATTAGAACTTTCCTATTTTCTCACTGTGTTGCCTTGCGCTTTTGAAAACAATTAAGTTATGTCTACGGAGCAAGATAGTACGTTGTCGTAATTAGATATAATTACAGGTACATTGTTTCCTACAAAGAAAACACCATTTTAACAGTTAATTAATTTACGAGTTGAAATGTTGTTCTCAGTTTTTCCAACAAGCGCTAGAGGGGAGCAAAGTTTATAGTCAGTGAAATGAATAAATTTTAGAAATATGTAAGGTAGTTAATAATTCACATGGCATTTCGAATAAGGTTCGGTTATTTGTAAGGCGGAATAGAATCGGCAGTGGGTCTCGTACCGCAGTGTTATGTAACAGACTGCCGCTCGATATAGACTGTACCTACTACATGACGGCGGCGCGATGGCTACCGGCTGACGACGTCTGGTCATGCCGGCTGTTATCCTACAGGGCTCTACGAAATCACTGTTCAATTGTTTAACCACATCTTGGATGTTTTTACCGATGCACGATAGCCCGCCCCCCTCATATCGCTCGGTTCCTTTTCATTTGAAACTTACTGTTTTATCATATCCCTTTATTGTTAGTTTACGTAAGTCGTCAATTTATTATAGATTTTGACAACTTTTTATAATTTATATCACTATTCGCATTCCTTCGACGGTTGGGACACCCTCTTCTATGTTTTTGGTAGTATTAAACACTGTGAAATAATTCGTTTTCGCCCCGCGGCGATACAGCTTGCCAATACGAGTACTTTCAATGTATTTATAAAGTAAAAACAGAAATAATAGATGTCATTTTTTTAGTTTAAAAGAATTTTCATGGAACTAAGCACATAAAACACTACACGTAAATTTGTAGGCATTATTCGCATCACGCGACGTGTCATCCGACGAGAAATACCTCTTCGAGAATTACATGGCGTGATGTTTTGATAATAAAATATAAGTTCGTATGCGCTTTCGAAGTTTGCTTTTTTACTGGTTCACCAGTTATTTTTTACTTTAAACATTTTATTTCCTTATAAAACTGTTGTATTATCAAGACAGAAAGAACTATTTTACTTGGAGGCGATAACGAAATAGATTTCTCGGTGTATATTTCTCTCTTCCAAAGAAAGACAAGAAACTACTCAAAATATTCTTTAGAAAATTAATGTATTCTATTTGGTACCGAATCTAGTTGTAAATAAGCAAGCGAAGAATGTATAAATAAATGAAGATTGTAATAGTTTTTTGTACAAACGCTGGGAAATTAAAATACGTTCAATTGCGTAAAACGCTCTTTGAATTGTTATTATAATTAATAATTATGATACACGCAGGTATGGTGTACTACGCAACATTCTATAATGCATTGTTAATACCTTAAGTTGAATCAAACGTTACGAGAGACTGGAGCAAAGCTTAACAGAGCTTGAATCATCAGCTCAGTGAGATATTAGAACGGACGGAACAGACCGAGGGCTATCGCTAAAGGCACACGATCATCTAATATTATGTAGTACTTTGGTTTCGCCCGCGTTCCCGTGGAATAAACAGCTTATGCGCTATTCCAGATTATAATCTACCCTTGTTCCAAAATTTATATTTTTTTATAGGATAAGCCGTTAAATGAGCAGACCGATCACCTGATGGTAAGCAATCGGCGCCGCCCATAGACACCTAAAACACCAGTTACAAGTTTGTTACCAGCGTTTTGGAAAAAGAGAATTTGAGGATTGTTGGAGATTCGGGAATTGAGGAGACTAGGGAGGGGGGGCGGGGTAATTGGGCCTCCGATAACCTCACTCACAAACGAAAGTTTAAATAAGCGTTGTTTCACGTCGGTTTTCTGTGAGGCCGAGGTATCACTTCGGTTGAACCGGCCTATTTACAAACACACATACACGCATACATCCTCACAAACTTCGCATTTATAATATTAGTAGGACGAACACTATATGAATTTTCATCAATCTCTGCCGCTGAACTGGCAACTAGTTTTGAAAACGTTTTGCTAGCAAGTAAAGTGGGTATTATTTCGAGAAGCCGAAGTCTGCTAGTCCTAGATTACGTTTAGCAAACACTCCGCGGTGTAGTGTACAGTGCGCTTAACTTACTTAGAAGAGGTTTTGAGCGTAGTCGCCTCATATTGCGCATCTTAATACTTGAGACGTAACTTTGTCACAACTGGTTGTTACCTTAATGCCTTTCCGAAATATAAGCACTTATTTGTATTAATATAGTATTAATGTATTGTTCGGAACGATCTATATTTGGAGCTCGTGTAGTATAGTATAAAGGCATTTACTTTAAAGTTTTATCAATACATTCGTGCCGATAGGGGCAGCTCTCGGGACCTGCTTGCAGTCTGTATATAATTCATTTATTTCACGCCGCAGTGTTGTGCAACCTACATTCTGCTGATATCAATAGATGAAAATAATACCTATGCAGTTTTGTCCTAGCTGTCACTTCCCCGAGTAGGTGTAGTTAATTAATAAAAAGTACTTACTTAAAAACTTAGAACTGAATTACAAGAAAATTAAAAATTAATTAAAATATTTCGACTATAGAATAACATAATAATAACGGTGGTTAACTACTGACTTCCAGACTTCCTTACTTGACGCCTAGATAAAAAAGCCCTGCGCAGCACCCACTCGAGCGTGTATAATAACAATTTTCAATAGACAATTTGAAATTGATTTTCCAAACTTAATTTGTTTTAATAAATTGTTTCTTTTGTCACAAGCTACCTGTACCCAACAATGGACGAGTTGGCAAACCAGCTCAACTACGTGCTTGGCCACTTCGGGATCAAGACGTTCATCGGATTCGGAGTCGGCGCTGGCGCCAACATCCTCGCGCGATTCGCTCTTGTGCACCCACAGAAGGCAAGTAATGTTGTGTAAATGATTTCCAATACCAATAACTTTATAGTTATTACTTAAATACTACATCACACCTCTTCTCGTTACTACTGTTACCAAAGAACTTGACAAACTAAAAGACAGAGTGTGTGGTGGGTTGCTTTATGCAATGCCTTTCCCTTAACATTACATGACTGAATAAATAACATTGAAAGAGTACCTGCTTGAAATCTGAACAAGCACTTCGCGAAGCTTATAACTTCAGTAAAAACTTGCCACTTTTCCTTCGTCAAAAGTAGCAGCACTTTATTATTTCTGGGTGTAAAGCAAAGAACACCGACAGGTTTTTATTCAACACCTCCGTTTTATAAAGTGCAAGATTAACAAGCAACCATTATTTGTAAGCTGTTTTCCACGGTCGCTGTTCCGTGACAGAAAGCGGTGCGAAGAACTTCCATCAACATCTTATGAAGCTCTCGCTCAGTAATTGGATTGAGAAGCTGATAAAGAAAGTGGTAACGGCCACGGCGGGAAACTCAACTGCTTTACACGACACTCACTATCGTTTACTTACAATATTGTTTTCTACAGTAGACATATAACATAGATACTATGTTTTTCTTTTTATTGAAAAATATTTCTTTTAAGCACTGCTTCGTGAAAGAGGCAAAGGAAAAATTGTAAAGAAACTAAGCTCTTTGAACGGCATGTAAGCCGATGTGTAGAGAAATAATGTCCTATATCGCTATTCAAAGAAAAGGCTCTCGCTGTACTCGTAGCACATTTGAATGCAGTAAATACTCCGTACATTCTAGTCGAGAGATATTGGAAACGTATACATCAGGAGTGTTTGTTGTCTGTTTGCCGAGCACAACTCGGCTATGCACCACTCAGTCTACCATGGCGACGTAGCTCTTATCCGCTGACTGTGTATGTTAGCACTAAGCCCCTTAGTCCAACCAAATGCGGTCGAAACTCCTGATATTTATGTTGCTACCATCGATATTTGTTTGCTGCTCTAGTTTTTAAAACGTTTACCTAATCAGCACCTTACATTTTAATATATTTGGTAACACAACATTTCAATTGCTAGTAGATCTATAAAGCAAAGTCGCGCTGTTAATTCTTTCTCTAATTGTGTTTTTAATGAAGATTGGGAAACTTTATTTATAAAGCACTTACCTCTCACTGCGTAGTACCAAGAACTTGATAAACTCAATCCTGTCGTTCTACTAGTGTAAATACTTACGAGGTAGATAAATAAAAACGAGTGAGTAACCAATCAAGGCAGTCACAACCTCGGCGGCACGAGTAGTGTTGTGGATTATGCTCACTCCAAGCCTCCAAGGTGATTCTCGTTGAGACGAACAGCGAACACGGGCGAGGCGGTGAGTGATCGCTAATCACACAGACACAAATAGGTCGCGCACGGAACACGTCCGCTGTGGAAGAATTGCACAGAAATCCGCTATTATTTACCTTCCACTTCAAAGGTGCATTTCCTTTCAACGTTTCACTGTGTACACTCGGGTACGGACGTTCTTTGGTTTAGTAATCCAACCAATCCGCTTTGCAACCCGCTTTTCTTTTTAGCCGTAATCCCCCATGTCCTTCCTTCTTCATTACTTTTTTTCTTTTGTATTGATTTGTCAATGTAAACGTTTGTTTTATAAGCCAAACACGGTATGCCTTTTAACGTAATTGAGAGGTTTTTGGAAACCACTGAAATATTTATAGCATTGTTTTGTTTTTAGATCTATGAATCTAAATACAAGAAAGCATACATGGTATGTGTATCGTCCAGTTAAAGATTTTATTAACGACAGCAAACTGGTTTGCTTGTGGTGTTAAATTATACACCGTTGAAAACGTTTCAATAAAATATCATGTAATATTTAAACGAGTTACATGAATAAATAATATGGTTTCATGATCGTGACGTACCTAATTTAATATTCTTACGTAAAACATAAGGTAGACACAATCATTTAAATCAAGTGTACTAAATATGACAACAACATTAAATAAAAGGTAAAAGAGGACAGTGAAACCGCTCTTCAGGTGAACTCACACCAATAAATACAGGGCGATAGCTAACACGTAGTAATGATAGCTAACATTGAATATGTTCCCTACTCCACTAAATGAACAGGTGGTGTTTCACGCACAGTAAACAGAGCTCTTATCTAAAGGGGCTACGTGCAACGCGTAGGTACGTCCACACCATGTATTTATTTTCCCCGAACGGACTGGTTGAGTCCTCATTAAGTCCTTATTGATCCCCACAACAACGCGTGGTTTGTTCTAAATACGACGTGACGTTTCTTTCGCACACTGATCATTCAACGTAGTCTGTCTCAGAATTGGCACAATCTTTCTTTTGCTTTCTGCAGTTATGATGATTATTTTTATTGACATTGGTCTTTACTTCTTCAACTATGATTTGATTGTCGTAATGAATAACTTTGAAAGAACTTTTTTTCAACTTCTACCCGTTTTGAAGAGTTGTAATCTAACCTACATGGATTTATTTTATATGGAACCTACACCTTCTCCTTACTATATTTTAAATTATGGTAATATAATAAAACTTCGGTAATAAAGATTATTATAATTAATGATTGCAGAACTTTATCAGCACAACATACAGTAACTAGATTATTACAAATACTTGTGTTATAGAAAGTCCAATACATTTCGCCTCATGAGACAGTCTAGTTTCCGTTGTTCGTATTAAACTTTTGCTTGTTCGCATAGACGTACATTGAGATATAATACAATGTATTGTGGATTGCCCAGACAGATATTCCCTTACTTGATATCTTTTTCGCGTTTGGAATCGCAGACGAAAGCTCTATGATTTGAAATGTTTATACAAACAGTCTACGTCGAAGGTACTTTGAAGTATAATATTATTGATGCCGACTATAAATGAGAGAATAACATAACATTTCATTATTTATGTTCTGTTACCACGTACCGTTAGATAGAAATTATAATTTCTTCTTATGTAATAGAAACAATTTCATTTGTGGCACTGGTATTCTTCCTATATAGCACAACAAGTTTTCTCTTAATACGACTTGATCCACAGAACCTTCTCTAAATCTACAGCACTCGACGTGTCTAACGCAAAAGAAATAAAATATCAAATCTTACCGATACATAAAAGTGTATCTCATTTGCAACGAACGAAACACTTCATTAAGTCGATGAAAACACACAAATGAAGGTCACCGGAGCCAAGGCCTTTATGTAGTGCGATATCAAGGTGACAGCCGCAGTGACAACACTTTACAGGGGTATCAATTACCCCAATCAATATAACCTACAACCTCTAATTACTGGGAATACTGAGGGAACCTCACTTTTGTCTCGCCACTTCGTTAGGAAAGCACTACGATGTATTCAATCAATCAGATTCTTTTTGATAACTGTAGCGTGAGGATTACTTTAATTCATCGTAATTACTGCATCAACTTAATTAGTACGGGAGTGAACCAGCGAAGGTTATGTTTGAAGAAACGCAATTTTCGTGTATTTCAATATATTACTGGTTAGCTATAATTGGAAGATTTTCATGTAAGATACCTCTAGAAATTGACAGATGTGTGAATATAGTACAACATGGATGTGAAGCAAATAATAGGTAACTACTCTTCTTAAATAGGTACGAGTGATAAGTATTGAGTTATCATGGGACCCTGCGACAGGGGACAATTTTATTATATCCAATTATTAACAAGTGTAAAGGAATAACGCTTCCATTAATTGCGTGCCAGTGAACTATTATGTACGACTGAATAATAAATAACTGGTGCCATGGGTGTAATGTAGATTTCTGGCTAGTTTTCAAATGGGTTTAAAAACCTCTTTATTTTGAAGCGGAATTAACTTTATTCCGTATAAATCAAAGATTTACTTTTTATGCTGTCTGGCTTGTGTCAACCATTTATTTATTGGTTGACAGTATACTTTTAAGTTTAAGCACTGCTTTTGAACACACTGTAAATATGTACCTATTTATGGCCAATACTTCCTTCTTTGTCTAATCTCTAAGCAGAAAGTGCCATGGCCTATGCCTAGCAATCCTTTGCAAGGCCTCATGCAAAACGGAGGCGGTAACAATATAAACGTTAAAACCTGTTTGAATGAAAATAATAAAATTGGAGTCCTCCTTTTGAGGGGAGAAAATGGTCGTCGTGGTTTTTAGCAAGAGTCTTACTGACAAAAACCACGAACGAAGCAGCGGGGACGGCCCCGCTGCTTCGAGCCGGAGCTACGGTAACCCTTGCGGCCCCGGTGACTGGGGGCCTCTTAATACAAGCTTAACCCCCATTTTGTTACGTATGTGGTTCTTTCTTTTAAAGGTGGATGCCTTGGCTCTCATCAACTGCACGTCGAATCAGGCCGGATGGATCGAGTGGGCTTATCAGAAAATGAACTCCCGTTCGCTGAAGAACCGAGGCATGACCCAAGGCGTTCTCGACTACCTCATGTGGCACCATTTCGGACGGGTATGCTCTAAACTTACATATTATGTTATGTTGATAGAATTATGATAGTAAGTTCATTTATGTTAGGATCTAATTTCGTTTGTAATTATAATTTGTTGTTTATTTTTATTGTTTTCGTTTGCTTTTGCATGTTTTATTGTAATGCGTATGCGATTTCATTTACTGGGTACCTTAACTTCTTACATTTCAGCTAAGCGATTATTCAAAACAATATTGTCGAAATTCTAGCTTATGTTAATGTTTTGTTAATTCATATTGATTTTAGAAATAATTGGCTTTAAATTGTACGACGTATAACAGATAATACGATATTTAAACTGCAGTTATTATTGGAATAATTCGAATTCGAACAAAATTGAAACATGTGTCTAAATACACCTCCATGAACCATTCATGATCATCTCATAAAAGTCGATCATTAATTATGATTCAGTCTAGCACATAAGTTGGTCGCTATGCGCTAGCGAATTGCGTGGCGAACTTTGTGGTGCGTGCGAACCTGAAGTCGACATTTCATATTTCATACAGAAATGACTGTGACCGTGACCGATTGCTTTATGATGCCGAAGCTACGTACCCTTACCTTACCCCTAATGAATGCAAAACGGATCAATTATCATGTGACTATCCACCTTAATACAAAACTATACTTCCACACCGCAGACATAAGATTCAAAATCACTTGTACACTACAAACTACAAATATTTAGTTAGGGTACACATCGGTTTCCTTGCGTTCTTGACAAATTATGTGCGGTTCTATGTGCGGCCTCGTTGTATGCGATACAATTTCTTTAAAATTACGTCGTTGTCTATTGATTTATCGATCCGTCTCGCAGTTCATGGCCATAAACTTCATGACAATGGTTATTAGACATGATTACCTGCTGATTATTTTGCCGTAACCGTCGAAAACCTGCATTTTTTAATAAGTATTCGTACAAAATATTATTTACTAAAGGAATGATGTTTCGAATGAATGATGTATCGGTGCAGTTCCCGGAGGAGCGCAACCACGACCTGACGCAGATGTACCGCATGTACTTCACTCGGAACGTGAACCCTACGAACCTATCGTTGTTGATTGACGCGTACGTGCGGCGCACCGACCTCGGCATCGCGCGGGAGAACGACACCATCAAGGTGCCGGTACTGAACATCACCGGCGCGCTCTCCCCGCATGTCGACGACACCGTCACCTTCAACGGACGCCTCAACCCCAACAACTCTACGTGGATGAAGGTAAGTTCACGTAAACGAAACAAATAAACAAGCGTTTTATAATTTGTTCTAGATTATTTCCTACATTGCTTAATCAACTTTTTATAATATCGTAATCAGGACCCTGAGGTTACTAAATTAATTAGGAAGTTTGGAAAACGTTTATAATAACAATCTCTTCACTTTTATTATTTTTATAATAATAGAAGGTAAAATATTACGCCACAGAATAATATGCAGTACATATTTATGTAGGTAATTGCAAGTATCATATTTTTTAACTTTCAATCACGAATTATGAGTCCTGGTACCAAATGCGCAAGGCTAAATAAATATTAAGTGCAATGTATTCAAGTTGAAAAAATATTAATCAACAGAATGTAACAAGTTACTTTACAGTAATTAAAACATAACTAGCACCTAAACACATCATGGCTTTTCACTGCAACACAAATTCGAGACTATATTTCAATGAGTTTAAAGTTTAAAAGTAATCGAAAACTTTTACGACTACGTGCAATATGCACCGATCTGCCTCCTAGCGCCATCTATTAGTTTGCATGAGGAAATAATAGTGCACTCGACTCGGAGCTATATTCGTCATGGTGAGATGATAAATGTGATTCCAAGTTGCTAAGTTACGACCACTTGTTAATAAGTCACGTGTACGTAACAAGTAAATACAATGTGTTTAACATAATTATTGTCAAATGTATCTCCTCCGTTACGCTTAGAAAGAATCCTAAGTCATTTTCAGAATATACGGATATTATAATTAATGAATATTTAGATAGTTAGTACACCTAGCACAAGATGTGGTGTCGGAAGTACAAGAGGCGTATTGACGGGAGTCAATCTTGTCTTGAGGGTTCAAGACAGGACAATGGGATGATCCAAGCGAAGCGACATTGCCATTTTATTTCATCACTACTAGAACTGTCTTAAAATGTAAGACAAAAACTCACGAATTTTAAGTTATAAGTCCCTCCCTATCAGAAAAATGCAACCAGAGGATATTTAAAACGTCGGGATTATGATGTCAAAGTAGCTAACAAGTTAATCTGTTGTCAGCGCGTTGTTACAAACTGTGCCAGTTTCTGGAAATTATACTGAATATAAATCTGACAGCGACCCTGACCTCGCTAGCTTGGTCTAGCTCAGTAAGCTAAGTCTGACGTAGATACTTACCGTATTTATTTATTGCTTTATTCTGGCAATCGCATAATTAGGGCTGGGTTCATTAATGTTAGATTAGCAATGACAAAAAGGTCATTGCATTCATACGATTGGACTACACCTAAATAGAAGACTAGCTATTTTGTGAGTACTTGGGACCTATTATGTAGTATCCATACTTCATTGCCGAAAAACCGAAACCATCTTCCTCCATTTTACAGTTAAACTGTTTTGCACACGTCCACTGTTATATGTATAAACAAAAACATCTTTTTGGGATGTAGAAAAACAATCTACCCATATTGTTTTCTTTATTAGCATAGCTTAGTATGAAATTGAAATGTGAAGAAATAGATTGTGCGAGAATTGATTTGAAAGAAAGGTGTTTGACCGTGTTTGTTATGTGAATCTACGTCTGCAAGAGAATATTGTGCCAAATAAATAATTGAACATAAGGGTACATTTTTCAAATTGGTGATTACAGATCTCGGATTCGGGCATGGTGCTGGAGGAGCAGCCGGCTAAGATATCCGAGGCCTTCCGCCTATTCTTGCAGGGCGAGGGCTACGGTAAGTGAACCGCGTCTCTCCACACCCACAGTCTACGTAGACATGTACCGATGCAAGCTTAGCTTTGCATTGCAGTTCGAATGTTTAACAATTGCACTCAACACGCCACGCTCAATAGATGCAATATTAATAATTCTATTACTCTAACCAGTAGCTAAGCAATCCCTTGAAATATTAGAAAAATACTTGCAAATAGAATTGGTATTTGTTAGTATTATGTATTTGTTCACCTGTATAATGCATGTGGATGTAAACAACAACCCAATTCCATAAATATATTGCATCTATTCTGCAGCTTATGTAAATATGTTTGACATGATGAATGTTACTCATTCTAAAAGTTAAAATACTGACCAAATAATGTTAAATATTATAATAGTTATTGCATAATTTACTTCTAGTGTATTACGTTAATTTTATTGGAATACGGTTTCTCGCAATATCTCTTTATGTTTATTGTGCCCCTGTTTACTCTAACTGTTTAGCGAACTCCTAATTGTATGATAATTTAAAAATATTACTATCTATAAATGGATATAATGACACGCTTAACTAATGTTAAATGGTAAGCTAATTTATACTTTGTCCTGAAGCCTGAAAGTTTATTTTTATGTCCTGTTTATGTTTGAGCCTGGATATGCGATAGCGTTATGCAGTCCCTAACAATTGGTATGTACTGAAGGGAGCTTTCTTTCAGTAGAGTTCGTAAGCTTTCAGTCCTGTGGTACTGTCGTGCTATGGTGGTAACGTTAGTAGATAGCCCTTTTGTCAACTAATCAATTCCGTAGTTTTTGGGAATACTTTAGAATAAAATTAATATGGATGTGTCTAGAGATTTTGTGTTGGTATTTCAATACGGCTAGCTGTTGTTTTTGGTGTAGTAAGTAAAAATAAAAATCATCCCCAATGCAATCCATTTGTTATAGGCAGGAACATAGTGAACTTTAATTATCTGTCCTATAAAATAGAAAAGTGCGAAAGCATTATTAAATCCATTAAACATAAATTGTGATGACTTAAAAGACTAACAAATAAATATTTTAAAGTTATTTATTCATTTATTTGTACATGAATGCATGCCTCATTAGTTTTGTTTTTAAATATGATATATTTGTATTTGATAATTAAAGCTTGTCCCTTTACGTATATGAAAGAATAAATCAAGCGCTCCTAGCTCAAGTGAAAGTACATACAAGACTTTTTAAGGCCCCCAATACTGCTAAATATCTCATATTTAACACACATATCTTACATATATCACATTTTGTAGTTTTATCATTTTATTTTGTGTTCTTTGAACTTGTTTACAAAGGTCATTGTAGTTTGCACTAGCATTTATTATATAACTCGTATCAAAAAGGTTTAAATTTTAACGAAGTGCAACGTACAATGATCCCTTAAACAAGAGCTGATGTAAAGATTTTTTTTAATTATTTTTATTTTTTACACTCGTAGCTGTGTGCACACTGCACAAATTAAATCGACGTCTTATTACAAGCTCCTCATCCAGCGTAAACAACATTTCGGCAGTTCTTTAATACCTCAGCTTTAAGTAGAAAAAGTAAGTGTTTATTCACATTGAATGGTACGCGGAAGATATATACATACGTAATATTGATTGACAATACACTTGTCAACTAGATTACTACCACAATAATTTTAATATTAAAAAAATCCTTGGCGCTAAATTAAACGCCCGCTAAAGAGTCTGTGAAGCTGGACGCTCTGAAGTGCTACTTCACATTGGTCAATTTTGCCTGCATTATTCGTTTTTATATCTTCCGCTACTTCAACGTTATAAAGACTATCATCACAAATGTGTGACGCAGTTTTGTATTGTACTTATTTATTTGTTCCAAACTGAACTTTAATGTTCATATTTTAATTAATAAATTCTCACGTGTGATGGTCTTTTACTAGGTCGGTCAGATTACACAGAAAGCTCGTGCATGAATTCCCTTTTTGACCATGCCACTGTAATGGATTTCAGAGTATTTTTTGCGCAAATAGATTCGATGAGGTCTACAGCTTCTACAATCTTCATTCTTTAGCTTGTTGGGAATTTATGCAAGAGTGAATGTCTATTTTGACCGGACTGTTTTTGTTTTTTGTTATGGTCTTCGCACATTCATTATTTATTGTGGAAATGTTTCATCCAAAGTGATCAGACGTTCCGTAATATGTTTATGATTGCTTGATTTTTTATATTTAAATAGTTGGCTCAGTACTATGTGTATTTTTCATTAGATATTATCCTTTCAATCATAGAATGAGAACAAAGGAATCTGTGACACCAAATTAAAAGTAAGTTATAATAAAATTCACTGAAATATGTGAGAGCGACACTTTGCGCCCAACATATTATAATCCTCTATTCAAAATACCTCTTATTTACTATGACCAATTATGTAGTTTACTATGCTGCATAATTAAAAGCTTTTCATTCTAGCAAGGGACCCTCAATATAAATAGTAAATTAGTGTGAAAAATACACTAAACAAGTGTTGTGTAGTACTCCCACATAACATTACATTAACTTGCATTTTGTTTTTCAGTTGCGCCACTGTCGCCCACCAAGATCACAGCGTACCGGCGACTGTCGGACGCCGGCCGCCGTCGTCCTTGCCGCCACTCGCCAGTCATCCGCATCACCGAGAACCCGATCTCGGAGGCGGTGGTCTGCTAAACTAACTCCCTTTCGCTAAAGCTCGCTGATGGATACCCCACGAGTGATTTAGTAAAAACTTTGCTGAAATGTTATCGCGGCACTAGCGATGTAAAATGATTGTGCGTAAAACTTGAGGATGCGCTGAAGTACTCGATAGTGTCGTCCAGCATCCTCGTGGGGCCGCGTGCGCGAGCTGACCGGGACACACGAACATCTAGCTAAGTTCCTCACATCTCGTGAGTCGCACTGTTGAAGTTATATCATTTATCATTTAAGAAGAATTTTATTAGAACCCACTGATATAATATTACATAATTATAATGTACCACTATATAGCGTTATATCATTCAGTTAGGCTAACTTCACACGTATGTATCTGTCCATATTTGTTTACGCGACTGTGTAAGGGAGTTAGTTAGCGTGATTATTTTGTAACTTAGTAATAAATTGAACATGAGGGGCTGCTGTGAAAGCGGCGTCAGGCCGGCGTGTCGTCGCGCGCTACTAACCGACATGGGACTCGTCGTTGTGCCGGAATAAAGACTAGTATTAATGTAACAGCACATTGTCCACATTGATTAACGTTACGATAGATAGCTGATCTAATTATGTTGGAGTCCATGTCAAGTGGTGCGCGCCGGCCGGGCTCGGCAGTGGCGCCGCGCGCGCTAACACGTCGCTGGGTGCTATGCTAAGACCAAGATAGATTTCGAAGTTGATCATTTGATGACAGTCGTTTTGGAAACAATGAATCATTATAATTTTTTTGAAATTTGTTATACCAAAAATATTTTTTTTGTTATACTTAAATATACAATTGTGAGATGTTTTAATACGTTTGTTGATTTTTTGCATGTTGATTATATTAATTTACATTATCAGTATTAAATTTTGTATAAGTTTAAATTACTTATTTGTATAATAAGAATAACCTAAGTATTTATCACCGCTTTTAGTAGTTGACTTAAATAATACATATTAGAGAACAATGAATGTTAAACGTGCAGCAGCTTGTTAAGAGATTTTCATTTATTATAAGTATTTATTTAATAATAATAAATATGTAATTTTACGAGTATATTAGAAAAAGGAATGTGCGTAGGTTAAAATTTAAAAGGAAGGGGCGTGAGGTGATTGTAATAATGTGAAGATTTGGCATGCGCGTATCATACTCTTCGAATTTATCGTGTATGTAGACTTACACGCCGGTGGATATTTTACTAATCATTTTGGCCGGCTACTTGTTAGTGGTTATGTATGGATTGATACTGATCATAGCGGATGATTGTCTGGAAGCTGAGAGTGCTCGGGGCTCAGGAGTGACACCAGTCGGTGGTGTACTGATGTAACGAAGGAAGGCCACACATACATACTTAGATTGTTCAGGTCAATGTTTACGATGTTGAAAGGTTTCTCTTAATAATTAGAATCTTGAATCAGTAGCGGAATCTCAGTAGATCTGTTTGTCCCCACCTCCACGGTATGGCGCGGCACTCTAGAGGCACGCACGGCGGACACGCGCCATACGCTCACACTCGAGGTCGCCTCTAAGCTTTGTAGACGTACAATCGATTAATATTTAGTTTATAGAAGTTCCACATTTTACTCTTTCGTTCAAGTGTAGAAGATGTTACATTTAGATATTTTTTGTTCACTGATATTTGTGTGAATTTAATGGGTCTATTAAAAGTGATTTTATAAACTTTGTGTTATTCATTTTGTCAGATGGTAAACCTCATCCCAATGGTTAGTTACACTTTGATCTTAGCCAAAAGGCCGAGAAGCGATGAATGGTTAGTTATTATAATTCTTATTCAGTCAACGTCAAATTACGCAAGTTTACAACATTTTACTTGCTGGCATATTGTTTTCACTTTTTTTCATAAAGTTACTACGTGTAATGCGTACTAACTCGTTGGCAGTCGCAAGTGCGACGCCGGGTAAGGGGTCACGGGGCACGGGTTCGATTCCCTGGACGAGCAAAGTATCACTGGGTTTAAAAAAATTCTCAGTAGTAGCACGAAGTCTGGAAATGTGCCCGGTATATGGTAATAGGCTCACTCCCTATTACATGGGACTCATAACATAAATAGTAAATACTAAAAAGTAGGTGTTACATTGTATACCCCTTCGGGGATAAAAGGCGTAATGTTACGTGTTATGTTACACACGTCGCGGAGAACCTAACGGGTTACCGGGGCTCCGGCTCGACGTGCAGGAGAAGGAACGGGGTGGTTTTTAGTTAGTAAGAGTCTGACACTCCATTCCGCCTCACCCAGGCGGGAGCAGTCATTCGATAATTTACCCCTTAAAAAAAATGGTTACACACACGTATAGCATTATAAGACACTACTGAAACTAACTAAGTTTGTATATTTATTTACTACATTCATACAAACAAAACCGTGTCTCAAATAACAATGAAGTGTCCAAATTGAATACCTATTGATCAAATCTTTCTCTAACCACCGAGATGCTTGGAAAATTTTGAATGATCACACATTTCATAATAAAGAAACTAAAAAGTATGATTCGTCGTACAGGTACTCTGGACACTAAAGAGAGAAACAGTTTGTCAAAAACTGAAAATCTCAATAAAAATAAGTCTTGTTTTAAGCTTCAATTTATTACTACTGAGAAGTGAAACATTGGATCTCCGAATGCTTTTCATTTTGGTTCAAAGACGAACGGTTTTATTGTTGACACTGTATCCACAAATTGCTTGAAAGGTCGGGAAAACTAAAAGCACCATGTGGTATTTGTGATTACTTTGAGAAAAGTTCGAGCAAGAAACTCCATGCTGCCTTCTCATAGAATTGTTACAAATTATCTAAAATGGATTCTATCTATAATCCACTCATACGCTGCAGTATGAGTCAGCTGTCTATTTTACTGAAGAACAATAAAAAAATCAGAATAAAATAATATACTTGCTTTATTTATTTGAAAGTAAAATATATCAACAAAAATTATATTCAATATACATGGACAACTTTACATTTATATATTATAGTTTATAGATATAATACATTGAGAATTTTAAACTAACTATCTACACGTGAATACTTAGTAGTTTAAGCATAATATCTTAAGCGATAACGAAAGACGGTTTTGTTAAATTAATCAATTCACTAACGTTACGATGGCCTAAATACATTGCCGACATTGAAAGTATCATGCTATTCTGTCCAAATAGATCTACTTCAATAATATAATGTGTAAATTCTCAAATAATATAAAACATGTGCACCTATTGATACAAGTGCACTACAATACGATAGCCCAACGAGTGGTGTTCGGTGTCGTCAACATTTTAAACCTAACCTCGTGACTTATACTTGTTCTAAATCTCATTACATTATTTGGACCCGAACACTTCAAAAACATCACAAGTTTTTTTATCTATGAAACCGTTCAGTTTAAACTTTGGAAAATACTCGTGCGCCCGTGATTTTCTTTGCAAAATAAAGTAAATTAAGAATAAAGAAGTAATCTCTACAAATATTAAAATAGCACACTAATCTTAATTAAATTAGGCTGAAGTTGTAATATACACCATATGACATTGTATTCTATTATAGTTTATAGATAGCGTTGTATAAAATGCACAAGACAATTTTGTGAATATGCAGATTTCAGCTAATCGTAGTGACTTCGACATTTAATAATTGTGACTTTCTTTGTCAGTAACTATCTCTACTAACATTAAATGTAAACAATAGACACGAGTAATTCAGTAAACACACTAATTTCAATATCGTAATTGGTGTATCACCAACATTTTAATGAGACTATTGAAAACTTTATTAATTGAATCTCTACTTGTACACTTTAGTCTAACACTAGTTACTGGGATGTCTCTACAAACCGCGAATATTAAGTATTAAAGAAAAGGAACAAAACTAAATTACACGTTAGCTTGTATGAATATTATTCCTTAATTAGACCCCCTATTACCTTAAGTGATATCGTGACGTTTCTAAACAATACAAATATCAATAATAATTCCTGTCGCATTAGCAAAATGACGCAAGCTTAAATAATAAATACACCACGATGACTTCGTAGTCTCTTATCACATTAAAATTAAGGCTTTAAATGGAAAGCGAGTCATTGTCATCGAGAAACAAAAAACTGGCACAAGAAAATATAATACAATCGCGAAATAAAGACTCCAATTGAACCAGTTAGGCTGTAATTCCTTTCAAAAATAGGCTCAACTTGAAAAAGCTAATTTCGCGAGCTCAAATCGACACAACCACTACGCTTTCAAACCTGGATAATAATAATAATTACATGCTTCAAAATTCCACAAATTCGCTACAAACATGAATACAATTATAGAATTTCTACATAGATTGCTGATTATTGCGTGTTGGCAAATAGAAGATACAATATTATAAATATGACACCACTTCTTTGCTAAGTTCTACTACAAACCAATCCCGAATCCCCTTACATTTGATACACTTGATTAAATACAGTTTTATATACAATTGGTATAATAGGTGATGTTGAGATGCTAGATTTAAGGTTTCACCGTTCAAGGGGCTCGTAAAAATTTTGCGGGGATGTGTAGTGCAGCGAGTTAAATATATAATATATTCTCACAATAAAACAGCATTTACATGTTTTTGTTAACAGTTCATCTTTCGTCACAGAATAAAGTGCGGGCTTTATTCAAAAACAAAGAAGCATCGATAAGTTTCATAACTGTACGATGGCTCTTCGACGGGAGCTAAAGATCACTTGTGGAATATAATGATGAGTATGATCGAGACTACGATGATCAGCGCTAGGAACAGGTACACTTTCTTCTTGCGCAGCTTGTTCTGAAATCACAATATGTTTATTATTTATTTTTCTGTTCTTAATGGTATGTAATGGTATAAACATATCACATCTACTTCACTGAAAGAAATTAAAGATAGAGTATACAAGATAGAGTGTGAAACATAACGTTTTAATAGATAAGGTAACAAGTGAAACAAGTGAATTTATTTCTGCAAATAGGCTACAAGGCAGCACTTTTACACGTCAAACAAAAGTAGTTCGTTAAATGGCATCCATCAATTCGTGCCTACCTTTTGTGAACAGAAATTAAGTGATACAACAGTACAAGTACGTATTCATTTTTATTTAACATAAACATGTATCAAATCTATTACCTTATAGTTAGCAGCCTCCCGGAGTTCCTGCGTGCCACTCTCCACGTTCACCGTTGCGTACTCCACACTGGACTCAATCGAGTTGACTACTTCTCCCTGCGAGTGAATCATTGTTCCAAGCTCCTTGAAGATTTGGTTCACATCCATTATGTCGCTCTGAAAGTACAAGTATACAGAATAAAATACGATAAAATAGTCATTGGTAGAAACATGTCACCTGTGTTTAGATGTCATGACATATTTATGTATGTGACCTGTATCTCGGGGATTTAACCATGAGGATGTGCCGCTATCCCATATCATAATTTCTGCTACAGCCTGCAGTATCGTGAAAAAGAGTACATCAAGCAGGATGCAAGTAGGTTCCACAGGTTTTATGGACTATTAAAAAAGTAAAACTCTGCTAACTAATGTCAGCTAGTTTTAGTTTTTAATTTCTAAATTAATGATTTTTTTTTCAAGGTAAGAGCATGTATTAATTTAGTTACAATCATTTTATTCAAGTCAATTAAGAGTTATAGTTATAAAATTACTATTTCATGCCAATAGATGTAAGACATTGAAATTAAATATAGGCCAAATATCATGAATATTTGGTTGACCAACTTTGATATGATAAAGATATAACAATGGACTACACTGTCTTCTTCTTTGCTCTAAAATATATTTATGATATCAACAGATAGTACCGATTTTTGTTCTATCTAATAGCTGTTCCTAATTTTATTGCTTGATAAGAAAATAGCATGTAATCGGCACCTACCTACAACTAAAACAAATCATACAACAGGTACTAAAACTAAATGAAAGCAAGGCAAATAAATTATTCATTTTCCTTTACAGAGATTTTATCTGAAACAGTTGTTAATTAACACGACCATATTACGTTTGAGGATAACAATGTGCGGTACAGATATTCCGTATTGTAACTATACACCATTAGTCGAAACGTTAGCTTTATCGATTCGATGTATATTGCACGGTCGCGTTGCTAATTCATTCTTTGATAATTTCATTTCATTTTGTTTTTATAACAATAAAGAATATAGGAGGCATACTATGTAATATGTTAAGTCAATCAATGACTGCAGTTATGAATGGAATCCATACCTATTGTCAATTGAAGTAATCCTCAAACTATGGTATCGTTCGGTTTTTGATTCTATCATAAAACTGTAAAATTTGATAATCTTTTAAAGAATGACATTTTACAGAAAGACAGTTCGACCAAACATGGTGTTATTGATTCAGATAATATAGTTGTCTCCTCAGACATAACAGCTGTTTGAATCCCGTAATATAGATCTCACCTCAAGCTGTCGAATATCTCTTTCGCGCTCCTCCAGCTCGACCAACGAGCGTTCAGTTTGCATGACCTGCTCCTGTTCGCGCAACGTCGGCTCACCCATCTCCATCAATTCCTTATTGCTGCTGTCACCTGTAGAAAGAAAGAAAGAAAAACATGTATTACGCCATGACACGCAACAAGACTATAAGTACACATAAAAAGCCCATGGTGCGTCGCAGCGCAAAAGGCTGGCCCGGACACGAAGGCTCGAGTCCACTGCGCTGATTTCCAGCACCAGCCCTTAGTAATGCCTACTAATAATACATCTACGGTAACAATATTTCACTTCACTTTTAGACAACAGTCAAACTGTACTAGTATAATAATTAAAAAAAAAACAATAACAATGTTTCAACTAATTTCTACCATACAGTTTATGAATTACCTGAAATAGCGAACGGATCTCCGATGTTGATGCTAGCAGACTGCGCCTTCACCTTTCTTACGTCTTCTTTGGTCTTCTGAGCTGCCAGCCTTTGTGTAGACTGAATACAATTACAAAATTAATTATTATACTACCTAAAACGAAAATCTGAAAGTACCCACCTATCAATTTTGTGCCTAATATAAAATTATGCTTCAAATTACAACCTTGATTGTTATTATCTCTATCATAGCATTGCTTTTAAAAATTAAGTAATGAAATAAAGAAGTCAGTTACATTATAACAGATAGATATTTATCAGATTTAAATCATTAGTATTAAATCGACTACAACTTTATAAAACAAAGAATAATTATGAAACATTTATGTGCCTTTTGTCTTTCTCTACTTTTCATTTCTGGTGACGTTGCTTATTATAATATTTAAAATATCAATGCTATTAATAAATATAAACTTCTTTATTGTCTACAATAAAGTTAATATTATGACGGTGTGCCTAAAACTAGTATGTAAAATCATTTGATTTTGTGTTATTTTAATTAAACAAGGTCAATATCTTAGTACCAGTCGGAAAATGCTTCGACACTCCGCGTCATTTGTGCTGACCCTGAACGTTTCAGTAAGTTTCCTACTTGCAGCTAATAAATTAAAAACTATAGATCTTCCTACACATTACTTATTTTCTCATTTCCCATAGGATAGGCATAGAATTTAAACACATAAATGTAACCAAAAACAACATTCAATGTTTTATCAAATGTTGTTATCAGCAAACAATTAAAATTGATTCGTTACAAATATTTTACCCGTCTACACATTTCCAACAATAGTTCGGAATTTTAATTATGTAACAGTTTTTTATACAGGTTTTATAATCAAGCTAATGAAGCTATTAATAAATCCTGAATAGTCATTTGGGCAAAACAAATGTCATGTTATATTAAAATGCCAATTTGTGAATATATTCTGCACCTGCACTAGGACTTTAATGTAAATGTGTAATGAAATAAAAACCTACCTAATAATTTTCTATGTAACTACCTAGTACATACATCATAGAATAGGTGTGTCTGAGTCAGACAAGGTAAACTGTTGTTAATACTTCACTAGTATAAAGAAATAAAATAGACTATATTATTATCATTGAAATTTCATAACCACATTATATTATTAATCTGTCAAACACCAAGCGGTCACCGGTGACCGCGACCTATTGTTCTTTAATTGTGTCTATAAAACCGGTACTCGACGAGTTAAAACATGTTTTTGGATTTGCTAGCACCAAAACTTCACAAAACATAAGAATGTACATCTACTAAAATTCATAATACACATTTTATGTATGTGTGCACCATAGTTATGAATGATGAACTTTCTATCTTAGTAGGTGTATACCTACAACCAACTAATTTGTTTTGTAGCTGCGGTAGTACTAAATGAAAAAGGTAAACAATTACCTAAAATTATTTAGTCAGAAATGATCAGAAGTATAGGTGTCCAATCCAAGGTTAATTGGTCACCAAAATTAATATTCTATGCCTCATACTCTTTATTAATGCACCGGTACAGGGGAGGTATTATTAGTTCGCGTGCCATTGGTAGCGCTATTTTAGTCGGCAATAAACTTATATTTTTTTAATGTCGCTCGTATTGCGTTGCCATGTACTTAAGCTATGGTGAAACCGACATAAGCGTACTTGTTAGGTACTGATAGTAAGTACATGGTATAAAGTTAAAATTATTTAATGGCAATAGACTAATAAACATTTGGTTTAATGACACATTTGTACATAAAGGTCCGCCATCCACACACTAGTCCTAATAAATTAGATGTCATATGAACTTGACCTAACCTTGGCTACCACTCAATACTGATTCATCCACGTCTTACAGTACTATAATAGGAACATAATTGTATTTTCAATTTAAAAATCCTTCTTCCCGTTGATTTTTACATAATTCATATATCCGGTACTTTGTTAAATTCAATGGTACAATTGTTGCATACTATCTTATGAGTATCTAAACGTTTACATCAAGAGACGCCAATTAAGTATTAACATCATTTAACCTTTAAGCTCTGCACTAATAAAAAATCGCATAATACACATTCAAGAGCAAAGCATTGTGTTAAACATAATAAAGATTTACAATGCATCTGACTTAGGTCATGATGTATAACACAAAGAAGATTCTACCTTTTGTGAACTGCAGTAACAAAGACACTACAATGTTGTGTGAAAAGAAAATTAAATATGGCGCACAATTGCATTGTGAATTTGTGACCTAATAATCTATTATATTATCTAAGCATATTCTTTATAATACACAAAGATTAGCAAACTGACAAAGATCAGATCATCAATATATTATGTTTTTTCTGAAGGAAGTAAGTATTACCCATTTTATGGAAATTTTTGCAACATCGAGAAACAGAGTTGTAAACTTACCTGGAATGAATTCAGTGTGATCATGTATTCATCTCTGAGGCGTTCTCTGGTCATCTTGTGAGCCGGCTGATCAGTTGGCAACTTCATCAGTTCCATGATCAGTGATGATGTATCCCTTGCTAGTTTCTGATTATAATTTTGTATTTGACGCCTGTGAAATTGTTTATTGTTTTATTTATATGAATATAAGTGCTCTCTATGTTGTATGTCATAGGATTGTTATTATATAGTGAGATCATAATGATTGGACTAATTTGAGATGATCAGCACTGATGCTAATAGACATAAGAAGTGATAACACAACTTGATTAGTTCATTATTATACCTATTTCCGGTACTAAACGAGTGATTCTTATTGCATGATGAACTTACAGTTGGTTCCGATGTTCTTGGGAATCTTGCGGTGTCTGCAGCTGGTTGACCATCTTTGACATTGATGATACTGTGAGAAAATAGAAAGCTGATTGTAAACAGTCACAATGAAATATGTAAATACAATAAAATAAAAAAGCCTACTACTACTGTTTGCTGGATTCTCAGAAAATATCTATTTCGAACTATAATAAGTACACAAATTCTAGCTATCTTTACTTATGTTAACAATGGGAAAGTCTTGTTTTAAATGTATTATTTTTATAATATCTAGAGACGAGACAATTTTGAAATGTGTTATGGAAGCAAAACCATAGGTGGAAAGTTAGTTTGCCATAAACCAGAATTTAATATAGGATATTTCATCATTTAAAAAGAATATAGGATATTTCATCATTTAAAAAGTTATCTGAATTTTCAGTTTGTAACTAAGTACAAAGTCTGCCCCCCATAAGCTTTTATCTGCCATAAAGTACCTAAGTAGGTATGTAATACTATTGATACACTCGTGGCTATCCCTGGCAGAAATACATGATCATTGCAAAGAAAACATTTATAAATGTCCCACTATTTGTCTTAAATATGAATAATTCACAAAACAAAGATAAGATAGTAATGTGAACATACTTGATACATCAAATTCTTGACAAATAAATGAATCATCTTTATTTACTAAAGTATAGGTACAATCTAACAAATTTCTTTATTTTATCACTTCAGCTTTTGTTTTAGAGCATTCTACAATTCTTATGTCTTACATCAGACATACACAAACAATAATGTTTTGTGAAAAGAATAGATTGTGCATCAAACATCATTTTAACAAATTACAGCTATTAGTGTCTAGCATGTCTGCAATTGGAAACATCTATGACCTACCATTAGGGCTAAGTACACAAAAGTAACTCCTTCAAAATTACAGAAACATCATAGAATACATGACTAATAATAAACAAATGAAAGGAAAGAAACTAAAGATAATAATAGAGATAAAAATTGATAAATTAAAACAATAGAAGTACAAACCATTCTGTGAAATCTTTTTGATATTGCTTGCTATGGTTTGGGACAGACGCTGGAAATTATTGTCCCTATCTTCGAACGACACACCTCCCTGATACGAGGACTCCATCCTAATTTGTGTACCTACAACAATGACACCAAAAACCACAATCAAAAATTTGCATTTGCTATAACAGCGCAGCGCAGAAATGATATTTTCTATGAAGACGTAAACACTAATCGAGTTACACTTGTATGAAAATATTTAATTGTGACGTTGGTTTTATTTTACCGTACAAGTACAAACATCATTTTTTATGTTCGAACCACAAGCTAAGAGTAAAATCGAATCGAATTACAAATTAAATTAAAACACAATTGCTTGCTTGATTTCTAAATAGGCAAGGAATACAGAAAAATTAAACGTACAGTAACGGCGTAGCAGTCAAGTCAGCCAAACAAATCTACTTAGAACTTTTTTATGAAATCAATGCACTTTTCTACGTACACCCTTGCTTGACGTACACTGATGTTAATGTCATGTCATGATCTGTCACTTCAATGACTCAAAGGTGTGTACAGTGTGCACAGGTGGAAAATAATAAATCGACTACACTTGTTCAACTTATTTACTATATAAATACCAATCATTTTATCCATTTTATTAATTACATGATAATTTACGTGATAATACTATTTTTGAACATTTACTAAAATTTTCTGTTTACATTTATTTACTAAAGCTGTCTATACATCATACCACTAGAAGTGTAAAATTAAACTAGACTATTTTCTGAATTAAATTAAAGTAAGCAGTGTATTATTTTATTTCATTTATATGAATTTCATATCATTTGGTTGTTACGTGGTTTACCATTAAAACTCCGTGATATAGAATGCCAAGTATAATCAAAAAACACTTTTAAAGAAGAAAGTGTGTGTTCCCTACAATCCCTACGAGGTAATTATATTTTATAGATCGGCGTTAAATGTTCTTACTTCTAGCTTGTAATCATACTTAATATTAAATTATAAAATTTATTTGAAAATGTAAATAGTAATTATATCATTAAAAGTACCATTCAATATATATTTAGTTTCCACATTCTATTCATAGACAATTATAACCCTGCAAAACACTATACTAACAATTTACATCGGGGTATCCTTACCAAAAAAGACATTGTTTATTGTTAGCATAATATCTTGTCTATGACCACTGATATCCTACGTTGTTCATAGAAATACGTTTACGTACTTGTATACGTATTTATGTGTAGTAATATTAATGTGTATTTGTCTTCGTGTCCCTATGCTCTGTTTTTTTTATTTAGAAATTTTAAATGTTATAAACTTGTAAAAAAGTCCTGGATCCTGCATGATTTGATCGATTGATAAGCAATTATCTTACGTATAATTCTTGTGACAATGAGCTTAGCAATCATAATCACTTATTTGTGTATGGCTTGATCTTCTGTCACGGGTGTTAAAAAGTGAATCAAGTACCTACATAGAAATAACGAAAAGCGAAAATGTCCGAGATCACGGTCGGCCGTTGTGATGTTTGAGATCAGTAAGATTAATGTAACAGATGAGGAAGATGGGTTGTTGATGATCAGCCAGGTGAGCGAAGTTCAGATCGCGTAGCTACACCAAAGCGCCTAGACGTCCAAGACGTTCGAAGGATATCCGCTGTCGGTCACCTTATTTTCGGAAAACCTTTTTCGTTATTCATCATGAGTTGGCTGCACCGTGAGCTGGAAACCATGGATCCCTCGATCTTTTTACAATATTCACCTTCCCCTCCAAATGGACTACCACAAGAATCGAAGTTGGCAACCTACATGGTAAGTTTATATTTCAACTTTAGTGGTATTTTTTTGATCTTCGTCAGTTATCAGTTGACACATTTTTTCATGTTCCAGAATCGTTCCACTTCTACTCCCACGAGATCCCTCAACCAGGCTCTTGGCAAACTCAGCTTGGAGTCTTCACCTACTGCAATTAAGAAGGTAATTCAAGATGACTCATTGATGTCACTTAACTTTTCGATGTGCTACTTTCACATAACTTAAATAATATTTTCTTTTTTTTGTTTAGGTGGTGATAACAGAATTTGTTCCAATGAACTATTTTCCTCCACCTAGCCTACTTCAGCCAGACTCTCCAGAAAGTTCTTCCCCTTCTACTATGTCAGCAGTTCCCAATACTTCTCAAGTACATCAGGTATGTCAGTGGTTAATTATAGTTAGAAAAATAAACAAAAGAAGATCAACAAAATGAGAAAGTATTTCAATGTTGCTGAATAAAATTCTGTAATAAAAAGTGTTGTGAAAAATTACAATAATTAACTTGTTGAGTACCGTATTTATAGACACAATTAAAGAACAATAGGTTGCGGTCACCGGTGGCCGCTTGGTGTTTGACAGTTTAAACTGTACATTGACATTTATGAATAATCACAGAAGAGATGCAAATCACTTTTATAAATGGTATTTACTTAATTTTATGTTAATTTTATTGAGATATGAAATAAGCGGGACATGGTAATTCATCAGTGGTGTTTGTGTTGCTACAGAAACAACATTACTGTACTAAGGTTCAATATACTTGTTTGAAATGCAGCTTTAATAAAATAACCTGTTATCCATGACCAACTTTCAAAACTTGATCTGATTCTCAACATAAATAAGTACCTATATTGTCATGGGGTCGGAGAATAATGACTTATATAATAAAGTAACACTTATAGAATAAAACAATATGCAAAAGTTCATATTATATATAACTACCTATTTATCAGTATAATAATATCTAATTCCTTTTGTTCTGATAATAAGTAGTTTGCGAGGTAATAAAGTTGATAAGATAGAGCTTAAAATAGACTGTAAGGCTTTTTGTTTTTGTTACAGGAAAATGTTGGTGGTACTACATACTTCTACTCCACCAACTCTGATAGTCTGAACACTTCAGGAGCCTTGAACTCCTCCACATCCATTGGTAAGTTTGAAAAAGTTTAGTATCACTTAGTAAACTAGGCGGTGCATTTTCTCAATTGATTGGTCACTGCAATATGCATTACCTGTGGTCAGTTATCAGTAATTTTTCATGGTAAACTTGTTATCATCATACTAGCCTGTGTTTAGATATGGTTGCAATTTCTACTTTTGTTTACTCAAGGTGAAAGAACTATGATCTAATCAATATTGAAAAAAATGTTGGTCAGTAATATATTTATGGTTACTACGTTCACCGTATATTATGAATGGAATATCCTACGCCACTAGACTGTACTCACACTTCCACATAAGTAGAAGTTTAATTATCCTTGAGGATAACATGTATTTTCGAGCTATCATACCATTTGTTATATTTTGAACACTCAGCTGGTCACTGAATTCAAATATTTGGTTTGACTTTCTTGGTTCTTGATTTTATTTAGCCGTCCCTTATTATATTTAATTTTCTTACACCAAAAAAGAACTGCTTCCGATTTGAAGTGTATAGGAAACCATATGTCATGAATCATCTGTAGATAAGAGTAGTACAAGTTAAAGTGAACGCCCCGAGTAATCGAACGATACGGCGATTGGGCAAGCAATTGTCTACTTATCACATTATTTTTATCAACTTGAATCATGTTTAGCTTTTGTTGCGTTTAGATTGAGACGCGACGGATAAAAGTTGTGGTAGTTACGATATAATATATTGTTATCCTTTGGCAAGTGCTGCAATATTAACAATTAATTTTACTCGCCGATAACATCGATGAAAACTCAAGTTATCGTGTCGTAATGAACTGAATGCTTCAAATATAAGAAATCAAAGTAGGTCCGAGATATGAAAGCGCATGTATCAATATCCAAACTTACGACAGCGTATGTAAGCAATAGTTACTTAGTGATAGCAATAATAGCCTAAAGTGTTGTAGTTTCTTATCGATTCTCATAATAATTGCGGTTTTTCTTCAATATTTGCGCAACTGCGTGATGCGCAAACCTCTACTTAGGTATGGTTCCGATATGCATGAGCCGTAACTCGACTAGCGATTGAACAGCAATGTTTGAAGTTCGACATTGACCTAACGGTATCTACTGATGGAGTTTCCCTTAAAATGAGATAACAGTATCGGCAATGAGGCCTTTTCTTGAAATTTGTATCGCCACCAAATAGTTAGGTACCTACTGCTTACTTCATGATCCTTACTCATTGTTGTGTTTCGTTAGTCATTCACTTGTAACAAAACGTTTATCCTTACAAATAAAGCCATTATTGTCGGTTATCAAACAACAAAGTACGACGAACATAGTCGTATTTGTATGAACATTTCTGGGAATAGTACACGGCATATAAGTAGGCTTAAAAATCTAATTATTAACTATACACTAGACTAGCGAAAGAAGAACAAAGACAGTGTTAGAAATTCCCTCAAATTATAATTTACTGTCTTTCTGGGCAAGTTAAATATAGATTTGTATGCCTATCTTTATTTATGTCTACGTCGCCTACACTCTTGGTGACGTCAAACGATTTAGGTGACCTTTTCTTAACATAATTTCCTCAAACACGCAGAACTTAGTGCACTATGGGGCTCGGTAGAGAGAAAGAAATACATGTGAAATATAGGTGCCTAATACGTATTCTTGGTATTAATGCTTATTATTTGCTAGATTAGTATGCTTGTTCGATTTAAGCTATGAAACCTACTCGTTGCTTCAGGCCCTTCGGAGTCATGCTTGAGTGGTGCCGTGGGCGGCGCGGCCTCGCCGTACGCCACTCAGATCTACTCTGGAACACCAACCCATATGGGTCCAATGACTTCGAAACAAGGTAATAACTGTTTTATTTACTACAATGACTGTAAAACGAGATAACTTTACTTTTTCAATCAAAATAACATTCCATACAGTAAATAAGTGGCAAAATCGGCACTGGGCCTTTACGCTCTCACGCAGAGATAGACCATTAAAAACTCATTTAGTGCTAAAGAGATCTTAAGTCATAGATATGCATCTTTTCTTAGAAAAATATGATACAAGTATAATCACCCGCATTTTTTATTAAGTAGCACAATTTCATCTGTATCAGCATCTAAATTCGACATGATGGTTACTTTATGCTATGCTCAGTTTCAGTTGTTATACTAAAGGCAAAAGTAAAAAATAAAACTTCCATTGCGAATTCTTAACTATGTGTACTTAATTTATCTATGCAAATGTGCTCTCCCTTCCATAAATAATAATAGGTTGCCATTGCCGAGCTATCGATATTGACCTTAACATCATTCGTCTCATCACCCAATAAATCATCGTAATAGTACGACGTCGCTCTCTACAATGGCTTCTCAATTTATTAATTGACTCAATTCGTACAAATAACACAGCGGGAAGTCAAGAACATATCAATATGAGAATAAACAAGCAATTTCTGATCCAAATATATCAACAAATATCCATTAGATACTTTTCTCTCATTAATCACATTTCTTTGTACCGTGCGTGGGTGGTATTGATTGCAAAGTAAATAATCAATTATGTTCGCCTGTCTGGCGTAATTACTCTAGCCAGTCTCCGATGTGACTATGTTTCTAGTAACAATTTTCTCAAGTGTTCTTTATATACTTTTGAGTTAAATCATAGTACTTTTTCTGTAATCGCCCATGGTGATAGTCACCATCACTGCCTCTTTCTTAGTACGTAGGTGACCTGTTATATTGCTATCTGAAACAACTATAGAGCTGCCAATGACAGTTAATAAATATACCGCCGCCTTGGCTACAATGATTGCTTTAGATTAACAAATCAAACTCTTTTGATTGTATAACAAGAGATGCGTTTAGGATTGATAGCGCAGTCGAGCTTGTTATTCACACTGGAGGATATTGGTAAATTGCTCGTGATAGCCGGTCGGCATTATGTCTGCTGCGAATCAAATGCAAATTGTAGCGTGATCTTGGGAGCCGGCGACATGTATTCATTATCGTATCACTATCTGAAGGAGACTCTTCCGCCGCGCCTCGTGTTGTAAACGAGCCGTGAGAACAGCCTAGAACTGCAGTTAGATAACTGCCTGTTAGTAGGGTTAGTGCAGATTGTTAGAATCAATCTACGAGTCACGTTGCATGCACCAGCAGGATATTGTCATCAGTCATGATTGCAGGAACATATTCACTACCTATTGACCAACTCTGTCTGACATGTAGGTCGAGTACTTGAGACTCTATTATCGTAAGAAACTGCAATAGCTAAAGAAAACTAATGGTCACCAAATCTACTTCAAAGAAAATCGTGTCACGAGTTCCTCCGATTTACAAATGTTGTAATTCCAATGTCGCGATTTGCTATTCTAGCGGTCATGATTGAAAATCACATATGTAACAAGGAACATTATCATATGCCAGTCTAGGCTTACGTCATGTTGAATTGTGATAGGCCATGGTTTATATTGCTTATTGCGAACTTTACGAGATCGATACCGATGTTTATCCATTGTTATGTTTTTACATTTTACTACCAGACGAAGATTGCAGGGGTTTATAGCATTTTCGAAAGTCGTAAAAATATAATGTTTATTTGCTTAAATGGCCTTTATGAGATAATAATAGGTGATTACTGATAAGCCTGCCTCGTTGGCCGACCTATAATCTTAAAACTTTTGTTTTAAGCCCGTCGCAGACGTGGTAGACAAATTATCAGGTTGTCCAGCGTAAATAAGGGCCGCTACAGATTGACTGAATCTGCTACTATTACGTGTTTGTTTATCACTATAGGTAAGCTGAGCGTTGCTAATTAAAAATAAACACTTGTTATTTTACGATCCACGTATGAAAAAAAAACAAAAGAGTATTACTTATGTTAGTTGCCTTCCAGACCAAACGCGTCTGTAACAAATGAGGTTAATTAAGATTTCAACAATGTAGTAGTCACGTAAAATCAATATGAATTTCTAAAGGTCACATTCCAAGTATAAACCCTGACTTGAAATTAATTTCAATGAAAATTTTACAACCCAACACAAGAATATAATTTGGTATCAACCCTAAAATAGAACTAATACGCTAGAAACATAGTCATACTGATTTTCCTGTGCTGTGCTGTGTACCGTAAGCATTGATTAATAGAGTAATGCTTAACAATTAGACGATGATTACGTATACTTATCAAATTGCACCTGTCGAGTGTTTACGTTGCAAAGCGATTACACAATACACATGCAATTACTATTGTGCTGAGCACCTAGTTTTGAATACTATGGACTATGTTTTGTAAGTTAAAGAATTTAAATTAGCAGCTGGTATGAAATATCACAATCTCATTACAACATTCAAAATTAAGAGAGGGAGGACATCTCATTATTTGAGGAGGCCTATAGTACAACAGTTGTCTGCCACGGGATGTTATTAAGAAGAACATAATTAATATAATTATACACAATTAAAAAGCCAACAATATTATTCCATATTTCAAATGAATTGATGAGTATAAATAAACTATAACCTCATTACCTAGACAAATTCACGTTAAATATTGGGACCAATTAAAATAATAAAATTAAAATAATAATAAAATAACAAAACGGAGAAGGACATTTAAAAAATAATTGGAATTGCTATTGGCTTCGCGTAGACTCTTTGTCTCCATAACGGATAGTTATAAGCAATACCGAATGATGAATTTTACTGACAAATGCGATTGTATACTGTTGGCAAATATTACTAGAGCTCTTATTTTTTCATCAATATATGTTGGTTAATTTATTGCAATTTCTTAAATATCTAATAGCTCTATTGCTTGGCGAATTTTGCGTACAAATGCTGTGTTGTGCTATTATTAGTCATATGTATTATAGTAAACAGCATATCCGATGTTATTATTTACCCTCTAGAAATTCAAAAACATGTAAAATAACTGTTAGTATATAATGGTTTATTCTATTTTGTGAAGGTCTGGCCGCATCTTTCTACATGCCCGAGACGATCCGCTCTGAGATTTACGAGAGAAACGACGATGTCTTCTTGCAACCAGATCTTCGCCAGTATCCAGGTAAGCACCCCTATTAAGCTAGGTACCACAGCAAGACAAGCTGAGCACATAGGAGTCGGCTAAAGGCTTATATTATGAAGTTAAAAATGACTAAGTGAAGCAAAATGTTATGCTGTATGCACTATACTAATCATGATGAGATACATAAATCATTTCATGCATGCGCGGCGATTAAATAATGGTTAGGTAAGGGTGCTTTAAGTTTAGCCCTTTTCAAAGTGTCGTCAATACAACAAACGTCATAAAATTTGCCTAGATTGATTTGATGGCTGGCTGACTGACTAGATACACCTATTAATCGTCACGTCAGTCGTTGACGATTTTTTTTTATTGAGACCTTCAACGCCTTTCTGTCGGTAGTCAAAGGCTTTAGAATAGAATCCCGCTTTAGAATTACAGTATGACTAAGTCGAATTAGCATTTCTTTTACAATTCTAGGTTTAAATAGTTTATTCTCAAAAAGACATAAAGTAATAAACTACCTTAAATAAGGTCACCGATACAATCAATCAAAATACGTTACAATAAAATCAATGATACATGCTTAATATATAGAACAAAACTAACAATAAATAGGTATAGTGCCATTTTACCCGTTCAACGGTTTTATTCTCATCCTACTGGTTGAGAATAAAACAATTGAAACAAGTCACTAGCCTACTGGCTAGTGACTTGTTTCAATTATATATTTACTTAGTTGAGATTTAAAACCGCTGAAAGAGTTTACATTTTTTTATGTGGGACGGTAAACTGTTATAAAATTTTGCTCCTTCGTATGTAATGTCCTTTTTGGCGTAACTAAAAGACTGCACTTTTGGCGCGGTAACTGGGCAATCGGCTGGCGCGGAACGTGTAGCGGGTTCGATTCCCGCACGGAACAATTCTTTGTGTGATCTACAAATTGTTGTTTCGGGTCTGGGTGTCATGTGTATGTCAACTTGTATGTTTGTAAACGCAACCACGACACAGAAGAAAATCCTAGTGTAAAACATATGAAAAATATACTCCTCCCGACCAGACCAAACTCCACAAAGAATCGTTATTTTCCCTGTGTCTTACTCCAAGTATACTTTCTTCTTAACTACCACACGCTTTGAGGCCAAAATACCCTGCAATATAGCAAACTAGACTTTAACAATGTCCCAATTGCTATAATGAAGTGAAAGGCACTTCTAACAGTTTTTCTCACTTTCACGTAGGAGACTCCGTTAATCACTGAAGCAGATAATGTCTACTAGATATGGTCACCACAGCTTAGAAAATAATATTCGAGAGTATTCAAACGATATTATACTTTAGTTTTACTCAGTTTAAGGGTCAAAGTAATTTGCATCTGCCAAGGGTTGCAAGCTATCATAGACCACGATAACCACTTACCATCAGATGGCCCGTGTACTTTTCTTAGCACCGTTGTGGTATAAAAAAAACTCGTAAAATAATAGGGACTATTTCTGTTACCAAATCCTCGACAATTCCTAATAAAAACAAATAGAACACAAAGGAAACTTTTAAAACCCTGAATGACAAAAGTCATTTAGGATTTTGGTTTGTGAAGACTTTAAAGTTATAAAAAGCATTCAATTCAGTCCAGCACTTTTTGTTCAGTTCACTTACAAAACAAAAGGATACGAATGATCCACCCACTTTAAGCCAGATACAAGTCCCTTGTAATAAATAGAATGCGAGGCCCTTTTTAAGTAATTTTAAGTATTGGAGATTGTAAAAATCAAAATGCTTAAAAATACTTTGTTCTTGTCGCCCAGCTCAGTAGCACAAAAGAACTGTGTAAACATATTTTTTTATCTACAGATTTACCAGAAAACGTGGAAATGTATTCCGAACTGACGCCATTAGAGAGTATCGCACCGCACTGTATTGCGACATCATACCGCGCCACACACCGGCAGAGCGGTGAACATTATGCTCTCAGGCGCTTACATTCATACTCCACGTCTATCACAAAACGCCTGGAGATGTGGAAGCAGATTGACCATCCCAACGTCGTGAAGCTACACGACTGGTTCACTACTAAAGCTTTCGGGGACCACTGTGAGTATGGACGCACCTACTTTATTGTTATACGCACTTAAAACACACGCTGCACATCACTAATAACATCCTGTTATAAAATCAATCCTTCAATTTCTTACCTTAAAACAATACATGGAGATCCGTTACTATTATATACTGAAATCAGTTACTATTAGTAAATTACTTAGGCAACAGACATTTTCAAACTATAGGTTTACAAAACATAACGTAACATCACGCCTTTTATCCCCGAAGGGTTAGGCAGAGGTGCACGTTACGGTACTTAATGCCACAGTACGATGTAACTCCCACTTTTCATTATTTATTTTCCGGTCACAATTCCAGACTATAGGTCTACAATTTTTCTGTAAAAGTTATTCTGTGGAAAATAAGTAATAATAACTTCCATACATAGATATAATACGTGGAAAACAATATATCTGGCAAAACAAAAACACAAGATACAAACGACGCCAATGTATTTAATTAATACGCCATGGATCCTGATCGAGTCCTTGTTTCCGACCCTTGTCAATTTTCATTCGATGATTAATTCATCACTGTTTCTTTTTGTAAAATTAACATTTAGCAGCCGTTAAGGTCTCTTTGCAACGTGTCTCAGAAGTTCAGTTTCGATTAAGTTTAAATTGTTATAATAGTAAAATATTTTCCGACTCCAAATGCACAATTTCTATCATACATAACAACACCGCATGCGGCGCTGCGTCACGAACCTATAATTCATAATCGCGCTACTACTAAGTTTATCATTTAGCCTTGTTTTTTATATACACAATTATACCATTAAAACCCATTGTTTTGCTGCTATGTATTATAAGCGTTGCCGTTAAAATTCCATAGACAATGGGGTTTGCATTACATCCTTAGTAACTGGTTACTAACCAAAAGAATGTATTATTTGTAATGAGTAATGTTTTATAAATACCGTATCAGTTTAACCAATATCTATTTGTTACTATTCATATTGATGAGTCAGCATTTCTTAATTCTTATATCTGTACTAGCTTCTGCCAGCGGCTTCTAAAAAAGTATCAATCTAGCCCTATTTCAAATTTCGCCCCAATCCCGTTTTGACGTGTTTGAGTAACAACCATTAAATAAGATAATATCTCTAAGACTTGACTTAACGAGTTGCCGGGGTTCCGGCTCGAAGTGCAGGAGTAGGAACTCTAGTTCCCTAGTTGGGACCTATCCCATAAAGAATAATCTTTCTTAACCAAAGATCGTTGGTTACTCACGTGAATTTATGAGAAAAGCTGGGTCAGGCTGTGCGACATCGCCGCGACCGCGCACGCTGAGGAAGAATGAGGAAGAACCCTTCTGTGGGTCGAAACTAGTAGAGCTTTTCTAAATATATTCACGTGAGTAACCGGCGATTTTTAGTTAATTTACTATGTCTCACGATATTTATTATAAAAATAAGCTGAATTTTAATAATGCAAAACGAATGTACATTGTTTTACAAAGATAAAGGTAGCACGTTAAATTGTTGAATGTCTGCAGCTACTCAGACGAAGTCGGCCTTAATATCAGTTGTTTGAGTACATAGTTTTAAAACTTATTTACACATGATTCTAAGTAAATAAAAAAATATTTTTGGATTAACTGCCCCTTAAGTGCTATATGTTAACTTTAGTGTAACCTCATGAATTTACTGAATTGAATTTTAATTTTGTTTTTACGAAAGTTGAACACATGCAGTGAAAATTTAACATATGCAGTGGGTACCACTCCGCAACTATTGGTACCCTCTGCATATGTTGAAATCAAAATCAGGGGTGACGCAAGTACAAATGCTAAATTTGGTACTATTATACTTTGAAATTTTTATTAAAATGCAATCTTGTCCTGCAGAATTGACAGGCCTGAACGTTCTGGAAAATAACGATGCACTGAATTGATTTGTTTGTGTGATTTACATAGGCCTTGATTTTGCGTATCAGCATACAGAGGCCATAGCCCACATGCATATGACCGCGCACTTCTGTGCCGATTCTTTTGAGTCGAAAATGGGGTTTCAGAACCGTTACGACAGAGGCCAAATGAGGTCAACTAAAGGCACGGTCTAGCCAAATAAGGTCAATCAAAGTCACAGTCATGGAATAGACACAAATTCCGCTTTTGTCGTCTACTTGGTTCGCTTATTGACACATAGTTCTTTGTATTGTACGACAGCGATGGTGCTGGTGTACACCTACCACCCAGCCTGCACGACTTTGATGAATAAATATCTGTCCGGTGGCGCTGGAAACGCCGTCAACGATGCGAACGGTGCCTTCCACGACCCGTTCTCTTCCGACCCGGATGCACCCCGTCCATATACTCATCAGGTTTGACTCCTATTTGTAGCTAAATTTTAAATTACAATAATACCTAAAGTAATTGTGATGTTACACCATTATATGTTTCATGCTACGAGAATCCTTGTTTATGAATTTTCCTCATTTGACAGCTACTTATTATACCAAGAAATTCATCGATTTTGAGAACATCGATGCAACAAAACATATTTGTTATTCAAAATTATAAAACTTGAAACGCGAATGAGGGTCCTCGCTGTTTAACTAATGTATTAGTCTTTTTGCAATCGAAATGTGAAAACACATTCGTTTTTTTATTTGTACTTTTTTGAACTGTATGACTAATAAGTTGGAGGTAAATTTATAGACGCATCATTATTAGGTTGGATGACTCTAATGTCACAGAAATATTAATTACATTATCAGTCCATGATAAGAATAGACTATCCACCTAGGTGCCTGGCACTGGCCTCATATCCTTTCATTGGTATCTCTGAAGTTCTACTGTAAAATATATGAACAAATGCAGAAAAATGCGATGCTCCGCGCGGTGGCGAGTGGTGCTTTGCTCCCCGAGGCTGTACTGTGGAGTCTCCTTGTTCAACTCACGGCGGCGCTAAGAGCAATACACACTGCCGGACTAGCGTGCAGGTATACCAGCTGACTCCAGATTTCTATGATAAACATAATTATATTTTACTGCCTATACTATGTGAAGACACCTAAAGCATATCTAATAAGAAACCTTTTCCCCAGTAGCTTGGATCCCACGAAGGTGGTCATGAATGGCTGTCGCGTGCGCATATCCTGGTCCGGAGCCACCGACGCTCTGCATGCTAACAGTACTGATATCGCGCAGGTAACAAATCACTAGCATTACATCTTTTTCGACTAACAGAATAATCATCAATCATTGGTCTAACACAATAACCAACCAAACTCATACGATTCGTCGTAGGCACAGCAAGACGACCTGACGGCTCTGGGTAGACTCGCGCTGGCGCTGGCCTGCCGCACCATCCACTGCGACAACCTCGCCGCCTCCATGGAGCTCGTCGCGCGAACCTACTCCGCCGACCTAAAGAACCTTATACTGTATGACAATACCGTTATTTATGTACACTACCATTTAAGCTTACGCACAACTTTCCATTCTAATCCAAATTACAGAAGTTTATTCGTCATTTTCTTTTACATAAATTATTCCAACCGGTTTCATTTAGTTACTTTTGCCATGCGAGTCAGTCTTTATATTATTTCGATATTACAGTTTTATCATTTGATTACATTTAAATCACTCTAAAATACATACCTTCTTTTCAGTCACTAATATTATTCACTAGCCCGGAATTAATAAGTCTTTTCGTATGGTCCTTCGTAGTTAATGCAGTATTAATATATATCTTACATGCAGCAATATTTAACCCGCGAACAGACGAAAAGACTTATTTAGTCTTCCCCTACATTTTGCTTCTGATGGTTTACGTTAGTCTCTCAGTTATATTTCCGTATATCCCATTATGTTTTCATATTTAATTAAGATGCGAGGTAAAACGAAAGGTTATTGTCATTGCATTGGCAGGGTTAATATGCGAAACCTGATAAATCAACGTGTTGCGGGGGTCGGAGAACAATCGCCCCGAAGTCTGCGTGCGCTGGTTTCAATGAGCACATAGCTGTAGTAGCTTTTAGCAAAGCGGATCTACACAATATGCCAGAGGGTCCGCCATGCTGAGGAAGAGGAAGTAGTTCTCATAACAAAGACTTAATGATTCAAAGAGTGCGACTGGCACAGAACATTGATACGTATGTCTTTGGAGTAACCTTTCAGATATATGTCTAATACTGAATGGATGTAGATCATTATTTATTTGTACGCTAGTCGTCGGTGTTGAATACTTTATTCGTGATATGATAGGTACTGCTTAAGCTTTCGATGTTCCAACCTCATATGTGACCCGTTTGCGTGCCCTCTATATGTGAACATTACTGTGCGTGTACACTACAACACTTATGATTGTTGTTTCTGTATTATGTTAAATTCCATCTAGGTATTTATTATCGTCGTCGACTGCTCGCCGCTCCGTCACTGATCTCATGCCGATGATAGGTGCCAGGTTTTACACGCAGGTAATTTTATTTGTTTCCTCCATATTTATGTACCGTTTCACAATTATCTCTGTGAAAGTAGTTTTACTCACAGGTAAATTATATTTCAATACTAAAACGCATTAATGTTGTTATTTTGATCGTCCATTTCCATGTAGATAGTCCGTTATAGAAATGTCTGTTGACGAGCATGTTTTTGCTTTTATAGTTAAAAGTACTATTTATGTCGTAAGTAGTTATGGAATGGTTATGTTTCGTTGCAACCAGTCATTTATGGTAGTTATTTATGTCGTGTTACACCAACGATGAATTTGAGGATACGCGCCGTGTAATTGTCAGGTAAAATGTACATGCGTAAGGCACACATACTTTAAACATGAGTTAAAAAGATGTTATATTATGACTTGAAAATGTTTCTGTAGGTGGAGGCGTTGGAGCGACGTGCCGATGTATTCGAAGACCAACTGGCTCGCGAGATTGATAATGGAAGACTGCTACGCATACTCATCAAATTAGGAGTAGTTAACGAGAGGCCCGAGTGAGTGACACACTATCCATGCTGCTTATAGCCCTGTTCCCTTAGGAAGAGTACGGTGACGCTTGATTTCAGACATTTTACACAATTTAGATATAGTTAAAATTATGAATGCTTTTCACGTGAATGAGTCATACTTCAAGCAAAAATACGCCAGTTCGAACGGATTAATCTTATGTAAAACAACGCTGGCTTTGTGGTTCAACGAATGGATGTGATTTCGGAAGTACTTGCGAAACACCGGAAGAACTCCTCTGGTGTTTTGCAGATGTCCAAAAGTGGCGGTGATCACTTACTATCACAACCATTTCCTATCTGTCGGTAAATTTGGTCATTATACAGATATTTGATCTAGGCATCATTTGATAGGAATTCTATCTCGTACGAGACAAATCTACGGAAATTGAAAATTATCGCGAGATATTTTTTGAACATGTTTTAATATTATTTCTTTGCAGGTTGAACCTCGACGCGTCTTGGTCTGAGACTGGTGACCGGTACATGTTGAAACTGTTCCGGGATTACTTGTTCCACTCAGTGACCGCGGACGGCAGGCCCTGGCTCGACCAGGCGCATTTGGCGCACTGCCTCAATCAACTCGATGGCGGCACTACGGCTAGGGTGAGTTGATAAAGAGATTAGAATGTCAGGATTGATGGAATAACATTCTAAGTATGCTAAAACGTGCATAGTACCTTTAACAGACATTATTGGGGGTCCTAGATCTCAAGGAGAACTAGAGGTCGTTTAATAAGATGGCGCTATTATTCAATAGAATGATTGTCAGCGGCCCAGTTGCACTTCACTGCAGATTCCGTCGCTATTATATCCACCCTACATTGCACGTACGTTGTTATCTTCCAATTGAATGCAATTGTTACACTTTCTTGAATCCGTTTGATGCTATGTATGTAGTCTGTGTAATGCAATGACACTGATGATGGAGGTAAGTGATAATTAGAAATGTTGTGAGATTGTTGTTTGGTGCAGGTGGAACTGATGTCGCGCGACGAGCAGAGCGTGCTGGTGGTGTCGTACGCCGAGCTGAAGCACTGCCTCGAGCAGGCATTCGAGGAAGTGATGCAGGCGGCCGCCGCCGAGCCCTAGCTGCCGCCGGCTGCGTACCCGGCCGGCTACACATTGCAATAACTCGAGTAATTACTCCATCGCTGCCTTCATCGACGTGGCTCACACGCTCGATGTTCTTTACATGCCGCCGCTACATTACGCAGCACATAAACACATTGAACTGACCTAAACTAGTACTTGTAAGAATATTGACTCGTTTTAGTCTATCGCATGTCAAGAATGTCCGTCGTATGTATAAACACGTGTTAATATGCGTTACATGTGCATTTTTTTGACGATGTTAGTAGTCCAGTTAAAGTTATTAATGTTGATTTATTTGTAATGTGAAGCCGCCGAGCCGGTCCGTGTTCAATTCTGTCATCCGCGAATAAGATATTTTTGTAGGTGCGTCGCAACTTTTGTGCTGAATTCGTACAAGTTCGTATATTCGATGGCAGTTATTGAACCAGTGGGGATATCATTGTTACTTCCCCTATTGGGGTACAGAACATCTGTGGGATTACCAAAAATAACGAGTCTTAGTGAACAAGGCGCTTGTGCCCCTTTTCTTGTCCTTCAGAAGCTCTCTCGTCTAGTTTAGTATTACACGACAGAGCCAGTAAAGTAACAATGCTTTTCTAGGAATATTCCTGACTCTGGGTTGTAACGCGATCTCATTTCAGAAGCGGTCTCGACCCCTAGAACGCTTCTCAATAACTGCACCACATAAACAAAAGATACAATATTTTTTATACTTATAACGGTATTATTTATCTCTTTTAATTAATTGTGAACAATTTTAATGAATTGTGAATACTTTTAAAGTAATATTAATTCCTAACCTTTTGATCGCCAGAGTAAAGGACACGATATTTTTCATTTCTTTTGCTAATTACGTTCCTTAACTCGTTCTGATTTATGTTAATTGACCTTCTTTATTTATTAGTATATATTCTACACAACAACAGCGCGCAGGACAAGACATTCATATATAAAATTTAAGTACATAGGTCCTGTGGACCTTTCTTTAAGGGTCTATTATTTAAATAAAATGACAAAGACTTATAAAAATTATAAAATACTATGTAAGTATGTATTCTCAGCTTGGCGCTGAGGTGCCCTCAGTCTTTGCTTTTTTAACGAGGCGGTCAAAAGGTTAAACTAGGAATTTATTTATTCCTGGGTTTTGAGTGATCAGTCACGCCCACAAAATTATTGCATAAAATTGGGCCTTGTCGAAGTACCGTTACGATTAGCCGCCTGAACAAACGCCACAAACATTCCAAACTAACAACAACAAATGGTGAGAGCTATCAAACGACTGTTTTATTGAATTCAGAATTGAGCAGTTGCTAGTAAGCTGGGCGACGCGGCGGGGCCCGCTGCTCGCTGCTGTCGCTTTATCGAAAGACAACGGCACACGTGTGCTCAGCGTAACTGAACTGAGCTTTGTTTACACGGCCACAGTCACATCACATAAAGTTAATGTTAATGAAAGCCGTGCTCATCAGTTTACTTAGCTGAGACACGGGTGTACTCGTTGTTAGTATAGTTACTGTTATGTCACGTAGATCTGAATTTGTATTGTGTTGGGGCGGGGCGGTGCGGCCACCCGGTCGGTTAATGTTAGAAAGATCGGAAAGATCTCGATAATAAACCTATGGCAATAATACAGTTTTATATGGCCGCGGACGGCGCGCAGTGTCCACCTCGCCCTCGTTTATATCACGTTGTTGCAGTTTTATTATACATTAAATAAATTTTATTGCAATCTGTTTCACTCTCCCTCGGACGTCGTTGCAATGTCTGTCCTATACGGAGCACGGACGTTGCAGCTCGTCGATTGTTTTGGTTATAGGGTTCCGCAGAGAGGTAGCACATTACTCTCAACTAATTTATGTAAGTAAATTATTTGTATCGATCAAACGGTTAATTATTTTTTAATGTTAGTCAATGCTGGTTATTTAGGTGTTAAGCAGGGTAAGCGAACAGAGCTTTTGATAAGTTAATGACGTTTAAATTTATTTTGCTATGCACTATTGCGATTAAGTAAATCACGCTCAATTCGTCCATCCTATAATAATTGTGATCACTGTTGAATTAATGGAAAGTAAATAGAAGAATACGTATTTATAGATTGATGTTCTGTTTGTCTGCGGAAACCCTGTATACTCATGTTGATCCAGGGCAAGCTTATTATTCTATTCACGTTGGTAACTTTGTATCTAGAATGTGTTCAACTAGTTACTGTTTTACCATAAATGACCCATTTTTGGGAGAAATATATGACTATAGATCAATAGATGAAATGTACCTAGGTGCCTAGGTACAATAATTATGTTCTAATATTTATTTTGAAAGTAAAGTAGATATCCCATTGTTGAATTTGCAAATTCCGATCTATGTAGAGATGGACTCTGAGAATAAAAATATTTTGAGATAACTATAAGTGTATATTTTTTTCTAACAAATAAAACGTTTAACAAATTATGGTTCTTTTATTGTTTTTCTTTTAATACCCAGTTTAGTAGATGTTCTACTTATATCTTCTATTATAAGTGAAAAGGTAAAACCGACGTTCAATATCTGTTAAGATCTTTTATTATTTTGAATACTTACATCTGGAGTGACCCGCCCTACTAGTAGTAAAATAAATAAAGCTATACCGAGTATGGTACTCGGTCCAGACGGTTATATTGAGAATTTTTGAACGACAAGGCCGCTGCCTGTCTGCGGAATCTGCCCGATCTGAGAATTGTGCCCAAAACACCATAATAGCTTACTTCTCGACCTAGTCTCCAATGGAGAAATTCTAATAGTGAGGAAGACGACGGAGATTGACAAACTCTAAAACTGAACTGATTCAAAACTACGCTGATGTCCCACCGCTAGTGGTTACGAAGATACCTACGAAACACATTCTACCGTACACTCCAGGACCTATCTATATTGTTTTAGTAAAGTTTTGTTATAAACTAGGGGAACCGGTAAACTTCGTACCGCCTAAAATTTTTTTTCACACATTTTAAATCTTCTATGTTCTTTTATAAATATTTCTTTTTTCACGATCATTGACTGCCTCGTTGGCCAAATGGTTGCAAGAGCGACTACTGGGCAAGGCGTCTCGGGTTCGATTCTCGGGTAGGACAAAGTACTACTGGATTTAAAAAAAATCTCAGTGGTAGCACAGAGTCTGGAATTGTGCCCGGTGTATGGCAATATTACATAGGACTTTAACATAAAATAGTGAAAACTGGGTGTTATATATTACAGTGGCATTAATTGCCGTAATGTGCACCTCCGCCTTCGTCTTCATCACGCTTTTTTGGGATAAACAGCGTGATGTTATTTTATGTGATGTGACTTTCACAAACATTTCAAGACCAAAATTTGATAAATCGGTTCAGCCGTTCTCGAGTTTTAGCGAACTAACAAATCTTTTTATTTATATAGATATTATAATATTAGTCAGTCATATGTACTTAATTACTAGTTTGGAAGTGATGCAATTTAAGCATATACCGAATAATTAGCTTCTCCCGCGTTCCCGTGGGATAATAAGAAGCCTATATGTTATTCCAGAGGTATAATCTACAACTGTAACACATCCTTTAAAGCGTTTTGACATAATTGTAATTAATGTTACAATCGTACACACAAACTTTCGTATTTTTATTGTTAGTAAGAAAAGTACGCTTACTCAGTAAAGTGTTAAGTTCAATTTCTGGATCGGGTAAACATATAGGTACATAGATATCAGTATCACACATAATACCTGCATACCTACTACCACCAACAAACAGGTAGCAGTTCATCAGTGATCCGAATTATCGCCCTTCCAGCCGTTTTTAAATAATTCCCATTAATTTTAGTAATAGAATCAAAATTCTCAATATTATTGTCACTAGGTATATGAATACCCTAAAAGGTGCACTTTTATTTTGGCCAAAAGAATATATAAAAAGTAATTACTTAATTCTTATTATCATATTAAAAACTCGGAAACGAAGAGAGTACAAAATTAGTCTACCTTTTTACCCAGGTTTCAACAGGTTTCAAGATTAAAATAAAAATCTTATGGTGTATGGTCGGCTTTACTTACATACTTGCCATATTCAAAAAATGTGAAAGAGACAAAAATGATTAAATCTGAACGCACCTGATATTTTAGAGTCATTCATCCATCACTGTCTGTTTTCTGAATACTGTACGGTCTGTTTGTAAATGTCAAACAAACATTAGCGCAGTGTGTGTGTGAGACACGGCCGCACGGTTTATTTTATCCACCCGAGACTACTTACTTAAATGCTCATACATAACTGCATCCGATCATTATTTTATCCCATGTAGTTGGTGGCACTACCACAGTCTTGTTACATCCGGCGGTGATAGCACCAGTGCAATGAATCCCGTCTGCTATAATGGGGGGGCCCATGATAGACTTATACATGAGGCTGACCAGCTCATTTCTCATATTGAGCGTGGTTCCATGATCCTAAAACTTTATCCGCGCAAGCGGCCTGAGCGTCGTTCTCTGTCCGTAAGAAGAGAGACCCTACAAATTATTTGGGCCAGGGCAGGCATTCCACCGAAGAACATGTTTGAGGGCGCGCTCGACATACGAGACATCAAGGAAGTTAGGCTCGGCAAGGGTTCCAAACACTTCGAGCGGTGGGCAGAGGAAGTCAAGAGGCTGGAGAGCTCCAAATGTTTCACCATCTATTATGGTTCTGAATTCAAACTGCGCGCAGCTTCGTTTGCAGGTAATTTATAGTTTGTAAACATGTCTAATTATATCGGGGCCACCGAATTGTCACATAAATTGCTGGCTGGATGTGAAACTTACATAGAATTTGCATTGCTGAGTTATTGTTATGATTAGTGTATGTACACATTTCTAGCGATATGTATGTTCTAATTCTGAGTCACTGAGCTACTTTAACAATCTGCAGCTCAAACTGACAAGGAATGTGAGGCCTGGGTAAAGGGAATCAGGTTTCTCATTGAGGAGGCAGTAAATGCATCGTACCCTTTGCAAATTGAGAGATGGCTGCGGAAGGAGTTTTATGCTATAGAAAATGCTCATGAAAAGTAAGTAGAAGTCTTGTTTATTTGATACAATGTAAATTAAAATATTCCTAACCTTCAGTAGGACAACCATTGTCAAATGTGAATATTGAATAATAAAATATATCCTTTTTTATATTGGCATTTGATATCAGATACAATTGTAGCTGTGTTCCACAGAATATAGACAGGGAGACTTCTTTTTTTACATACATTACGCTGATTTTTAAACATAGAATTTATAATGAAACTAGACATAACAGAAAATTCAACCAGTAAACTAATTTCTGTAAGGTTTGTGTTGATAAATATTAATGAGTGCAACTGAATGAGTATTATGGCATTAGCAAGATTATTTTAAACATAAAATGATTTGTAAACTATATTTTATTCATGTAATATACAATAAGTATAGTCTGGAGTTGAACTGAATAGGAGGGCTGTCTGTGTGATTATGAATAATACTGTTTGAAGAATGCAAAATACATCAGTGGTAAGAAAGTAGTATTCACAGGAATATTAGAAATTAAGAGTCTTTAACTTATTTACAGGGAAAAAAACAAATGTTTTGCAGCAAAGTTCTTTAGACTTAAATTCAGAAGATTTTCGGGGGTGAAAAAACAACACACGTAATTTTTCTGTATCACACAATCAATTTGTTTTCCAGATATGTAAAATCTGGTTAGCATAGCTGCGCATAGTCTTTTCTTTTTTTTATGAGTAGACAGCATGGTTTGCTTATGGAAGCTAAAATATTTAAGTATGTGTCAATGTTTTTTTTAAGTTTCTTTTAGTATTATACCTAAATAGGATTGCTGAAATGTCATTGCATTGAAGAACTACATTATTGAAGCTAATATCCAATGGCTGTTAAGAAACTTAGGGGCCTAACGTAATTTCTTTTATCATTTGAACAGTTACATTTTTACATTACTTTACTTTATTGGAGATAACATTCATGTTGAAAAAATAAGGTACTTATGAGGCGTTCCAAATGTAAAGATCAATGTTAAGTGACTTCAATGCATTGGTTTGATACTGCTCATTTATTTGGTTCTAGTTATTAGTTCAAATGCCCTGTACAACGTCTTGTAGAGATTTTACTTTTATTTTTGTTTAGATTGTTCATATGCTCCGCCTATGTATGTGTAAGACTAATGCGTGTTTCGTATTATTTAGCATCTCTTTGAAAGAAGTGAAAGGATTCCTTCCAAAAATAAACTGCAAGATAGCTACCAACAAGCTGCGGGATATATTCCAAGAGGTGGACACAGACAAAAGGGGAGAAATCGGCTTTGACGACTTCTCTAGCCTTTACCAAAAACTGATTTTTGACGAAAATGTGAGTTTGTGTTTCGAATATAGAACTTTTTGTCATTTTTCATATAAAATAATGTACCTTTTTCTTTTTCTATGCATCTACATTGGTTTAAATGAACTTTAACTGTGTGATTTCCATCAACAGAGCGTGCACGATATTTTTGACAAATACTCGTTGTACTGCAAGAATGGCTCGACAATAACTTTGCGTGAGTTCCAAAGCTTCCTCCGAGTGGAACAGCATGACAGGCTTGGGGATGACGAGGCCGTCGCCTCACAGTTCATACGAGATTACCTGCGCGATCCGCAGAGGGATATCTATGAGCCGTACTTCACTCTGAATGAGGTAAACTTTTTAAATTTGTTTTTTTTTTTAAGTGGAGGAAAATCATCGAATGGCTTCTCCCGCCCGGATGAGGCGGGAGAGAATGTCAACTTAGTGACAAAAACCACCCCTTTCCTACTCTGCACTTCGAACCGGAGTTTCGGTAATTTGTTACGTTCTCCGCGGCTCCATATCAGCATCAACCCTATTGGGCCCCTTCTGTGGTGGTGTGATGAGTCTTTGAGGCGTACGCCGAACACGACGCGCCGTACGCTTGGGTCTGGTTTTGTACCCTTAGTACGAGTTTGTTTTACGTTTACCGAGATCGAAACGAGACAGTGTTCGTCGCTCTTATTGGTGGTTCATTAGAACGGCCAATCAAAGCGCCGAAAGCTATCTTTAAACGTAGAACAAACTCGTCATAGGCCCTCTAGTCGGGCGGCGAGCTACCCATGCTCGCTGTCCGCAAGCCCGTGCTTACGGTGGCCAGAGATCATCTCGCGATCCCCGACGCCCGGTGTGCCCTTCGCGACGGCTGACTTATCAGGAGGCAGCGCTTCGTTGCCTTACGCGTCTCGCCTCCTCCTTGGCTAAGGAGGAGACGGCATCCCATTTCTCCTCGCTCCGCATCATGGTCCGAACTAGGGCCGGACGCGAGAAGTCGCCAATCACATCCCTGAGGACACGAAAGTGTTCGGTCCATTCAGGGCACGCCGCCAACCTATACTCCACCGTGTCCTCCGGGCAGTCTTCACAGTGATGATACCCAGGCATTTTCTCCTACCCTACAGACACAGGTATGTCCCTCCCGAAACTCCCATGTCCGGTAAGTACCTGCGTCAGGCGGTAGTTGATGACGCCTTAGCAAGCCACTCCTCAAAGAAGGAAGTTACCGTTGCCATACCGCCATGAGATCGCGCTGTAACATTCTGCCACACATTAATCTGGCGCGGCAACGAAGTTTCGCCTCGAGGACGTGCCTCCGCGCACAAACAAAAAACGCGTGCAGACCGTGAGGGCCTTCGTCTACAGATTTCTCGGCGGTAATCCTGCAAGGAGATTCGCAGCCTTCCCGTTGACCGTCCGATGTCCGCGGATCATTCGGATCGCCACGAGCCGCATCATCGCTTACCGCCAGGCGAGATAGTGGTCGGCGTCGGCCCATCAAAAATATAAATAAAAAACCTCTGAGACTTAAATATTCGTACTTTTAGCACCTACTGATTTTACAAAGGTATAAAAAGCTCTTGTTATAGATATTGATTTATTTCAGTTTGTTGAGATGTTATTCTCGAAACAAAACACCATCTGGGACAGTAAACATGACGCTGTGACACAGGACATGACGAGACCACTATCCCATTACTGGATATCTTCGTCACATAATACGTAAGCACCTTTACATTTTAATTTCGTCGCAAATTCTCTCTATATGTACGCCCACGTCGATTGACGTCAACAAGAAATATTGACACGTCGCATGAAATTCTATCGAGATTTATAACTTGTGTCTGACTCTACATGAACTATATATGTTTCTCCTTGTAGGTATCTAACCGGCGATCAATTTTCGAGTGAATCGTCTTTGGAAGCTTACGTTCGTTGCCTGCGGTCTGGGTGCCGATGCATAGAACTCGACTGCTGGGATGGCCCGGACGGAACTCCATTTATTTACCACGGCCACACACTGACCACCAAAATAAGATTCATGGATGTTCTGCGAACAATAAAAGAACACGCTTTCGTAGCGTCCGACTACCCTTTGATTCTGTCGATTGAAGATAACTGCACCTTGCCTCAACAACGTCGTATGGCGACCGCTTTTCAAGATGTCTTCGGAGACTCGCTGGTCGTCCAGCCATTCGATAAAAACGAGACTTGTCTGCCATCACCTGAAAACCTGCGCAGAAAAATAATTCTAAAACACAAGAAGTTGCCGGAAGGGGCGGAAGAAACTTCCTTTTCGTTTCGTCAGGAAGAGGTAAAGGATTTAGACTTGCGGAATTCTATCAAGAACGGAATATTGTTGCTCGAGGACCCGGTAGATAAGGAGTGGAATCCCCACGCTTTCGTACTGACGGAATCTAAGCTGTATTATACTGAGCATTACAGCAATCAGCAGGAGACTGATGCGGAGAGTGATGGAGAGCCTGAAGCTGAGGCCCCTGTGGTGCCTCAGGAGGAGCTGCACTTCGGGGAGTGCTGGTTCCACGGCAAGCTCGCAGGGAACAGGCAGGAGGCTGAGGAGCTGCTGCGGAACCACGCACACCTCGGAGATGGCACCTTCCTCGTGCGCGAGAGCGTCACATTCGTGGGCGACTACTGTCTGTCGTTCTGGCGCCAGGGCAAGGTCAACCACTGCCGCATCAAGTTGAAGCAGGAGCGCGGTGTCACCAAGTACTACCTCATTGACACCGTCTGCTTTGACAGTCTCTATAGCTTGATCACACACTATCGGCAGCATCCATTGCGTAGCCAGGTAAGTTTGTCTGAATTATAAGTTGGTATACCTGTTTTGGTTAGGTTATGAGCAATGTTTCAGAATAACAAAGTAATATTCTTCTAGGAATTCTTGATAACGCTAAGGGAACCGGTGCCTCAGCCAAACAAGCACGAGGGCAAGGAGTGGTTCCACCCATTCTGCACACGTGCTCGGGCTGAAGAGTTGCTGCGCAAGGCTAACACTGACGGCGCGTTTTTAGTCCGACCCAGCGAGAAGGACAACTCTTCGTTTGCTATAAGTTTCAGGTATGTATCTATTCAATAAACTTGCATTAAATAATAATATGTACCTACCAAACAAATACTCTTTGCTATTACTATATTTTTGACATATCTCATCCATAACTTACTGGACTCGAGTATCTGAGAGAAAATCACTGGATTTTATCTGAACATCTGTAGATCTTAGAATCATCGATGTTTTTTTCGGCATATATTATACTTGTTTGACCATGGTGTCTGCCTGGTCATATGTCATTCATAAAGAAATATATCATACAAAGGCGTCAAGAATCACGCGAACCACATCTGAGCTGAAGCAATCGCTGCAATCAAATATTTTGCGTTGCGGCCCCTCTGCGGCTAACGAGCAAGAACAATAAGAAAATTGATGTGATTGAATTGAAAAATGCGTTTAAATTGCTGTTATCTAGTGCATCTATCATTTTATTTATTTGATTAGCCTTGCCTCCTTGACACGTATATGGGTAGTTAGCTACCTGCCGCGTATCTACACGGTATACTGCATTTATGCAGCAGACGTCTTTGAGATAGTACCTTTGAGATAGTATTTCGTTTGGTGTTGTATCGTGAGTACCTCAGGCTTCAAGTAGGTACATAGTGTTTCTCTGATTATTATCTAAACCTAGGAGCAACTATTTTGTATTAATTGTTTCCGGAGACCATTCTTTGCGCGATAAATATTTAAATATTGCGATAACTCGTTTACAAAATAGTATTAAAATCTGATTCTGTTTTAAATATCTTTTATGTAACAACAATTCAGTTGCATGTCAAAGTACTAATCTTAAGGTCATCGATGGTTACTGTCATATTGCATCTTTCTTATTATAATACGTAAATAGGTACATTGTCATTATAAGTGCATTATCCGCATGCTAACCAGTGTTCTATACCTACATTGTAAAGTTAGTCTATTGATTCTTTCAAATACTTTTTAGCTTTCGACTGAGGGTTTCGTGTTTTCGCTCTTATAAATTTACAAACCGTTTTAAGGATATTTTACCTAGAATTGTTATTACAGGTAATTATTTTATAAATATATTTTATTTTTCAATATTTATTTCTTTTGCCGTAATTGTCGCATTGTAACATTAGGCTTAATTAAATTGTAACATTTAATAAATACAAGAACAAATTCATACTTCGTGCCAACATACTGCCAATTATTTCGAAATTTAAAAATCTGATTCAATCGAGCCGATGACCGACTGACTGACTAAACCAATAAATATTTGTAAAAACTGACCGAAATAGAATAAAACATTTTTTCTTAGATATTCGATGCTAGAAATAGAAATACTACTCACAACAGTGAATCAGACCACTGAAGAAATTTCGTTCTCAAATTGCAACTAAAACAAATTGCAAGCAAAGCGAGAAAATGCCCTTGAAATTGCTAAGTAATAAAGTAGTTATGGTTTTTCTCCTGACCTTTCCCAACTAGGCCGGGGTCAGCGCCACATCTCGGCTAATTGTATACATTCTACGAGGAGGTGCTACACTATCTGCCCGACTCCATCGACTGGGATACATAAATCCTAGGTTCTTTTCAACCCATAACTAATAGATCGTCTAAAAAGTTCCGTGTTGCATTGTACCTGGGTTTCTCGCTGTTGCAATCCATCTTTCGTGTCTCCTGCAAAAAACCTGATCCTCTAAAGTCCTTACTTATACGAGTTACAGTGCTTGGGAAAATGGTGGCTATTTATAGTACAATCATCAAAATATTTTGGTTATCAAATTTTACCTAATACTAATAGCAATGATTTGGCTAAGTCTAATGAGTTTCCAACTCTTAAGTTCATCGGACGCCAGAGAGAAATGTAGCGGCAACCGAAAATCTAAATCGGTTAAGTTATAATGACTGGCACATTTAGATAAAAGTAGGCATGAAGGTTATATCTACGTGATTTAGCTATACCACAATAGATAGTGCCTACATGAGTCATTAATGGGAATTAAATCATTGGCATACAACTTCCTATGCGTAGTATTTACCCTAATATTTTGTCAAATCGCGCATACTTTATTACCGTAGTTAAATGTCAATTTGACTCGAATTTATGGCTCGGAAATTGCACTAGTACTTCTAGATTATATGTGAAATTGTCACAGTTTAAGTACACATCATAATCGCGGCTGTGGCTACATGATTAGAAGTGGTTGCCGTTTCAGAACGTTTGTGATAACACGGTCGTACCTAACAATATACCTACAGAGGTCCAATGAGTATTAATCTTCTTCTATATATATAAAAGAATGTCGTGTTAGTTACACCACTTATAATAACTCAAGGACGGCAGAATAGATTTGGCTGAAAATTGGTAGGGAGGTAGCTTAGAGCCAGGAGACCGACATAGGATACTTTTTAACCAACATTTTTTTTTTACTTTTTACCGAAAATTACGAACGGGGACGAGAAAAAATGGGATTATGCGTACGAAGTCGCGGGCAGAAGCTAGTAAATAAATAAATGTTCATCCATGTACGTAATAACATTTTCAGGACGCAAAGGGAGATAAAGCACTGCAGGATCAAGCTCGAAGGCCGTCTTTATACCATCGGCACGGTGAGGTTCGAGAGCCTGGTCGAGCTGGTCAGCTATTACGAAAAGAATCCCTTGTACAAGAAGGTTACGCTGTGGCTGCCCATTAGCGAAGAGCTTGTTAGGCGTATCATAGCCGTAAGTAACATTTATCGCTTGCGGTTAGCTTTAAAAATAAAAGTATCTTTAAATTTCGCTATGGCGATATGCCGTTAAATAATTATCAATGACGACACCCTTTTCATGAATCTCTTCTATGCTTAACTTAAACAGAATTAGCTAATTGCTAAGGAAGTAATATAGTAATGTACATGTAGATAATAAAGAATAATAATCTATTGTTACACAGGAACCTGACGACAACACTGTATACGGGACACCGGGCTACATGGATCCGACAGCTTTCACTTCCAAGGTAACTTTTATTAAATTCTCATTAAATACTCTTTGCAATTAGTCTTCCATATTGACTGTTATATGAGCAATTGATTACAGTAATGATATACCAAAGTCGAACTACCTACTTAGGATTGAGAATAAATAGGTTTTCAGTAGAGGCAACTAACATGCTTTTAAGATGATATGATCGGTCCAATGCATGGCACAATATGGAGTAATGATTAGGCAATTATTGCATGTTAACTAATAACACAGGTGCCTTGCACAGTACTGGATTAACTGGATGAACAGGCAGATGAATATGAGAGCAAACATGGTTTTTTTTTCAATGACTTAACATAACATCACGCCTTTTATTCCCGAAGGGGTAGGCCTGGGTGCACATTACGGCACTTAATGTTACTGTACAATGTAACACCCACTTTTCATTATTTATGTTATGAGTACCTTGTAATAGGGGGTGAGCATATTGCCATATACCGGGCACAATTTCAGATTCCGTGCTACTACGATTTTTAAAAAAACCCAGTAATACTTCGCCCGACCCGGGAATCGACCCCGAGACCCCTTACCCTTACCGGTAGTCGCATTTGCAACCACTCGGCTAACGAGGCAGTCTTCAATCAGTGTTTCAATTATTAGTATTAAAAATTAGGTTTCCTATTAAATCTTAGATATAACTAATTACAATACAAGTAGTATCTTGATAAAGTCATCGTCGTTTTGTTTGTAAGCGTAAGATAGTAGCGAAAGTATAATGTAACTTACTTTGACACTTCTTAAAACTTTGTTCTGTAAGTAAATGGGCAATTACCATTTCTAACATTGTTAACACTGATGCCTGAATACCGAAACGCCACTCAATTAGCTACTTGCCTTATATCAAAAATAAATTATTTCGACTGTTCAATACAATAAAACATTAAAAAATAATATGTAACACTTCCATTAATTGATTTTATGACTAACTTAATTTTAGTGTTTTTCCAGCAAATTTTTAAGAAATAATTTTGCTGTTTGATGCTAAAAGAACGTGACGTCACAATACACAATTTCGTGTAGAATTCATAGAAAACTGTCGTTTTTATCAGTTCGAAAAAAAAGTATTGAATTTGACTAGTTGGCAAGTACCAATTTTAAGTCGCGCTTAAGTGTAGTTATGTAACTACAAATTCTATGTAAAATGACAGAGACAGAACGATATTTAAGTACAACTTAACATTGTATAGCCTTTCAGTATTCGGATGAGAGTATATTAAACATTGATTAGAATTTACTTCACAATTTTCCTTAAAGTAACATAACAATATGTCTAATATTATTGTAGTTCTATTATGTCATGATAAATTATTACTTTCACTATCTGTTCCCTAATGTTTTCTTATATGTATAGATTCAGGAGATACGGAGTAATGGTGGATCGGTGAACAGGTTAACTAACCAGCTTATAGTTAATGCACTTAGCTTTACAATTTGACCCATAATTGTATTTAATAACCTGCTCAATACTTTTACGTATTTTTAACCAATTACTCGTCCTAACAATGTTCAATTGTCAAGTTATTGAATACAATCTATTATTATTATTTTAGTATTACTCAGTTAAAATAAGTTGTCTTTCATTAGTTTCATTTTGCTCAATCGTTGGCCAGATGATACTTACTATGCATAGTTATTACTGTTTGAAGTTATTCATGTCACGATGTTAATTTACGTTGATTTGAAATCGCAATATCAGAGAAGGACACTTCTATCACATATGTAATAACAAATTGACATAAAACTGTACAAACTGCTTATGATTAACTACGCACGTATTAATGCTAACTTTGGTCATGATTCTACTTAAAATTATCTACTAATAGCAATCATCATGAAATATAGAGGTTCCTGCTTTAATCCATAGTAGGACAGTATTTCTACAATTACATTTAACATGATAATATATTAAAATTAGTTAAATAAGTAGTAAACAATTCATGGACATATATAATTAGAAATGTTATTAGAAATTTGTCAATAGTGTAGATTTAAGCATCAGCTTCGTACCAATCGGTTTGTGGCATAAGAGCTTTGGTGGTCAAGACAAATAGATTGTTGCTAATGATGAGTTTTGAACAGGTGACTGTAAAAGCTTTGTACGACTACCGCGCGCGGCTGGACGACGAGCTGTCGTTCTGCAAGCAAGCTATCATCACGAACGTGGACAAGCCGGACGGAGGCTGGTGGCGCGGGGACTACGGCGGCAAGAAGCACCACTGGTTCCCAGCTAACTACGTGCAGGAAATTGAGGTTCCGCACATTCCCGACGGCCCAGTTAGTATTGTTGACTCGGTAGCGACTAGCGACGCAATCACGCAACGCATCCATCGTGATAAGAACCCTAGAAACATTCCGCCTACAATAACATTGATTCTTTATTTTTATGTTGTTTCTATTTCTATGTTAACATTGATTTTGTTATTTCTCTGTCTAATTTCATATTTTCTTCTTTTACTTGTTGTAATTTCTTTACTTCCTTTGTTTTCATTTTTATTTTGGTTTTGACACAGTTGCTGATGTTTTGAGTGGATATCTAATATAATTTATTGTCATAGGGTCTCGAGAACGAAACCGCAGCTTTGGGCTCATTACAGAAAGGCGTCGTAGACGTGCTAGGCGCTGTGGTGGAACTGGTAGTGGGTGAGGAGGGCGGCGCGCCGCGCTGGCTGGTGCGCATACAGAGCCCGCAGATGTGCGGCCCCTTCGACATGGCCGCGCCCACCCGCGAGATTGCGCTCGAATGGCTCACCGCCATCAAAGAGGCTGCCATCAGTGCCAGTGCCCGCTCCCTCCAGCATAAAAAGATGGAACGCACATGGAGGATTGCTAAAGAGATGTCTGACCTGATAGTCTATTGTCGCTCCGTCACTTTCAATCAGGAACGCATACGCAACAAAGGCTTCATTTACAACGAAATGTCTTCTTTCCCCGAAACCAAAGCTGAGAGGCTGATGTGCCAACAGGAGACTTCTTTCTTCCTCAAGTATCACACCAAACAACTGAGTCGCATTTATCCGAAAGGACAGAGGATTGATTCCTCGAACTACAACCCTGTTCCATTCTGGAACGCTGGCTCTCAGATGGTGGCTCTGAACTACCAGACTCCAGATAAGCCAATGCAGATTAATATGGGAAAGTTCAAGGAGAATGGTGGATGCGGTTACGTCTTGAAGCCGGAGTTTATGTTTGATGACGGCTATAATCCGTATTCAAAGAAGAGTATTGAGAAGAAAGTGAAGCCGATGTTAGTGATGCTGCGTTTGATCGGGGCCAGGCATCTCATAAAGACGGGTCGTGGTACTACCAGCCCGTCAGTGGAAGTCGAAATTATTGGAGCGGAATATGACTCTGGCACTAAACTCGTCACAAAGACAGTTGGTGAGTATAATACACACCATACATTCCTCTGAGGTTTAACAATATGGGTATACAATCCAGAATCTAGTTAAAACCGTTATGAATACATTACAGTACCCCCATATAGATTACTTTGTCATTCATTCAATATTTTAACGACATTCCTTTTTCGTTTCAGCTGATAACGGCCTAAACCCGATTTGGAATGACATTTGCGAATTTGAGGTGGCAAACCCCGAACTGGCTCTCATTCGTTTCCTTGTTCAAGATGAAGACATGTTCGGCGACCGAAATTTCATAGGACAGGCAGTATTTCCAATCACATGCCTGCGATCTGGGTACCGAAGTGTGCCATTGACCAACGCTTATTCAGAGGAACTTGAGTTATCATCGCTGATGGTCCATATATCCTTCATCGTCACCAAATAGATGAATTAGTAAATATATTCCCCTACAGCTGGGCATGATGTTTGTAGCCAAAAATTTGTCAGGATATATGGAGTGAGGTAAAAATATATTTATTTCACTACTGGAAATTAGAGAGGCAAAATTATTATATTTACTAAATATTTATGATCATAATGTTATGCATTTATGAAACTTATACAACTTGATATAATATTGACTTCTAGAACGTACAATTATTTTATTCATATAAATTATAAATGTTGATAGGAGTAGAACTAATAAGTATATCGTGTCAAAATCTATGGTAGTGTAACAGGTTCAGATTTGAGGACATGATTCACAGTGTATTGAAACACGGATGCACTATGATCGCAGTTAAAAACATAAGTTGATTTGTGCAGAAGTAATTTTGTTTTACATAAATTAGAAAAAAATAGTAGATAATCGAAGAATGCTACTTTTCGTAAGGCTCTAATTAACATTTATATTTCTTCGTGAAAACATTGTTGAATCATTCTTACACACATCTGGCCTGACGTTACAACTAAAACACTCGACTAGTGTAATTTGTATTTATATTATATTTACATATTGTATATGTATATTGCAGCTTAAAAACAAGGTTTCTCGAAGTTTTTAAAGCCTTGATGAACTTTCTCGAATATTTTGTGTACCTAAGATAAACTTGATCTGAATGGTTGCTATTTTAGCCGGCTGCTATTTTGGCAGCTTATATAAAGGGCTGGTGCCACACTATATGTAGTTTAACAAGTAAATGAGTGCTATGGCGGTGCTTGAACCCAAATGAACTAACACTACCTTATCTATGAATATTTAAATACTTCTCTTGCATGTTTATGGTGAAAGTTCAAGCCCGTATGTATTGTAATTGTAAAGTGAGAAGAGTGCCTAACATGCTAATTTATTTGAGGTTTGCAAACATGGTCTTCCTCGTAAATCCTAAATATCGTCTTTCTATTTTTAGATTGTCCTTAAACTAGGTATAGTAACACACAGAACCCTTGGCTGTTGCCAGTTATTTAATAACTTTTAACATTATTTCCAATTTAAACTAATATTTTAAGGAAGGTCATGTTTATATTTGTGTCAGGGAAGCAAAGAAAGCATAATATGAGCTTACTAAGACTGATTGAGGTAAACACAACAAAGTGAAATGAAAGTGAGAATACTAAACTCTATTGAAATTCCAAAGATTGGGATTATAACCTTTACTGCTACTGTGCAAACGCTAGAGTAAAGATACGATGGAGGACGCATGAAATTGTCTCCGTTGAGTTTTAAAAAATACAGAAATCGATTAATAAGTAGGACTTTAGTCAATGTCGATTTCTTTGTAGAAATATTTTGATGACGCGAAATAATCACAATACATTGTAATCAATTATGTTTTGTTAATGTATATGTATTTTTAATTTATAGCATAATTTAGATAACGCATATGCAATTTTCCAAATATTTAGTTAAGTTCAAATATCTTCAAGAGCGTAAAAATATTGACCAGTTGTTTGATACATTGTATCGTCAGTTTTATCTTACCATATTATATTTCAGTTTTTTAGCATAATACATTAATGAAAATATAATATTTATTATATTATAATACATTTATATGTACAGTATTTGAATATTTTCAACTAACTACTATAAATGTGCACAATGTAATTTTCATACATATTGGAAAGTTGTAACGGTTTGTTGCAGGTGAAAGCAACCTCTTGCAATATAGAGCAGTAGCGATATCGTTACAGTTATTATTGAATTCGATGACGTAAATACAGCTTTTATAAAGATATTTATTCATATCCGCTTAGTATTAATATTGGAATGAAGGATCCCTAATTCCTTGCGTCTATTGCCTGTGTCATCTGTGAAAAGTTAAAATTAATAAATTAAAACAAATATGTTTTTTAAATATCGTCTGAAAACCTATAGGCGAAGTCGATCGAAAATTATTATATTTGATTAGTAAGTCGAAGAATTTCAAACGTTATTTTTAAAGATACATCGAAAATATGATAAAAACATACAAGTATCTAGATCTTACCTCTCTCTAATTACAGATTTATTATTATTGTATGATGAAATATTATTTGTAGGACATAAAAATCACAGACTAATGATAGGAATGCTATTATTTTTATTATGCATTTACAATATATCTATTTTTACTAAGATGAAATATGATTAATGCATTGACATAATTTATAGTGCAATATATTATTGAAATCGTTTAATTACTTATGTATTTAAATCACATACGTAGCGGAATATTTATTATTCGAGAAAATAACGTGCTTTATTGGTCTGTTATTTTTATAAAAATAAAACTATCTATAAAACAATGATTTTAATCTTGTTTACTTGAAGATTACTGTATTCTTCTGCTTGTATTTTTAATGAAAGTAAATAATCATTGTAATTATACTTGTAATGGATAACGGTTTTTAAATCTTTAATTTTATGTTAATATTTTTATTTATTATGTGTTACTTCTAATTTTTTGCAGTTCTAACCAATATTGAGTGGGTGAAAGGATTTTATTAATTATTTTTTATTGAACAAAATATAAATAGGTAATTGGCATGGTTTGTAGATTAATCTTTGAAATTACCGCCGCCGTCGACAACCATATTATGTACTCTTGCAGTATTAGTCTATTACCAATAAACTGTCTGTTGTGAAATTTTGCCTATTGTCTCAAATATGTAGGTACTCCCCGTAGGCGGTTGCTGGAGACCTACGTGATTGTAACTTTATACTGATCATTATTTTCAAATAATTATTAAAAATAAAGTCATTACATACATTCAAAAGTGGCTATTTTGACGGACATGGTAACTTAAACTAAAATAAAGTTACAAATTGATTATAGACTAAACTAGACTCAAGTTACCGCGTATGAGTTGTACTTTGTTTATAGTATATATAATAATGTTACATTTAGTAATTTTGTGCCTAATTAAATCAAACAAAAGCACGCAAAAACAAGTCATTCATATACAAACCATCAGAAACGCTACAAGCATTGGATACAAGTATTAGGGCGCGGATTATAAAAACAAATAGATCTGAATGACATCACTGATTAGGTAATATTAGAATTGCCTCTTACTCCATTTATTGGCATAATTATCTCTGGAAAATAATATTTCAACGCCTCCAAGTAACAATTATCCTCAGTACTTGCGCTTTGTTGGAATCAAACACTAGGCAAACATTGGCAGTTCAGCGTCGAGTTTTTTCAATTCAATGTTTAATACTTACCGCCGTACTCAGGCATTTAAAGTTTGCAAAGAACTGGTTAACTTACCATTAAATCACTCTGAGTACTGCGGTTATTCACAATAAATTTAATTTACAATTATTCATGTATTCTTCCCTATTCTTAACTTTATTCAAGATACTAGTGTATGGTCGCCCTTATGTTTATTATCATAAATATTTCTATTGTTGTGCAGGTTTTACCTTAGCAATTTAGATGTTTGATGTTATAGTTTAGTAGATATTAAATAAATATTTAATAAATTAAAAGGCCTTTTATTTTCAAACGACTTATTTTATTCCATTAGTTGGTTAGCGAGAATATCGGTGTATGCGAATCAATAATGACGTAAAATAGGCAATATTTTTTATCTGTATTTGATGTTGACTAAAGTCTGTGGTAGTGCATAGTTCACTCACTCACGCGAAGCTATTTACTTACCAACTACTATTGACGAGGGTTTTGTAGTTTCTTATTAGAGTTAATGATATATATTTTATCTGATTACTACATTTTTATGTAAAGTTTATTCAAATGTTAATATAGTTATTAGAAAAAAAGCTGTTCATTAAAAACAATTGTATAGTAAAAATGTCATATGTTTCTGAAACACTTCAATGGCCGTACTGTTCGAGTGTCAATAATAAGTGTTTTGCTGTTCCGGAACTGTAAATTGATATGTTTTCATCAAGGAATGTGATAATGAATAGTTTTCAATGGCGCAGATGGTTTCTTTTTTTGATTTTCGCGGTGTACCGGAGGTTAGACACCGTCGATGGTGAGTGCTTTTCATCACTTGTCCATTTGCGTACTTTAATTTTGTCTAAACACAAATATAGATCTGTTTATATATATCTGAGGTATTCGAATAGTTGCCATGAATACTTAGCTAGTGATTAGAATTATTTAAAATTCCTCTCAATTCATAGTATTTGCACGAGAGACATTATATTCTAGTATTCTGAATAGTGTGCATTATTAAATAAATTATTAGAACAATACCTAAAACACGTAAATTTGTTATTAAATACGATTTAGTCATATGGCTAGAGTTACAAAGGCTAATATTTTATTGTAAATTTTCTTAAAAGAAGTCAATCTGCATAGTAAATAAAGTTTTAAATAAAAAAAGTTTTGAGGGTCACATGGCTTGTGTTTAAAAATATATAGATAGTTTTTAAACAAACTTGAAACTTGAGCAATATAATAGAGGTTTCAAAAGAAGTAGGTAAAGGTAAAAATATACTGCAATGATATCACAGGATGATCATGAATTCATTTATTCTGACCTCATAAATAAATACAATATGTTACATTGTGTAAAATAACAAGTATTACAATGTAGAGGTTCTTTAAAAACCATTGTTCATTTAGAAAACAGGATTTGATTTTCTTTGCATTTACATATTGCTATTAAGTCGTTATTATTCTTCTATTTCAATATCAACACTTGTAAACAGTACAATCAGCTTGTTTCCATATTTATGTCTAATGTCAAGTGTTGTGTATTAATGTTTATTAAACATGTAATAGAGTTTATATTCCAGTCTCGATTCTGATATCATTATAATGTTCCTAGGTTTAAAATGTTACTGCAACAGTGAGAGATGTCCAAACTCCACGTGTGAAACTGATGGGTACTGTTTCGCATCTACAAGTCTCGAGAATAAAGTACAGAAATTCACTTACCAGTGAGTATAAATTATATGTACACATGTTGAAATATACAAACAATATTTTCAAAATTATTTTTCTTTTTCCAAATTATCTTTAAGAATCATATGGATAGTGGCATTTCATTGTGTAATTAAATTCAAAAGGTACATATTTTCATTTACTTCAAGTCCATAATGTTGGCTAAAAAGGAATTCAATAAAACAATTGGCAAGCTCAATTCAACACAAACCTGTTGTTGTGGTGGCTCACAGGTATAATTCTAACCAATTTCTATCAAATGATTGACCTGTGTAGTGCGGTGATCTTAAGCTGTATGAACTTGAACGTTGCATTCCCTCCTGAAAACCCAGTAAAATGCAAAAACTCTACAATGTATTGCTGTAAAACTGATTTCTGCAATTCTGATGCGATAATACAAGAAAAATTGTCCAAAGTGCTTCATGCCTCCTCAATGGGTAAGCTGTTCTGTGCACTTGCGGGCGTGTCATGTATCTACTTTGATGATGCAGATTTTGAGTTTGTTTGATGTACTATTAGAATCATATAATTGCATTGCCATTTCCTATAAGTTTTGTGTTGAGATGCCAATACTCTAACAATCGCTTTTGAATTAGTGATTTGAATATGTACCTACTAAGCAAAGAAAAGGTGCGGCCGCAGGTGCCGACAGAAATAATTAGTATGATTTGAATGATGTGCCGTACTCCTTAACCAACTCTATTTTCCGAGTGTGCGTTGTTTGCTTTAACCTACTAAACATAATGTATGGTGGTTCCACTTGCGGCGCAGCTGTATCGAGCTCAAATCACTGATACCCATCGAGCATCCCTTCAGTTGCTCTACAACGAAAACTAAAAATGAATCAGTGGTGATAAAATGTTGTAAGTCACATGACATGTGCAATGAAGGCCTGCGTCTGGACCTGCAACCGAAGCCGCCAGGTAGGAGCGACGTGGAGGTAGTGCCCTCGATGTGCCCCGCTAACTACTGCACTTTAGCTTCCCGCTCTTTACACTCGACGCCCACAAACGCCAAGTGCCCAGCGCCCATCCTCCAGCGGGTGCCGTGGTTTATGGTGCGAGACTGCATGGCTATAGATTTTATTTTTTCTTCGTTTTGTTCTTAAATAACATTGTTTTTCCTTAGACCGGCATTGATCACCACCGTGTAGGGTATATTCTTTTTGTACTAATTTATGAATTTATGGACGTAGATGTTGGGACCAAGAAAACATATTGCCTCCCGGGGACATGCCTATATGGTGCCGCAGAAAAAACCCCGAAATATCTTGCTGCGCCACGGAGTACTGTAACCGTTACCTATTCACAGGTACAGTATTAATTCGGAATGTGTCGTCGGGGCGCGCTGTTTGGGTAGCTTACATTGTGATGTCCACATCAAATGTATTGTTGAATCGTACCATGTTAAAGTAACGTTCATCAGAGGTTCTTAATATGACTTGAGATAATCGGCTGCTCGGTAACAATCGTGCATGCAAGGTTAGCACATAAATTAGGTGCCTATATTGGCAATGGGACTCCGTCCTATTGATGCTGTCGACTCGGCTCACCTCATTTACAAGTTAAAAGATTTGTATTTGAAGGTAAAGACGTAATACACGGTCGTATTGGGTTGTGCTCATTTGAAAAACGGATATATTTCGTTTGAACTGTAGAGGGGGACATCATTACATTACGATATGCATAGTAGTAATTGTAGGTACATGTGTCATAAAATGGGTGCAATTGCACAGAAGGCATGACGGGATGTGTCAATTGTAATGGCATTATACAACATTGGATGTCTTGATTACATTATGTTATGCGTAGTACACATTATGTTAAAAAATTGGGTGCCGTTGCACAGAAGGCATGACGGGATGCATCAATTGTAATGTCGCTATACGACATCGAATGTCTTGATTACAGAAAGTAAAGAGGAATGTGTAGTCATTTTACAACAGGCGTGAAATAAAGGCGTAAGTGATCATAAGCCGGTTTTTCCAATTGATTTAAGCATGATATTTTATTTTATACTAATAGCATGCCACTTAACCATTGTAATCGTAATTTATTTTTGCTAACAATATTTTTCAGCACTTTATTACATAGTTTACTGACAAAAAGCTGTGGGGCATGTAACTAACCTCTGCACGATATAAAAATATGTAGCTAATTATAAAATGGAGTAATATTAAGTTACAGCTAGGTTGCATATTAAGTGTGTCTATAAAACATTCGAACAAACTTGGATTTCCTTTGTTCACCCATGTCTTTTATGTTTGAACAAATAAATGTATTTTATTCCTTGGCTATTAGAAGTAAGGCTTCTTATTAGAACGTTTTATATATAGCGATAGTCGGGTTGGTTACATATTTGATTGTACAAAAATGTTGGCAAACAGTATTAGACCTTATTAAGTGGTAATTTTATTTAATTATGTTAAAGCAATTTGTGTACGCTTTTTTTTTTCAATTTTTATTATTTATTGAACTTCAATGTCTATTGGTTCAGCTTTTGCATGTGTGTTTAGTGTATTGTCCTCATTCTGTCCTTGAGGTTCGCTTTCGCTGTTTTTTTTTCTGTTTTGTGAGCAAATTATTTGTTGTAAGTAAACGGAACATGAATATGTTTATACGTCAGTCACACACAACACTCACACATGAATTACTATAACAAAGGTCTCTCCCTTAAAAAGTTCTTGAATAATCATTCAGAACATTAAAATTAAAATTTTAATACGTACTGATTCATTTATACTTCTTGTACTTTATCGAAATGTTAGTGTCGTCGGTCGACGTCATAATTAATCAGATGAACATTTTTATTTGCTCGTGATCAGGTCGACGTACTACGAACATTTTGCATCACAGCTATCAATTGAAAACCATTAAACGTGGCCTGCGAACAATAATGTTCTTGTAGAACCGTTTGCCACGATTGTAAAGAATAATCCATGTCTTTCTTCAATCTATATCATAATGCGTTTCTGTTTTTCCAATATAAAAAATACTTTAATTTCAAAATTAAGATATATTTCTATTTAACCACTCGAGGGATAAATGACGTTGTGATTTTACACAGCACATGTAAGTTGGGCCACAAATTGTAATTCCGCGCGTTTAACTCAGTCCAATCCGACTACCGAGTTGATGTGCCTGAGTTTAATGTAATGCATGCAATAAACTTCTTGCTGGGTACCTACCGGGGACATTTGTATTACATAAATCTCGCCGAACTCATCTTTTAATATCATTATAATTTTATAATGCTATTATATTACTCGAATGCTAGTTTTAGTTTTAGCTTTCTAAAGGTAATATATTTTTTAATTAAATACAGCCATATTTGTGTTGTCTTGAATGCTTTGCTTTTTCTATACGAATATTACGTATACTAATCCAAGAATTCTGAATAAAGAGACGGGAACCACAGCGACGGCATGGAAAGTATTGCCATGGGTGATGGGGTTGATGGTTCTCGGGGTTTGCGCTGCGATTAGCTTCTGCTGGGCGAAGCGATCTCATGGCCCGAAGAAACGGGTCACTTCAAGAACGCCCTATCCGACCGATGACCCGGGGAGTGAGGCCAGGCATCCCATGATGAGAACTACCACTATACGGGACATGATCGAACTCACCACTTCTGGATCCGGTTCCGGTATGTATCTATTGGTTTGATTCTTTATTCATCTACGATACACATATTATTTATGCGTATATTTATCAATACTTAACTGTTTTATGGATATCAAGTTTATTGTTGAAAAATGTGAACATGGAATAAATCTCATATCTTGTTCCATTCATCACTTTAATCTAAATTGAGGAAGAGCAGTTCATTATTGTGACCGACAATGCTCGTCGCACTCATACACGTATAGTGTCTTCGTAACTTCACGTCATGTAGGTACACTTTGTTACGTATGAATGGATTCATAAATGCGAACATCAAGACGTGCCAAAGTGAACAATGATTGCCTTGAATCGATCTGCATTGATGCATCAAATTGAATGGGGCAATAAGAAAGTTCTCGTTATGTATGATGAACCTCAAAGTACTCAGTGGCACAGTTTTTTCATTTTACATACTGATTTCCGCTTTCCTGTTGTATTTCAAAATGGACATTTCGTGTATACGGAACCTTATAATGCTTTAATTTCTTCTTCTTTTTTTATTATCATCTCAAAATTCGCAATTAGATAGTAATTATGACATACATAACCAGCGTTTGTAGCCAAATGCCATTTAGCGCTTGTCTACATGTGGAATAGAAAACCAAATTATATGGGATTGACGTAAATTTTGACACTTGTCAGTGTCATCCCCATACATTTAGTTTTCTACTCTCTCTGTACACAAGCGCTAAAGTGGCGTTTGGCTAAAGGCACAGTTTACCCAGTGCTGGATAAATGGCTCGATCTTCAGATCTTCGACAAACAATACACAATATTTTTTCTCTTATAGGACTGCCTCTACTAGTCCAGCGTTCAATCGCTCGTCAGATCCAACTGGTGGACATTATCGGAAAAGGTCGTTTCGGAGAAGTATGGCGCGGTCGTTGGCGCGGTGAGAATGTCGCCGTCAAAATATTCTCCTCCCGCGAAGAGTCCTCTTGGTTCCGCGAAGCCGAAATATACCAGACGGTGATGTTACGTCACGAGAACATTCTTGGCTTCATCGCTGCCGACAACAAGGGTAAGTCCGGTACTAACAATACTATAATGTGCTTCCTAAACCCTACTACATTCTGCTAGGGTGAGGGTGACTAATTGTAATTATACATTGGGCTTGAATTACCAATATCGATTGTGGCTAGTGATGGTGAGTCGACCATTTCGATGTGTTTGTTCAGGTATCAACACGACAATGTCTCCGTATGTTATGCATTTAGATTAGTAAAATTATAAAGTTAAAATTGCATCTTCATTAAAATTATGCATATGCAAGTAAACCCATAATTAGTTATGTCGCCTTAACATGGAAGGAAAAGGGTGTCATGGTACGTGGGCGCGATTTGCTAGCCATAATTACATGCTCCAGTGCTGCTCAGGTTATAGAACAGGATAATGGTATAATAACTAAATGTGTGGTCCTGTGAATCCAAATGACATACCTAACTACACGTAATAACTAAAAATGACATACCTACGACTTAAACTGTCAAACACCAAGCGGTCACCGGTGACCGCGACCTATTGTTCTTTAATTGTGTCTATAAAACCGGTACTCGACGAGTTAAAGGTAATACTAAAAATGACATACCTACGACTTAAAGGTAAAATTTTACAGAAAATATACCATTACGAACTAATTGGCATTGTACAATGTACAAATCTAAAATTATTGTAGATACAATTTTTATATTTTAATATAAATGTTTAGATTGGGAGTGAAACATGTCTGAGACGTTTGATGAGACAAAATAAATAATAACTGCTGACTGTCTCGTTTAGCGATATTTCTAAACTCTTAGTAAGAAGCTCAGTCCGATCTTGAGTAGGTAGGTATTATAGAGAATTAAGATTTTCTTAGAAATTATTTATCTTCGAACTGAATATTTAAATAAACGATCACCTACACAGTTGTCTCTTGTCGTGTGTTGAACCTTTAGGTACGTCACAGTCTGAACTGTGATCACTGGTTTATAAATGGTTATTGCCCATTAATTACGCACTCGGAATGATCGCATTGTATAAGCATTTGTATCTTAAGCATTCGTTGATAGATAGGGCTTGTGACATATGATATTATGATACACTTTTACTTTAAAGCAGATTACTACCCATAATCCGCTTTAAGGTAAACCGCTTAAGGTTTGCGATTTATTTCAATAATGATGACTGTAGCTGTATAAAAATGCACAACGATCAATCAAATAGGTTATCTATCGTCACACCATAAAGAAAGCAATAAATAAATCTTTTATTTCAGATCATTTTTCTTTCATATCCATAGTTTTGTAGAAAAGTAAAACAGTAGTCATTACGCGTTTCGGAAGATTCTTCTTGTTTAATAAGGATGCAGAAAAAAAAAATATTTGTTAATTCCTGTAAAAGTAATACGACAATGTCGGAGCCAATATTAGATTTTAATATGTCTCTTGCGGTCTATGGAAGCGCATTAGGACAAGGAAAAGTTATTAAAAACCGTCGCACTTCCACCGACATGCATGATTCCACGTATCATAGAATCTAGTATAATTAACAAAGGCACAGTATATAAATATATCCTTCCCTTTTTTAAATTATTTTCTTGTGTTTTGTTTTAGACAACGGCACTTGGACCCAGCTATGGCTGATCACTGACTATCATGAAAATGGCTCCTTGTTTGATTTCCTGAGTGCGAGAACAATAGACTCTTTGACGCTGGTGAAGATGTCGCTCTCCATCGCCACTGGTTTAGCCCATCTACACATGGACATCGTCGGCACTAAAGGCAAGTACACACTTTTAATAATCTTCGTTCAAACATTGATATAATATAATTATATGAACATAAACAGCTCGTGAGACTTGCCTCTGTTGGGTTTTACCTATCTACAAAAGTGGAGTTTGCCGTAATGTTTACGATTATCAGACAACTTAGAGATCGCAATTTAAAAGTATTTAGTTTATCAAAAAGCACTGCTGCCCGGTGTCTGTTAAATATTTAGTCCCTTGGCTGTCATGAATAGAACCCACCCACAGGAATAGTAGGAGGTAGTGAGAAATGTACTCCACGTACGAAATATCTCCCGTATTCCACTCGACCGTCACCACACGGTGCAAATTTATGCTAGTTGAGAAAAGCGTATCGTTATAGGTAGTCGTATGTATAACAGATCAGAATAGGGATGATGACAGGGTATGAAAATAAAAAAATGAGTCCGTCAGGTAATGAAAAAATATTAGACACGTATTTTTTTATTTTGTTGTATCAAATCAAAGTTTAGGGCATAACATAACATAACATCACGCCTTTTATCCCCGAAGGGGTAGGCACAGGTGCACATTATACCACTGTAAAATGTAACACCCACTTTTCACTATTTATGTTACGAGTCCCATGTAATAGGGGGTGAGCCTATTGCCATATACCGGGCACAATTCCAGAATCCGTGCTACTACTGAGAATTTTTTTTAAAAACCCAATAATTCTTTGCCCGACCTGGGAATCGAACCCGAGACCCCCTGCCCGGCAGTCGCACTTGCGACCACTCGGTCAACGAGGCATTTGCAACTGTTAGTCATTGCAAAATTGTTCTTATAAATTAATATTCTTTTGTTTTTATTTGTGTCCAATGTAATTTGCAGAGGAAAATCTATGAAACATTAAATAATTATTTAACGTACCTACTACAAAATATTTACCCAAAATTAGGTTAAATTAAAATGTTTGTTAACTTGCAACATCGTAATGTACAAAGTGTAGGTAATGACAGGTCATGTCACGCGATAGACGTCCTTCGTGTCAATGTGTGTTATGCGTGTAATTCAGAGGCCTTAATACGAGTTTGTTTTACGTTTAAAGTATTCGTAACGAGTACGCGTTCGGCACTGTGATTGGCTGGCGCCAATGAACCAACCAATCAGAGGCCTTTGTACAAGTTTCATTTACGTTTAAAGTATTCGTAACGAGTACGTGTTCGGCACTGTGATTGGTTGGCGCCAATGAACCAACCAATTAGAGCGCCGAACGCGCCGACCGAAACTGGTTTTGCGGCCGAAACCGAAACCGAATGTTCAGCCGTGGCTTCAGTTTCGGCCGAAACCGAAACTTACGTAGTCAAGTATAAAATTTCTTAAGATACTGAAATTTGGTGCATTTTACCTATTATTTTGCATTAATAGTAAAAAGTTTTATACAGGTTGGCGGTGACATTTTATTTGTCAAATAATGACAATCGAACAGTGCCGCGGGAAACAGAGTTATGCGAGCGTGAACGTGTGTGAACTTGCGACATAAGTTTCGGTTTCGGCAAAAGTTTCGGCCGATTTTGGCCGAAACCGAAACTGCCGCCGAAACTTCATTTTTGGTCGAAACTCGGCCGAAACCGAAACCGAAATTTCGGTCGGACACTAGTAAATCAAACTCGTACTAAGGCCTCAGACCGCCAAATGCAGTCTCGTTTCGATTACTTTTAACGTAAAATAAACTGGTACTAAGGTCTCTGATGTCGCCAGGGTGCCTTGTCGTTGTTTCCAGAGACGATGTCCGCCTTTTCCTCAACGTCCTCGTTCAGGATCGAGCTGCCCCGCCAACTGGTTCGGATACCTTGACAGTCTTAATTTGGATTTGGCTACATATGTTTTTATTATAAGTGCTATTAATTTATAAATAATTATTTGTTACCTGACAAATTAACTTTGGGGGAGGTTCACTGATACCGAAGCCACACAATTTCAACCTTATTATTTCGCAATTAAGTCATTAGTTCTGTTCAATGTACTTAGATAAAATACGTTTCGAGTTTATAAGTCCTACTTTAACTATTAATAACTACTAGAAGGCTTTCATATTTCAGCGGTTGACGGTCTTCTTTCTATCTTCATTACTAAATTAGAAACAATCTTACATTTGATTCCCTCCGTACTGATATATCTATTTTAGTATTTACTTGAATGAATATAATATTTCATTTCACATTTTCCGCCTTCTCACGAAACACCCACTCCAAGAAAGGTCTTTGGCTCTCTTGTTCTGTGAACAGTTTTTCGAAGAAAACGAAATAAAAATTAATTGAAGATTATTTTATTATTAACTAGTAGATGCCCGCGACTTCGTCTGCGTGGAATAGTGACTTTGGATAGTTCTTCACAGCTCCTCTCCCGTAGGTGATAGCGTGATAATATGTAGTCTATATGTTGAGCAGGCCTGTTTGTTTTATTCATACAGAATTTTAAATAAATCTATGCAGTACTTTTTGAGTTTAGCCCGGACATACATACAAACATATACAAATTCAAATAACTATATTCTTGGTTTCAGTATAGACTATAAGTTAGCCCCAAGTAATCTGTAAAAAAATGTTCAATGTACAGTTTTGACCTTTCTACGGTTGTATTATATGTATAGACTAGTTTTTTTTTTAACACTGTACATCGAATTATTACCGTGGCACTAAGCTTATTTATTATTTATTTGAATCTGAAATGAGTCCTTAATTCAGATACCTAGTACCCACTTTCAGGCTATATACTTAGTCGTAAATAAAACCTAGGTATATGTTTCATGTCAGTAACGAATTTGTAACATAAGGCCAAACCTAATTTCTAAAACAAATGTCAATGTTGTTGTTATTCTATTAATGTTTTGTTCGTACGCAACGTGACGTATGTAATAACTTGCTATTCTCATATTGAGGTCAATCGATTAATGAGGCTCCTATCTACTCCAGTGAATATTAACACTTGATTCCACATTCTATGAAAAGTGTCACTTCATCGCTTACCACCACCAGGCGAGATGGTGGCCAAAGTCTTCCTTTTAACTTCGACCACAATCTAAACTTTTTAAAACATGGCTTCTAACGTCCTGTATTCATAACTTATATCTATATGTAGTTTTACTGATTAGAGATACAAAATAAACTTTACGCAAGCAAAGTGGGTTCTGGCCATAAATCTTCAAATAACCTATCGATTCTACATTTAGTACCTCAAACTTGTATTATACTTACAACACATTCAAATGAGACCTTTACGAAGTGCCCACATTATCCTCCATAGCAACTCCATAATATCGATAAATTACTTCTATTCGAGACATAATTTTGATCCAATACTTGGAAGGTTAGATCTGACGTCTTTAGATAATGAGCTTATTGACTGTCTATTCAAATGAATAATTCTTTGATGGCGACGGAAACTAAGGCGGTTAAGGGCTGATTCACACTGTTAGGCGGATCTCAGTTCGTTCTCCGCACAAGTATTAGTTATATTAAAAACAATGGGGCATTCATATCATTTAGAGGAAAATACCGGTTCAATACAAATTTCTTGTGTAAAATATCAGATTTAGCACTAATTCTGATCGGCACTATAGTGTGGATACGCCCTAATGTACATAAGTTATTTTAGACCCACACGACCGCATATAACGTTTCCACGTTTTAGTGTGAGTTGATTTCCATTTTGGCTCGTGTCTTATGTCTACCTCAATCCAATGGGCAAGTAGGGTTAAAATACACATTATAGGGCACACACAATATATTATTTTTCTTCATTTATTGTAAGTAATAAACATCGCATATTATGATAAACAACTCTCCAAGTTGTTGTAAATAACGAAAATAATATCAGTAGGCGTAAATAAATAACTAACTGGTTCTTCTTATGAAATTCACATTTCAGTAAAAGCTATAAGATTTATTTTAATTTAATAAATGTGAATAACGTTGGTACTTCAACTACTTTTGTGTGCATGAAGTACCTATTACTGAGAATTTATTTTCTTAGCTCAAAAATAAATTTCTTCGTAAATTGTCTACATTTCAGACATTCTCATAACAATATTGGAATGTGTAATATTTCTATTGAGTTTTTATTAGATTTACGTATCGTATATTTTCGCAAAGTGTAGTATTTTGATCTTTGCTTTAAATACCTAAAAGGTTCTAACCTAGGTATAGCCAAAATAGTATGTGACGTAAACAGAAGATGTCTCGAAACACCGAAGCCAAATATATCCAGCAACCTCAAGTTTATTATGCAAGCCACTTAACAGTTGAGCTGTGAATGTGAGTTCACAGCTACCGGAGCACATTCACGAACTAACACAATAATGGAGATTGACGACCCAAATGCACAACGAAGTGGCCGATTTCTGTCTGAATGCCACTCATGTCGAATTGGTGGCTACTACATAAACATGTAAATCTCACTGTGTCTCACCGGTTCCACGAAGGAAACGTTTGGTTTCAATTTAAAGAACGACAGATGTATTTTTGTTTTCTATATCGAAAAATAAAGGTAAAGATAAAGATCGAATTATCTAGACTAGACAAGATAAATTTTATGTTTAGTGCATATTAATTTAATGATAAGATACGTTCCTATATTGGTATTTGAAGTTATTTTTTACTCGGTGCAAGGTTAAAATGAAGTGGTTTCTCTCTCTTTTTATATGGTATTTATTTATTTATCATTCGTTTACATTTCGGTGATTTTTTTATAGAATTTTATTTTTATAGAAGACATTTATTATTGTTGGACCTTTTCTTAAAATAATTTTGTTCGGTTAACAACCAATGTGGTTCTCTTGTTGTTGATGTTTAGGATGGTTATCCGTTGGCAGACTAATTTTGGTTAGGGTTGGTCTTGGTGATACATGGTCCGATTTTGCTTCAGGCGTGTCCCGTACGAACGTTTTTCTTGACCTGTAATAAAAAAAGCAACAGTTTGATCGGTGTACATTTATAATAATCAGTTATGTTAGGGATATTTTTCATTGATAACGGTTTGTGACATTGACCATATTGTGGACGTTTTCCACTTTCGAATTAGCAAAAGAACTACGTTGGGGTATAAGAGCTGTTTCTAGATTTAAATTTAAACCTATTCGACTTCACAGGCAAGCCAGCCATAGCCCACAGAGACCTGAAGTCGAAGAACATTCTGGTGAAGAGTAACCTGACTTGCGTGATCGGTGACCTGGGTCTGGCAGTGCGTCACAACGTGGCAAGTGACTCTGTAGATGTGCCCACCACGAATAGAGTCGGTACGAAGCGCTACATGGCTCCCGAGGTAAGGAATATCACACCATGTTACCGGCCTAAAACAATAGATTTTATTCATGCTAGGTTAATTTGTTTTCGTAAGTACTTCACTTTACAATTACACCTTTTAAGGCTTCTGTTTACGTAGTCTGAAACCAAACTCGTATTTTGGGTAGTATTGTTCATTTGAAAGTTTTGGGACCTTCAATTGTTCGAAATTGTGAAAGCTTGTTGTATTTAAAATATGTACTGGGAACTTTCTGTTGATAAAATATGTACTATGCTCAGCTCATGGAATTTTCTGTTGATAAAAACAACGTTCTGTCAGACTTAATAATACATAGTCTACGTTATTTAGTCTCGATTGTTTTTTTCATGGAGTGTATTTCAATTTTTGATTAAAACATTCTCGAAACTAATTAGCATTAGAAAGTATATTTATGCGTAGTAGACTGTAGCGGTCTCGCCATTATGTTAAAATTACATTAAACACAATCACGATATATGTGCAAGTTTATGCATTTTTAGAGTTCGTATCATCAGGAATGTTGTAATAATTGTAGGTGCTTGACGAGACAATGGACACGCGGCAGTTTGACCCTTACAAGCGTTCTGACGTGTACTCGTTCGGCTTGGTGCTGTGGGAGATGGCTCGGCGATGCGGTGTGATGCCCGATGAGTACCAGCCTCCGTACTACGACTGCGTGCCACCAGACCCAGCGCTTGAAGACATGCGTCGGGTCGTCTGCATTGAGAAACGGAGGCCCAACGTACCGAACAGATGGCATTCGGACCACGTAAGTGATTTATTTATGTATAAATAGAATAGTATGAAATGTTTGCTTCATATCCCTGATTTTCCTTATACAAAACTTACCCCATTAACTTCATGCATTTTTAAGCATTGAAGTTCGACGCTAAACCAACAAATTATCCTCTACGACATGCTTACATAGTATTAGGCAGTATAAATATAACAAACTCGCTCTCCGCCTGTCTATTTCTAAACTTTCTTCTTGTATCCACACCACGGGATTTCTTGCAGTTTTCTCTTTTATTTGAGGAAAGGTAATGCTGAACAATACCAGGTCCGTATGGATAACACGAAACATTCTAATAAAGTTGTCTATTATAGAAAATATTATGTTTTAGGACCAAACTATCAAAAACCTATTTTCTAGCGCATACATTGCGAACTCTGGCTATATACCCGTTACTTTAACTACGGAATATACAATTAACTACGGAATTACATTTTCAAAAGGGTTACATAAAAATTCACGATAATACATACCATGTTGCTGGTTTACCCGCAGTAATCATTTTTATCTCTAACTACATCATTTTTATCTCTTACATTATTTAGTAGATTTACCTATCTATGACTTCTAATGAGTTTCTGCATATAATCATACATCCTATTACCGGTGTCGTTATGTAAGTACAAATTGAACATGAACTTTGCATACCCCATAGAGACTGTTTAAAAATCAACCGCAGAACAACATAGAGGGTTCATTGTCCCGGTCGCAATATTTATGGCGAGCGACTGTAGACTAAAACTTTTTTTAGCATTCTTCAATCTCACGGAATTGGCTTCTTTTGTATCCCCCATGCTTTTGGAGCTTCTCTTAGTGTAAAATGCTCGCTAAATATAGATTACACAGTCCAGTCTGGACAGACGGGATTGTTTTCTAACTTGGAATGTTTCTTTTTACTTACGAATCACAATTTACCCACATAGGTACCAACGTGTGGTCAGATAAGCGTTGATAATAATTAATATATACATATATATACGATATGTAACAATAGCAAAGTAAAAAATTGATTGGAATGATTCATTGTTATCAGTGATTTATTATCGTAATACACATAAACAAAATATTTTTCAACAAACATTACGTTTAGTGACGCGCACGCACACATTGTTAAGTTGTCGATAACAAGTAAATTAGTTGAGCTCCATTACATTACACGTACGATACGTATTCTATATACATACTATGTCATGTATTTATGTAATAAATACGAATACAGTAACTGCCTCAACTGAATTTTTACCGACCAATGATATTATCTATATATATAAAAATGCAACCCGTTTTCCGTTGTCACGACATGGCATGAAAACGGCTTGACCGATTTGGTTGATTATTTTTTTGTTGTATTTATTATTATTAGGAGAAGGTTCTTAAGACAGAAAAAATCCTGAAAATCCTACGCGAACAGGAGAAAACGGGATTGCGCGTACGAAGTCGCGGGCAGAAGCTAGTAAATAATAAATATCATTGTTACCGACAATTATTATTTTCATACACTACTCTAAGTTTTTTTTTAGACACCCGTGCTTATTTGTTAGAAGCAGATGAACGGGATACTCACGCTATCTATTTGTAAATTGTTAACTCTTTGAGTTCCGTCATTATAGACACAATTAAAGAACAACAGGTTGCGGTCACCGGTGACCACTTGGTGTTTGACAGCTGTAATGCAAAACAAATTAAGGAAAAATTTGTATGTTCAACACAGGTGCTGTCCTCGATATCAAAGGTGATGAAGGAGTGCTGGTACCAGAACCCAGCTGCCCGTCTCACCGCACTTCGCATCAAGAAGACGCTTGCCAACATCTGCACGCCCGACTACATCAAGTTGTAAGTGCGAAGCGTACACAAAGTACTCGCCTTATTTCATTGAGCTCATTCATGTTCAATTTGCCATCAAATCGATCAAGATGTCGATTTGAACACCATTTAACGATTATCGCTTGTGGAATCGATTGCTGTTCACTCTCATTCTTGTAATCGACTACGTGCCGTTTTCACTTCATGCTTCAAGGAAGACGAACAACAGGTGTGCGGTAACTGTTTAATGTACAAACGTTTCTCTGAATGTGTTCTTGCCGTGTGATCCGTTTGTCTTTTACTGCAATCGATTAAACATATTGTGTAATGTTTAGGGATGTCGAGCTGGATGAAATAAGGGTTTGATACTTGGACTTTGCATCGTTACTGAATGGACTAGATTTTCAAGCTACGAGCATGACTCCTGATCCCTACCTCTTAGAATATATTTGTGTAAAATCTTGAAGGAGCATTTATTTAATACTATCATATGGATTTGAAGTTGTAGTGATATTTTTTCGTTACCAACTACGTAAGTTTAACTTTTGTTACGTGTTCCGATTCGTTTATTGTGCATAATAAGATAGAGCCGTACTTTTATTTTTGTAAACTATGTTTTCTGTGATATGAAATTAAATCGCAGCTATTGTTGTAAGTTTTATTTGTGTTTGTTCATTAATATAATCGTAGCTCTAAGTGTGACTGCCGCCGCCGCGTTGGACTTTGTATATTTAAACGCAGTTTTGATGTAATTTAATGATTTCTTTCTTCCACATAGACCCTGCACGAAGTCTATGTAACATTGTGAGCTCGTTGTATGAAACCGTGGTTAGCCATCAGCAGATATCGTGCGACGGTACATGCAAGGCCGTAGCTAAGAGGTTCCGACACTTCCGAACCTGGTGAGACAAGCGCTCTCCCGACTGACTCGACTACTCTTCCGTTAATTATAACTACCCCACTACAATATTTACAATTTAACGAACAAAGACTAATGCATACAAACAGTGATTTAATTGTGGTTGTGAATTACAAATCTATTTCTATTAACAAAATTAAAATGTACTTAAGTATTAAAATAATTTCAAGTTAACAACAATGACAATATTAATTATTTATCTGGCTACGGCCTTGGAAACACGTCTTCCTAAAACGAGCACTTCGCTAAGTTAAGTTAAGATTATGAGCATATGCCAGGTTTTATGTTCTGTTCAGAAAGAGCGCATCGGCACAATCGTATGTAACGTTATATTGCGTTAGGTTTATGGATATACTTAAGTGATTTCTAGTGTCGTGGACGCGAGGTTAGGGTTAGTCACTTTGGTGAGTTTTAACATAATTTTGATACATCAGTAAAGCACCTATTTTCTTACTTATTCCGAAATTGGAATCCTTGGCATTAAGATATTTCGAGTTTGTATATAATGAACCGTGTTTACACACTATTACGACCTACTGTATGCGTAAGGACTTTGATAAGTAAGCACGTAGATTTCATACTTTTGTGTAATGTTACATGTAGACTAACTATTTTATTTATTGTCTTTTATTTAGGATGATCTATCGCCAGTGAACGCTTGCGACATTGTACTTCTAATTTTACGTACAAATACATATTTGTTGTTTATAAAAAGAAAATTATCTTTGGTAAAATATTCATGAGCGCATATTAAGGTTAAGTTGTTGAGCATTTGATATAATAATATATATTCGAGTAAGAAAGTGTAACAGTTCACTAAATTCGTCGACAAGTAAAACTTAGAGACTGAATCTAGCTCCAGTAAATTTTAGACCTCATTGCCTTTTGGTGACCTCATCTTGTGGTGATTCGGTGTTTATACAAGTGCTTCGAATTTGTTTTCATGTCGTCCGACTTATATAAACACGATTATATGGCGTCGGCCAAAATCAAATATGTGTCTAAAATAAATTCAAGTCACGGGCGTGAAGTGGCCCCTTAATAATAACATTTTAAAGTTGGATCAAAATATTTTTTTAAATGTTTAGATTTTATCGCTGTAGCAGCGTAGTGTATGTAGTGTTGTCATTAACAAATACGCGTGTGCACCGCCTGCGACGCAACGACTTGTATCAGCAGCGACTATAAACGCAATTATAGTACAATATAGCAGTCTGTCCGTCTGCCGCACCTCGGGACTCGGGTTTGTTAAATTCCATATTTTAGTCTATGTTAGAAGTCGCGTTACTTGCTTCGACGCTCCAGGAGCCTAGGTAATATTCCATTGTCATTGATAGTTCTCTAGTTGAGATGGTTGTTTCATATAAATATAACATTTACGTGTGTTGCCCTTCCCTTTCAAACTTTAATAGCCAAACATTTGCCTCCCTATCTTAATGTTAATGCGCTTAAACGCATGTGAGTACTAGGACCCGTTATTCAGTAAATCTGAAAGTAAATGTTAATAAATACTAAATGTAGATTTTGTACTCCTTAGTCTGATTCAAATGAAGTAGTAGCGTGTTAAATATTACCTTATTCAACGTATTTAAGGAATATTGTGTGTTTATTGAAGTAATGTAGACTTCCGACGATTAGTGTGTCGCTCGAGCTATTGTTAAATTAAGAAAATTATCCTCAATTCTATTATGTACTTTGATGTCACAAACACGGATGAATATTATTTTTAAGGAGCATATAATATTTGCCTTTTACAATCTTGAAGCAATAATATTACCTACTGTTTTATCAGGTTTATTAAATATTTATTAAAAAGTTTATATAAACATCTGTATTGTCTGTTTGAAAGTATAAAGTGTTATAGATTGGTCGCGTATCGCATGTGTACAACTTGTGACCTGTGCGTACTGTCCGTACGTAGTGCACGCAGCGAGCGCCGCGCGCCGCAGCCTGATCACATGCGAGAGACGGCGCGCAATTGTTTTGTGATATTGTCAATTGTACAACTTGAGTAGCAGAACGCAGTTTAAATATCGTGTTGTTTTAGTGTTAACATTTTAATACTCTGTAAAACGTCTAGATTCCATCGAAAAAGCAATTTTTATACAATATACCATTTTAATTACATTATGAATAATATAGCATTTGTAACTCTGTATTAAGGTTTAAAGATCCTATTATCATGTGTTTGTAATTTTTCAAAGATAGTCTATTGTTTGGTATGAATAATATAAATGAAATAAAAATATTGTTAGTTTGTAAGTGTTATGTTATGTAACTGAAACACTCCATACGTTCTACGAATAACGTGAAACTGAAAAGCAATAGCCAATCTACAATTTCTATACGACGGTTTTAGTGAAAATGTCAAATGACGACTCATGTAAGTGAAAGTAAGCGTGCAAGCATAAGAGCAAAGTACTCTTTAGTCTCAAAGTATTTGGTAACGAGAAGGAGAATGTGAAGTTTGGCAGCGCGAGATAGAGCCTGTGGCATCGGATGCACGGACACAAGATCTCATTGTTTTAAAAAAGATGTTCAATCGGCATAGTATATTGATGTTAGTAGGTAGGTATGTAAGGGTATTTTTACGTTGAGATTATATAAGGTGATAAGAAAGTATATTTTACCAGCTTTAGTGCTATTCTCGCTGATTTGAATATATAGATCCTCTACACTTAGTAGGATTTGTAAATTATGCCATTGTCATCCTTGTTACTAAATACTTAGAGCCATCGAAACATCTCGTGTTATTAAAATGTATGTCATTCGTGTAATACGTATCTTTAAGGATATGAGAATATTTTAGAATTTCTAGATTTAGGACGTCAAGTTCAAATTATTGTCATAAAATGAGAAATGTACAAGCATCAAACTATTTGTTTGAAATTATTTGATGAGCAATACCAAGAGAGTACAAGTAATGTTTTACTGAAGTGCAATAACTAAACATGGACAAATGCAGCATCATATCACATGAGCATACTAATTGGATGGTTTATATTCCAATATTAATGATTTTATGTAAATATAATTATTTAATTATCCCACTGCGTAAGTTTTATTCCTTGGTTATGGAGTGGACTAATTAATTTAAAATATAATGAATAAAACCAGTGTTTTATATTGAATTTTGTTTTATTTTCGAACTACCAGCACCTAGTAAACACAGCCGTGCATTGCATCTTTTGTAGAAGAACTATTATACATACTTACATTTACATATTGACTGATTACCTTACCTACAAATGCCTAGAATTAAAATATAATATTACATGTCACATAATTATATAGTAAAATATATGAATTATACTGCTACTATTACTGCCGAGTAGTGCTGATGCTAGACCAGTAGACGTGGAGTACTTAATGGGTTACCGGGGCTCCGGCTCCAAGCAGGAGAAGAAACAAGGCGGTTTTTAATTAGTAAGAGTTGAGACTCCCTCTCGCCTCATCCAAGGCGGGAGGAGTTATTGAATGATTGTCGGCCAAAAAACGTGTACCTAGCCTTACTGAAGTTAGCTTTTTAAAATCTTATAGTATTTTTTAATCTTATACTATTATGGGCTATATACTATATACTGAAGGGCTTGTTTGTTTGAACGCGCCAATTTTTCCTGAAATACACGTACGGGTCCGTTTTGCAAATTTTTTTTTGTGTCGATTCGTGTATTAATTGCGGAAGGATATAGCAAGGAACTTTGAAAAAGGCGGACGTTATGCCACTTAGTAAGGATTGAAGCACCAAACTGTCAGTGGTGTATTTAGGTGTGCATGTAGTTCCAATACCGGCACCGTAATGTGTGTAGTGTAATGATGGGGCATGTCACGACAGATGTCCTTCGTGTCAGTGTGTGGTTTTTTTGTATAAGTCTATAGCAGCCAGGTCCCACAGCACAGACATTGTTTCAAGAGTCTATAACCGCTTTTTTTAACGTCCTTTGGACATCGTTAGGCTATAAAACACCACGCTACGATCAATAGGAGCCGACGAGAACAGGTGAAATTACGAGGAAGTAGCTAGTGACATAATAATTATGTACCTGCTCTCAAAGACTATAATAAGTATAGGGAATCTACTCTGTTAAGGCAGGTTCTACTTATGCACTTTACTACTCTTTTCTTTCTTTATCAGATTTTCAACTCGATCGTTTAGACATAAAGTCAAAAATCCAATGACAAAAATTGACACATAGGGAGTTAGTTGATGAGCTGGTCACTGTTCTATGTACTATATTTTCGGAATGTATATATTGTATCCCCTGTTTCCTGGGGGATTCTAATATTACAAGTAATTATAAAGGAATAGCTGTTCGTTTCTCTCACTGAAACTCAAAAACGGCTGAACTCGTTTTTATTGTCGGTATATGAGGGTAAGTAGGAGAACGAAATAAATCAGTTGAGTTTGAACGTTGTGAGGTATATTTCAAAATAATTTTGTAATCTATGGTAAGTTGGTGACTGACATTTTTATTATTTTAGCTAGCAATAATAACAATTAAGTGTCAGTTGATGTCACTGATATTATTTCATGGGCGAAATCTTTAAATTATTATATTGGTTTTTCTGCTTTCGGTACTCGTCTCTTGCACGAGTGTGTATGCTGCACACAGTGCAAAGTGCATATCCACTTACCTATTCGAGGAATACAATTCATGGACGTTAATCTGATGTTATTGCTATTTTGATATCTTAGGGCTTAGTTTACAATAACTGATGATCCACTTATTTTTGACACATTCCATTTTCTTTTTTCAAATGGAAGATTTGACAAATTATTCGTAAGTTTAGCAAACAAAAAATGTAATTAGATATTCTATATTAGCCTATAAACCTTGGTGGTAGTATTTATTTATCCAGTTACAGTGCTCATTTTAATATGTTGTATATCTTTCACATGTACAAAATATAATAATATAAATACAATTTGATACTGAAATAGATTCATCTTAAATACACGTATAAAACTTGGTTGAACGTTACCGAAAACTATTAGAAGTCTATCCTAGCCCTAACCGCCAAAACGTAGATTATTTTTTAAAGTAGCAACACTGTGACATATTGCGCGTTGAGCGCTAAGCGCTAATGCGAATTAATAGTTTTGATTTCGCTGTCTACTCTACTGGTGGTTTTATCACTTCTATCTACATTTTTGTAAATTGTGATTTAAAGTTAAATTTTCGTTACGCTTTGTTTTGGTGAACAGTGATTTTTAAATTTTAACTATAAGTAGTGGTCGGACCTCCCTCCAAGCGTTTCTTTGACACATTTTACAGACGCCATGTTTGTCACGTTTTTGCCAGTTGTGAATATATTTAGCCAAAAATTGTATTTGCAGTAGCGTTACTACGTATAATTGTTGAATAGTGCCCTATATCAGTTCCACAATGAGTCAAAAAACACCCAGAAATAAGGAAAAGCGATCGCGATCAGCTTCTAACGAAACTAACAATGTAAGTAATAACCAAATTCCCGCTCTTGGCGACAATGTCGTTGCGTTTTTCAAGAAATGTGTGGCCTCACGCGTAGTTGATGTGTATTTATACACTTGCTTGGCGAGTGACTTTAAAATAATTTGCTAGAATACTTTTAAATCGAGTTTTTTGTACATATAGCAACTTACGCTTTTGCGAAGACCCAGGCTTGTCAAAGTCCATGCTTTATTGAATAATTTGTTTTCCTTATAAGATAAGAATTCTTTAAAAAGCGTTTTGTATTTGTAAGAAACAAGCATGTATGATTTCGTTACCTACATGTATGATTTAAAATTTTGTGCATTGAGCTACTATTGAGATATTGATCAAGACTGCACATGTACAAGTTATGGTACTATATCTACCTAAGTAAGTACCTACATAGGTTACAGACTCTATGTTGGTTATTAATACTACACAATTCCCAAGTAAAGTCCAAATGTTTGAAACAAACAAATGCAATGTTTGATTTTTACAATTAATCAATTGAAGGAATCTTGTGATTCATTTGTTGTTTCACAATATTGCACATTGATTTAATGACAAGTTGATACATGTTCGTACACACATCGTGTTGTGTGGTGATTTCATAGTGTAAATGCTTTATTAGCCAGTGCAGTTAGGACTATATTGCAACTAGTTGCTGAGAGACACAATGTACATATTTAAAGGGTTAGCTAATGGTCATGAGTACTTTCAATAATGATTTACCAATTGGGAAAAAAATATTTTTATTTATGTTCAATGTTTAACTAGTCAAGACTTCATAAATATATATTTATGCTACTTAACGATCCTTGTTTATATCACTAAGATAAGATTATGGTCAAGGCTGTCAACACATGTGAGAAGCTAAATAAGTGATTGTTAATGTGTTGATGTTTTAGTGATTAAAAGCCAATCATTTTAATAATTTATCCACATAATTTTAAAAATATGAATAGATCAGCCTAACCTCTTTTGGACCATAGGTGTCCTCTACATTAAAGGATGTACGATAATCTATACACTTAGTAGGCAGTTTAAAAACGTCAAGTTTGTCGCAGAGTGCTGTTACTCAGTATTTGTCAATCATATAGTTCCTTACCAGCCCCGGCCACCTCCAGGAAGAATAGAGTGGTGAAAAATGTAAATATAATCTCTGTTCAGCCATCACTACATTATGTAAATGGTGTTGTAAATATTTTTCAGTTCAGCCATAAGATAGTGTTGAATTGTACTCAATACTTTTGTACACCGCTTCACATGTACTTGTAGCTATTGCGTTTGTGTTGTATTCAGTTCATTGAACTATGAATCTTCTGTTAAGTTAAGGATAATGATAATTAATACCCACAGTTGTGTTATTGGGTTTTTAACATTATGAAAGAATTGAATCTATCTAGATTTGGTCTACAAATACACAATTAGTTGATGTTCATGGCCCGCTGAGCAAACATATAGTATAGATTATTGGAAATGTTAAAAAAAGTAAACAATCCAGCAATCAGTCCTAATAATTAAGGATGAATTAATTAGTTAATTCTTGTTTCAATCCCAGCTCTGCTCCAATTGTCTTTATAAAAAGCTAAGCTTTTAAATAGCCATATATCACATTTTAGCGAACTTTTATTGGATGTTGTCTCTGTGCGATGTTATTGCAAGTGCTTATGTGATATATGTCCATTATTTGCGAATTTCGGACAACCATTATGTTTTTCTCTGACATCCTGAAAATGAAAATAAATTAAATATAATATTTCAACAACTTAGATTGGGGTATTCCACGAAGCGCACCTAAACGAAGCACACCCAGACGATGCGCACCTAAAGTATTCCACTTAGCGCATCTGTAGGTGCGCTTAAAATATAATATTTAAAATAAATAATTTCCTATTCCACGAAGCGCACCTACGAATATCACTTGCATAGTGCGGAGACTAATAAATAAAAATATCGATATAAGAACATATTTATTATTTAAAAGACTAACTTAAATTTCTAACATCATTCAGTTTCATTATAATAATGTGACACAATATTGATATTTGACCATGTTTTTATTTTAATTATGAGGTGCGCTTAAGTGGAATACTTTAGGTGCGCATCGTCTGGGTGCGCTTCGTTTAGGTGCGCTTCGTGGAATACCCCCTTAGATTTTCCTCTTATATTTTGTTTTAAATAAGGGTCACACAACATAATGTTGCTTATTAGTACTAATTACCTTTTATTTTGTTTTCAGTCATTTGTCAAGAATGTGACATCCAGAGTATCAGGCTTACTGCCCAGTACCATCACAAAGTGGTTCAGTAGCCCCCGTTCTTCAAATGCAAATGGTTCGACGCCAGTTGCTGACGCTTCTGATTCTTCAGACGATGAAGTAGTGGACATCCCGGAAGTAACTCAACAGCCACCTGCCAAACGCATGCGGTTTAACCCTCCCGGAACTTACAATCACTACAGCCCTGCTGATGTAAGATATTATTTGTATACTACACACCTATTAAACAACAATACCAATTCATTAATTATGAACTTCTAGAAAAAGTACATATAAATCTTTGCATGTATTCTCTAGTAAACAATATCTATCATATACATTTCCATGTATGTTACAGGCAAGCTGTTCCAGAAATGATATGGAAATAATAGAACTTCCATACAGTCCCTTCACGGCTACTCAGTGTACTCAACCTACCCGTAACACATACAGTACAGCACTGCGGCCACCAAATGAAGACCATCAGGATACAATGGAAAGAGACATGTCACGAGTATACAAGGTCTCTCACTCAATTTCCAGTACTGGCCAATCAGTTGCCCCTAAAAGAAAATCTATTTTCGAAACAACAACTCAGGAGGAAGTAATGAAAATAACTGGTAAGTTATTTTATTGAGTTTATGAGATTTCAATATGTATTTCAATATTGAATTTTTTTTACTAATAACGAACTAAAAACAATGTACTTGTGAATTATAACTTGTATATTATACTATATATATTATACTATACTTGTGTATTAACAAAATATAACAAATAATTAATGAAACACTGATTACACACAGATTTAATGAATTATTAGTTTGAAAGTTAGCTTGCAAGACGAATTGTCAAGATTTTAACCCAATATTTCCTTGCACTGTTTTGTTGGAACTATTTTGGGTATAAAACTAATTTTACCTACCTAAGTTAAAGTTACCTAAGTTAAAGATAGACCATCAATTTGCATTCTACAAGGATTACATAATATGTATATTTACATGACAAATTACAAACTTAGTTTAGTATTAAATATTAATATGTAAAAATTGCTCTGTATAGTTACAGCACACAGCAAAGTGCATAGTAACATATTATTATTTTTATTTATTTTTTCTATTTTTTTTTATTCAGACAGGCAGTTGAAACTTATATATGCCTGCATGGTATTTTTCTATTAGTATTTTGTATGATTAAGTAAATTTGTAGCATGCCATTTATGATGACTGCAGTAGTGTTAGATCCCATAATTCTGTTAATTTATCCAATACATAATAATTAGGTAGATATTCAAAATTCATGCAAGTGGAAATATGTTTAATGTAACTAATACTTAATCAATACTAACATAACATTGCTGTTGTTAGCAATAAAAAATATTAATGTTTTGACTTGCAACTTTTAGCAAAAGCATCAAATACATTTCGTGATCCAAAGCAGCCCAGCTTTAAACCTAGTCTGCTTGGTTCTCCATTTTATTCTGGGAGAACAATGTATGGAGGAGCAGCATCTTCGTACATTAACCAACCGAACATAAAACAAGAGACTGTGGCAGTAGTAAATGAGTCTCCAATCAATGATGACACCGCCATCAGCACGTCTGCGCGACGTATTCTGGACTTATTAGAAGGTTATTCCTCTCCACTGATGGAAGCCCGCAGGATCCCTCTGTACACCAAACCCAAAAATGATGGATTTAACCTCAGCAACACTTCCTCTTCATCCACAAATAATCATTTAGGTAAGTTTAAAAGAAATTTTATAATAATTAACTCTTTTTGTATTTTTTTTTCATTTCAGTCAAATTTACTTAGTGTAGGTCTTTCTAAGGGTACTGCATAAAATGAGAGCTTTTCTTTGCCTTAAATTATAATTTTAAATAGGTAGTTTTTACTTTATGGATATAAAATTCCTCATTCAGATAGTGCCATCTTTTTGATTTTTCATTACTCCTAGGTAATGTGCTCTAACCAGATGCATCTTCTATTTCGTCACTTTCGTTTTCGTTTGTGTAATAGTAACCTTTTGGTGTAACTGTGGTATTGTAGTCTTACAACCATGACCCGCTTGTACATTGCGGTGCAAAATGCAGTATATTAATCCAATAGGTACCAGATCTATCCAATTGCTGATGCAATGTGCTATTACTTGATTGTCAGAGTTCTCTGACATTGTAACTTGGTTGTCATTTGAGATCCACATGGATTCCAGTCTGAGTAAAACCTTTTTTAATATGGAAATGAAAATTGTGAGTACAGTTGGTCACCTATTTGCTGCTACTTGTGAGTTAGTGTATAATTATTTGTGCATTTTTCTTAGATGTTCTTTGCAACTTCAATATACTCTCTGTGTGTGCAATTGTGCCAAATGCTTCTTGGTAGTCCATAATGGCCAAATAAGAATATTATGTTCCTGATAGTTCTCTATCAGTTTCTCTAAATAATAACATGTATACATTTGGTTGAATTTAGAGAATCTTGTGTGAAACCCTGCTTGTTCAACCGGTTGGTGCTTTTGAATGGTAGTGCTTATTCGTTTTTCAGTAATTGGTTGAAATAATTTGTAAAGGCTTTGGCAGTAGATTAATAGGCATGAACTTTGTGATGATTTTTGAATTTCTCTTTCTATATTATACCAGTGTACCGTCGCTTCGCCATTGTGTTTTAAGGAACATCTCCTGACACAAACAATATAAAAAAAGAATTAACAACTGATTGAAGATCTCACGGCCAATAGTATGAATATGATTAATTAGAAACGACAGTGGGTAGCATAGTACTGAATTGACGTTTGAATTTCACATGTATTTAGGTTTTTGATGTAAGCCAGTGTCTCTATTTTTTATGTATAGGTATTTCAGTAGTAGTACTGTTGTCAGTGTTTTCCTCCGTCGCTTCATGTGCTTCGCTCAAAGGTGCCGGCAGCATGTCAAAGTTGTTATAAGCCATTATATAATTTCGTTTCTGTTAGATTATCTTCCCTAGGTTGTCTGAACTATCTATTTAAGTCTAAGTGTGAATTTTTTCGAGCTTTCTCTAATGTGCCCGTTAACTTTTAAATGTATATTTTCGATAACCTCCTTAATACCAGTTTTAATATATATTAATTAATTAATCTATTATTTTAGCATATCGGACTCGAGAGCTCCATGTACCAAGCATTGCATCTATACTGTGCCTGAAGAAAAAGTCTCGTCTCATGGACACGACGAATATTGCTCGACAATTAATGGCTTCTCAAAGCAGTACTTCTAATGAATTTCCAGCTTATCCTAGGCAGGAAACGAAAGGGTAATGTATTAAAGTCCTGACTAACATCCACACAGAGTGGACCAGTACTTATATAAAATTATTGTTGAAATCGACAAAAACAGCAACTACTAGATACATATTATCCTTATTATATGGTTGTCTACATAATATATACATATCTGATAGATTTATATCCCTATACAGAATAGTCATTGGTCATTTTTGATCGTAAATAAAAAGGAATTGGAATATAGCTACGACTACACAGCCCGTAAACACCTAATCAGTGATTTGTTTCAACAATTAAATTTGTCATTTACTGAGGTGCGGAGCGGAGGACGGAGCGGGCTCCGTCCCACCTCATACATCATACATAGTACCCCGGTTCTATGTATGTACAACTATCAAGTTGGCCATGTCAATGACATTTCGTTTCACTAGGGGTGTGTATTTGATTTAAGTATGTGTTTATTCCTACATTTTTTGATTATTTCGTGGGTTCTGTTTCTTAATTTATTAAATTCTAATCGTAAAATTTTGTTTATTGGATCACTATTCCATTTTATGAATAATTCATCTTTTTTACACAATTAATTTTATTATTTATCTATGGTTTTATGTTTGTTTTACTTAACATGATTTTTAATTATTTTCGTGTATTTTGATTCCTCATTAAATCTTTCAAATTGAATTTTTATGCCAAGTTGCTATTATATATTATTCATGCTAAATTGATAATTATACTCGGAATTTTAATTCGATTCCAGATTTGACAATTTCAGTGTTGCAACGTTATGACAAGCACTAAATAGTGACGTTGCGAAATTATTCGATATGGAAATGCAATATTTCTGGATCGATTCTTCTCGTTTATAATTTTACTCTTGTAAACTAAGTTTAACAGGAAATTACATATTTTTGAACCGATAATTTAGTTTTGACGATTAACAAACGATCTGAGACTTTTCTTTTATAATTGTGTGTGAAATAAATAAAAAAACGTAATCATGAAGGAACATGACAAATAAAACAGATAGATGTATTATGATAATAAGTTATTTTATAAATTGTCGCCGTCATCGCTATCCTGTCACTTTCTGTAACATTTATTATAAAACACACACACTGATTGTTTATCGATTTTTGTGTTCATCACTACACTATCCTATGTGGTATCATTATTTTACAAAATGACAGTAGCTATTGTCAAATCTGGAATCTAATTAAAATTCTGACTATAGCTATCCGACAATCTGACATATAATTCGCTCCGAGACGAGAAACGAGATGGCTGACGTTACCATACCAACGTATCATACAGGGAGCCAATATGAAATTGTATTGCCAATTTTCTAGTTGTCAACGCACTGACGTATTTACAGCCCACAAACGTGCTGACACTAAGTTGACAAAAAAAGTCAATATCATTTATTTAAATTAGTCCAGGAAGGCACTTTTGAATGTTAAAACTTTGTGATTTACAAGATTTATAATCCTAAAGTAGTTGACAGAAATCTGTCGCCTGTAATTAGGGTTTATGGGCTGTGTGGTCGTTTGAATGAAGGGAACTGTCTGGCCATGCCACAATTGCATTGTATTTAACATCTTGATTGATTTTGATTGTTCAAGTATTGTGCATCTGATGCCATCATGCACTTTTATTAATGATTACTACTTCGATACCCAATAAAGTCCTGCACTTTTATAAAGTTGATCTAAATACCAAATTATGGTTATGATTGTTTAAAAATTTACACAAAGAAAAACTAATATTCATAGTGTAAATTTTTAAAACAGCATTAATTTGCTTAGAAATTTTTTTCATTAACTTAATAAATGTTTTTACTTTTAGGAGTGAGGGCGAGAAGGAACCGCCTCATAAATTTTCTACCAAAATGAAATCAAGAATAACTAGAACTAACCGAGGGCAGCAAGACGAGATCGACATGTCTACTCCCGTGAAACTGCCCACAGCCACATTACAATTAGACAAAGATAAACTGCCCCAATTTACATTCGACGCACCGTCGCTCACTACATCTACACCTAAAATTGTTTTCCCCACAGCTGATAAAAAAGCTACCCACATTCCCACAAGTAAGCACGAAACTGTAATTAGTAGTGTCTACACATTTTCCAATCCTGTTAAAGTATCAAGTAACGACATACAAGTGGAATCTTCATCTTTAAAATTCAAATTCGACTCTCCTGAGCGACGTATTGATCAGAAATTTGAAAACAAACATGACGAATCTTCTGTTGTTGTAGGTGTGATAAAAGCAAACGAATCTGTCTTAACCAAACCAAAAGACTGGCAGTGTTCAGACTGCTGGGTTAAAAACAAGCCGGACGCCATCAAATGTGTTTGTTGTGGAGCTAAACAGCCAAAAAAGAATTCTAAGTGCTTGGTTTGTAAACTTGCCGATAGTCAGTCACAAAAAGACAAATGCGCTAATTGTGAGAAGATGTCTACCTCACAAGTCGGAAAGTCACCCGGTAACCCTCAACTAATCGGGACCAGTTCGTCGACGACATCGAAATCTCTGTTCAGTAAAGCCAGCGATGCCAACTCCCCTTCCGGAACGAAGTTTACTCTACCCACCTTCACTGCAGTTACTGAGACACCAATCAATGTCTTTTCAAAGCCTGAAACAGTAGCAGTAAAAAACACTGCTAAAGTGGATGCTGATTGGAAATGTGACGATTGTTGGATTACGAACAAAAGTAGCGTCGACAAATGCGCAGCTTGCGGCGGAGCCCGACCCGGAGCCAAACAGGCGGCTAGTATTACAGACGCTTTGAGTAATAAAACTACAACATTCGGAACTAGTGACAAATTTAAAGCCATTGCTAAGGCCCAACATTCAGACAAATGGGAATGTTCCAGCTGTTTAGTCCATAACGAAAGTGACAAAAAGGAATGTGTATGCTGTGGTGCGGTAAAAGAAGGTATAAAGAAAATGCCTGAATCAACGTTTAATTTTGGAACAACTACGAATAATACGTTTAAATTCGGCATTGATCCCAAAGTCCAAAGCTCTACCATTGCTGACAAACCTGAAGTTCCATCAATATTAGACACGAAATTAAAACCACAGTCAGAAACAAATAATAATGTTGTGGCTGAAACTCCAACATTTACATTTACACTGCCCACTAAAAAATTAGAAAATAAAATTGACACTCCAAAGGAAAAGACAGATGAGGCTCCAAAAATGAATTTCACATTTGGTATTCCGAAAACGATACCAACAAGTTCAGCGGTTGCAGCGAAATTGCCAGAGACCAACAAAATTTCCGAGGAAGAGAAACTTCAAGAAGTTCCATCAGTTGACTTGAACGCACCCATGCAGAGTAAACCACAGATGCCTGTACTGACTCAGGTAAATAACGAAAATAAGTCGTTACTACCTACTACGAGCTTATTTAATCCATTAGCTAACGACACAAAGAAGGAAACATCACTTAAATCTGCTGTTGCATTGCCAGAAGCGGCTGATACTCAGAAACCAAAACCAGCATTTTCGTTTGGTTTGTCGTCCAATACAAAACTATTTGAACCTCCGGCAACTACGGGTACATCGATGAATTTGTTCATGCAGCCGTCGCAAAGTACGACGCTACCAACAACTAGTGCACCCACATTGTCAATGTTTAAACCGGCTGAACCCAGCGCAACTGCGACATCGTCATCATTATTTCAACAGCCTGATTTAAACAAACCTGCTGCATCTCTATTTCAAAGCAAAGAGGCTACTAATATTGCTACACCAGCACTAACGCAGGCATTAGCACCGACACCGGCACTGGCTCCGGCTTCGACTCCGTCACCGGCTCCATCACCGGCACCGGTACAAGCACCAGCAGCGGCACCGGCACCCGCACAGGCACCGACATCGGTACTGACAGCAGCGCTGGCACCAGCGCCAGCACTGACGCCAGCAGCAGCGCCGACACCAGCAGCAGCGCCAGCAGCAGCGCCGGCACCAGCGCCACTTTTCAGTTTTGGCAGTAATGCAGCTAGTAATTCTTCGGCTTCAGCATCACTCACGTTACCTACTGCTACAGAAAAACCTAAATTTCAATTTACATTTGGTAATAACGCAACGCCTGCAAGTAACCCACCTCCAGCGTTTAAGTCACCGTTCGGAGCGGCTGAAAGTACCGTTAATACGAATACTTTTAATTTGTCTGCTGGATCTTCGTTGGGTTCTACCAATAACCTTGCTACTAATAGCTTTGGAGGCAGCAACGGTTTGAATGCCCCTAATGGTCTTACGGGAAATCCTATGATGGGAAATACACTTTCTGCTATGCCTGGAAATTCTCTTCAAACGAATAGTTTAGCAATGGGCACCGCCAATACATTAGGTGGTAGCAGCAATGGCTTATCTACAAATCAACAACCAGCTAGTATGCAGGCGGGAAACTCTTTAACCGGAGGTGCAACGGTCTTATTCAATAACACCGCGCCGAAAGAAAACATGTGGGCGGCGGGTAACAATACCTCGACCCCGAACCTGTTTGTGTCCAACGCATCGACCAGTAGCTTACAGAAGCCGGCGGCATTCACGTTCGGTTCATCAACACCGTTCAATGCTGGTAATAACGCATCGCCGGCTTTCGGTGCTGCCGCGGCACCTCCGCAAAATATTTTCGGTATGAACAACCAGAGTAACAACGCGCAGCCAAATCTCTTCTCGAATTCTGTTCAAAGCCCGCCATCAGGAAACATGTTCGGCTCGCCACAGCCCGCCAGTAATCCCACACCACAGATTCCCATGTTCGGTTCACCAAGCATGGGTGCAACTCCAACCTTTGGCTCGCCCAATCCATCTATTCCTTCATTCGAGGCCCCGTCGCTGAACCCAGCACCAGCACCTGCATTCACCTTTGGTTCTTCACAAGCGCCTACGACAGGAATTTTCGGATTTGGACAACAGGTAATTATTGATTTTATTTTTTACACTTACTTAATATTTATACATACGATTATTATGAAATTGAATATTCGTGGCAAAAAGTACACGTCATTAAACTTCATATTACCAATATGGGCTATAAACAACTGGAATACTATATTCCGAAGAAAAAAATTGAATTTGTAACCAGTAATTATCGCAAACAATATTTTTATTTATAATTGTGCTACATTTCAACTGTTATTTTTCTTCTTCTTATGATGCCATTTCATTGCTGGCCGTCAGCTTTTTGAATTGGTCCTTATCAGTTGTTCCACTAAGCTGATTTGGAGCCGTCCACTTCCGAAAATTGCGCAGCCACGACTTATCCTTCGCTTCTCTTCCCTTCCACCTTACTCATCATTATAAGATGAAGTAGCATGTATCTTTCATGTGTCAGTACGTGATCGACATATTCGTATCTTGCGCCTTTCAAAGGTTTGGATCATTTTGCGTGGCATGTGGACGCGCTGAAGCACGGTATCGTTCCTGACCTTTTTCGTCCGACTTATGCGTAACATGCGACGGTAACACCAAATTTCAAACGCCTTTATGCGTCTGATGGTGTCATTTTTTAAGGTCCATGCTTTGCAACCGTACATAACGACAGGCCAGACGTAGCACAGTAGTGTCCGAACCCGAGGCTTTATGTTAAGTTGACGATAGCAGAGAACTTTTCTCATGTTGACAGAGGCTCGGCCAATTTGTATTCGGGATTTATTTTCTTAGTCTGATACCCATGCTTCATTACTTCTTCGAAATAGATGTTCCATGTGTCTATACTAGGTGTTTTAAGCCTTTCCGATCTCTTTTAGTTAGTAGATTCTTTTTCTTCCATACATTTAGTTAATAGATGTGGTGTAGTGATCTGCAGCCCATTGGTTGTTGGCGTTGTGCACTTTTACTCCTGTCTCGGGTTCGACAAGTTTGCGTACATTTGACTGTCTGTCTTTCCCTTTTGGCTGTGTCTTCTTCAACTTCACCTTATGTCTATCACTACTTTGGTCAGTGGTACAAGGTTTGTTGCGGTCGGCTGTATGCAGTGGCGATGTCCATGTATAAAGCCGACGTGGTGGCAGCTTGAATTTAAAGGGGGTGGTCGTTATTACAGGCTCATTGTTTGACAAAATTCTATCAGCACATCAATTCTGTCATTACGGCCATAAGCACACGTCACTCCAGGAGCTGTAGCCAAATGCCATTTAGCGCTGCAAGCAAGCTAGCAATCTACATGTAGAATAGAAAACCAAATTATATGGAATTGACGTAAATTTTGACACTTGTTAGTGTCATTCCCATACTTTCAGTTTTTTACTCTCTCTAAAGTGGCGTTAAAGTGGCGTTTGGCTAAAGGCACAGGTACGACAGTCGAGCCTACCTTTATATCGCCTATAACGATGACTACCTCATGACTCTCCGTGGCTTTTAGTATGGTATCAATATCATTGTAGAGTGCCTCAATTTCGGTTACGGCTTTGCCTCCAGTAGGTGCATATATCTGCACAATGTTAATGCTGCATGGCTTGGCTTCCAATCTGATCAACATTCCTCGGTGAGACAAGAGAAAAAAATTGTCACAGATCTAAAAAATTCTTTAGTAAGCAGAATTTCCCACACTATTGTTCTGATAGTTGATAATTTCCTGAATAGTATCGTACATAGTCGAATGTCATGTACTTGCCTTGGCCGGGTCGGGTCCGGGTGTCTATCCGTAAGCACGTCATTTCTTTAATCACATTGGGGATCTTCCAGTCTTGTTTCATACTTCTCATATTCCAAATGTTTTCCGCCCCGGGATTCTTAGCACTCCTGTCCTATTAAAGTGACGCTGGTAAAATGGCTTTCATTGAGTTTTTTATAAAGTTGACTACTGGGGAATAATAGTGTACTGATTTCCCGTTGCCTTCTGCACTACACCTTTTTAACCTTCAGTTTGCTGAAACCTCTTCCATCCAGTTTCTTGGCTGGATGTGTAATGGTTATACCGTCACTGCTTCACCAGAACAACACGCCGACGCAGGGCGCTAGCGGCAGGTGACGTTGACAACAGGGCCGGATGTTATGTTCCATTCCCCCCACTGTGATCAATACCTACTTATTGATATTCTTTCTCTAATTTATTATGACTAGAGTATGAAACTCATAGTTAGTATATAGATCCACATAAAACCGTACTTTCTTCTTATATGTCTGGGTTCCGAGATCTGTAGTAGAACCATATGCACATTGTTATCACCACACCACAATACCACCAAACATTTCATTGTTGTTACAATTATTTGTTGATGTTCCTTGTGATAATTAGTACTGTGCATGGTATGTGTTATCATTATTATGATACGATTATCTATGAATAATTATGTGTCTGGCAGTGTTGGGCAAATTGAAATGTAACTACTGATTACTAATTATGACTACTTAAAGTAGTTAGTAATCATGATTACAGATTACGTTAAATATCGTAAAAAGTAGTTAAACATTTTGATTATTAACTGATCATTGTAGTTATAATAATGATTACGAGATTACTTATATGAAACGCATATTTAAAATAATATTGCGTTTATTAAAACAGCTAAAGCAAGTCACAAACGCAGTTAAAATATTACATTTGTACGTGTACTTAAGGCTAATTTTAATGATTAGCTCAATTGACATATTTTTATTTTAGTTGATTCGCAAATTACTCAAATTTAATTAAAAAAAAGTTGTGAATTAAACTGAAGATTTTTTATGCAGTCAGATCTGCAAACTTATAGAATAACACATTACAATGTTTATTTAATATCAAACTACTAGATTCCAGTAATCAAATTAATAACTACTTCATGTAGTTAGATTACTTTGGTTAAGTTACAGACAACTATATGTAGTTAACTACTTATAATCGTATTTATTATTCAGAATCACAAGATAGTAGTTAACTACGCCCAACACTGGTGGCTGGTAGTGGGGAATAATAACAAATACAAGTAAACATCTGATATTAATACTGTAACGTTAAAGCTTAGCACAAAAGTAATTGGATGGGTATCAACTTACAGCAGTCGCATATGCAGCTGCCGTCGATGCAACAGCAGCACATGCCGCAGCAGTCGGGCGTGTACAGCTTCGGTGGGGCTCCCGCCGGCGCGCCACAAGTTCAGTTCAACATTGGTGCCAATGGAACCAACACCGCCGTCAGACGCGTTCGTAAAGCTGTTCGTCGGAATCCACAACGATGAAATTTACTTCGGCTCTAGCACGAAATGGACTGGGTCCAGTAAGTGCCCTGTATAGTTAAATTGTGAGAACTATAAGGATAAAATCATCCTAGACAGTGAATTAACTAAGTTATAAGGTAGCCAGTAACATTGTTGTAAATTGTATAAAATTTAAAAAAAATTGGCTGTAGTGACAATTGTGTTACTTTAAAAATATTTTTATGTTTAAAACTTTTAATTCTGTCTTAATCTTTCTCTTGACCATGACTCTAAAATGGGTCAGCACTGAGTCTAAAACCAGTTTTGACTAATTTTCAGTATTTATTCCGAATATACTTACAGTTTCTTAGACTTTTATCATTTGACAATAATTATATCAAGGTGAGATGATCATTGATTTAGTATTAGTCTGATAATACTTTCAGTAGTAAATAAACTTGAAACATTTCATCCAAAGCTAGAAAACACAACTATTATATAGTGTAACTAATGCCTTCTTTTATAATAGATTTGCCGCCATAGTATTTCACGCTCCTGAAGAGATTACTAGAAACTATGGTATATAGGGAACGCGTCTCCCTCGCCTCCCTCGTCTCTCTCTCTCTCTCTCTCTCTCTCATGTCGTCAGTCGGCCCTACACGACCGTTTACGTAACACGGTGCGCATGGGTACCTAAAATCCTCTTATCTGATTCTGTTATTGTTCGACGCAATGAATGCGACGTGACCTGATAAAAATATACAAATTGACAATTACTAAAAAAAATCTAAAGCATCTTACTTTGATAATTATATTGTTTATAATGCACAATGTGTATACGATCTTGAAATATCTTTTCTATAGTATGGACTGGATTTGTAAAATTTTCATGGTGAACATATTTTTTACTTTTTTTAAACTATTTTATTTTAAGTAGGTATGTGCATAAGTCATTTGCTATTATATATTTTTATAATATCACAGCCTTTGTGAACTCTACATGAAAAGAGTTGTAGATACGGTATTACTTGTAGATTAATTAGAATAGTACGTTCATTGCTGGTTGATCGATATATACAGGTGTATGTTGTTTTAAACACAAAATATTTAAATATATCAAATATGTAGGGTATGTATCAAAATACTTTAATACTTCGACTCGCATGTTGCAAAGTAATTTTTCAGACTAATAGGCTTGTAAGATGAGTGATGAAAACCAGATATATATATCTTTCACCACAATATTCACGACATCATAATAATAATAATGTTAAGGAATAGATAGAATATAACATAGCTTACAAATAAACATTACTTGCTGTCGCATAGGTTCATAATAATTATACTATAGGTCATCCCCGCCCATGATAAGAGAAACCAATTCCTTTCTGCAATTATCTATTACACTACAGCGGTTACAGAAACCATTTGATGCAATTGAATCCATGTGATGTTAACCTTCAACTACCGACGTGGGTATTTTTGTATCACTAGTACCGACGTGGGGCCTGAGAGGCCGCATATTAAACACTGAGTGGTATGGAAAATATGTAATATAGACATCTATTTTTTAAGTTTTATTGTTAATTTGGGATCTATAAATGAAAACAAAGACAATTATTATAATCAACTTTATTAAACTTTAAAATTATATGATCTTTAATCTTTGACTCCGATTCTAAACTTAAAAATAGTACTTCCCGAAATAAAAATAATTAAAAAAATAATACTTCTTAGGAACCATGAAATAGACTTTTTCTTAAAGGTTATATCTATTAAAAAAGAAATTAAAGTTAAATTGTTTTTAGCAAATAGAAAAATGTCCAACAACAAAGTTACTCACAATTAGGGCAGATTTGTTTAGCGCACTGTAAACAAACATGTTTTTTACATGAGTAACATTGGTATGTAGATTTTCTATTTAATTTAGGCGGACAAGAGGCACATATTTTTCTTGTTTATTCTTCTTTTGCTTGACCTTGTTCTGTGTTTGGCATATCAGGACCGAGTATTCTCTCTAAACTCATACGAAGTTCACGAGGCAAGCGAACTCAACTTGGAAGTGGGTACTCGTAAAATAATATTATGTTGTGGTGTTCTCACTGAAGACCGGTTAGGAGGAGATTTTGACCACTTATATTTATTTTTTCCTCTAAAATAACAAAGCCTAGAAAGCGGCACATCTTCGTCATCTGACGAGGAACAGGAAATATTTTCCGTCTGAAGTAATGGCTGAGTTGTAGTTTCAGTATCAGATATATCAGTATCAGTACCTGTCTCATGATCGATGATTTCTGGTCCGTAATCTTCTCCGATATCATCTACCTCCGATCCGCTGGAGTCTTCTGCAAGCAAGGTTTCAACCAACGCCGCGTTATTTTCATCCAACAGATTTATAGGACGCCGTGGTCTTTTGGAAAAACGTAATTCATCCGTAGGTAAACTACGTTTATCCCTGATTTCCTGAGGCCGCGTCGTAATTTCAAAACAACATAACTTACCGAAATTGTGTTCGCCGGCACTGCTACCACACTCAACGGCGTCGGCGCAACTAAACTCGCAGCTACTGACGAGCACGGGGCTCACCTGCGCGGGGAAGCGGTAAAACTAACAACTTGTCAACCCGCCGCGGCCTCTCAGGCCCCACGTCGGTACTTAAAGGTTAATAGATGTTGAAAATTTTTCTAATGAAACCTAATTGTCATTACAACCATTTGTCATTTGAGTTTCAAGTTTGGTCCCAACCAATCCCCATTGCAGATAACTTTAATTGAATGTAAAACATTTGTCAAACCAGTAATATAATAAAGTATATAAAATTATGTAAGGAAATTGGGGTGCTAAAAGTTTTATATAAATATAAAAGGATAATAATGTATTTATGATCACAGCCCACGTTTTAATTATTTCCTGAAAAAGTTTTGATTTGTAAATTTTGACAAATACACATTATTTTTTACTTGATACAATTAACTTGACATAAAATAAATTTTTGTGTTAAAACGTATGACTTTTGATTTGATTGTTAACAAGAACATAGAAGTCAAAATATGCCTTTTTATAGCTGGACAAGCGAAAAGTAATAATATAATCGTTCTTGATTATTATTCAGTTTTAAATCCTGCATATTCATAAGCTGATTTAATGAGGTGGATGAAAGTGTCAGAAATTTTAAGTTACTTTTAATGCCATAGAGATGCATCTACTTGGCCACCATTTTACTTCCAATCTATTTAAAGCTATTTAATATGAAATACAAAAACATATAATGATTTTAAATATAAAATTGATGAATGTTATCACATTATATGAATATAATACTTTAAACGTTAAAAACTAAAAAAAACATTAAATAAAAGTTGATTAATGAATGTTGATTGTATAGGTTTGACAAAGTTATGTGCAATGTTGTGCACATTTGTGGAGATCCCTGAATCCCCAACAATCCTCAAATTCCTAACCCCTAAAAGTCCAGTAACGCACTTGTAAGTTGTAACGCCTCTGGTGTTCCAGGTGTCCATGGACGACGCCGATTGCTTACCATCAGGTGATCCGCCTGCTCGTTTACCGGCTTGTCTCATAAAAGAACGGTATGTGTTTGTACACATGAAAGTGAATTCTCAACAACATACATTTGTTTTGTTATGTAAGTCTTAGCATGCAAGTTTTAAATTATTATTGTACATTTTTACCGCATAGAAATTGTTTGGAAAATACTGTATGTATCAGTTTTATAGTCATTTTGTGAAACAACAAATAAATCTGCTTTAGAATGTAACTGGAATAGAATTGTATAGAAATAATTTAGACTTAAATAAATATTTCAAATGATACCTGGTATTTGTTAAACAAAAGTTGTAAGGCCAATAAATAACATGATACCAAGCACACTAACTGATTTACATTTTAATTAGCTTTATATAATTGTATAAGTATTTGCCTTTTTGAGAGTAACAGATGACCTTGTGTTGTAAATATCGCACTTAGAGAAAAGACAGTAATCAGTGATCACTAGTAGCTACCTGACGACAGGTTTGTTAGGATAGTTTATTCACAAAACTAGCATTCAATGCGCACTTTTTAAAAATATCAAATTACTAGTTTTAAGTACCAATTACACAGGCTGTCACATTTCTCAAACAAGTAGACGTGTTACTAAACTATGAGGTTGTAGCAATAGAGTTCCTAATAACATTTGTCATCTTACCAGTGAATGAATCGAATCATTACTTACACTTTGTATTGGCTAAGAAAGCTATAGACTCTCCGAATAAGCAATATTGTCTCTCAATGTACCAATAATGTTATTTTCATACAGTACTTGATGTGCATTACTTTCAATAAACAATAAACTTTAACTGGTATTATAGATTTTAGGTTAGTGATTAAGCTCTGAAAAATATTAATTATTGTCATATACTTAGGGAAACGTAGGAACCATATTAACCTGGTAAGCTACTACTGTAATAAAATTATTATTTAATCCATTCATTTCCGTAAAACATAAATATTAAGACGAGTAAACAATAGGATCGCTTTACTAAGTAAAATGTTTGAATTAATGAAAACTTCTAATAGAATCTGTTGTATAAATCACATGTCCATGGCAATGTAATAGCAATGATGTTCCCTTTAATATTTCTGACTTGATTCCTTGAAGGAGTAATATGAAAGCTGGTCTTTCTGATAAAAAATTCGAAAAAATTTAATTATACAGGGTGTTCCGAAGTTCGATTCAAAGCTTGAAGGCGGCATTGAGGTCTTCAGGCTTCGCAACGACATTTCACACAGCATATATATAATATTTATTATCTATAGTACTTGTACCACTATGAATAAAATCAGAAAAAATATTTAATGTATTTTTTACAAATAATGTATTTATTGAGTTTCGGATGAAATATTACGTTTCAATTATGATGACGATGTCTCAACCGATTGGGCTGATAGACATATTGTGTGGTTGACAATGCTTGCTTACTTATGTGACATTATAAAATCAATAAAGACTATTTTTTTTTTTTTTGTTAAATTCTATTACGTAATGGTATTGACACTGAGTGATATACAAAAGTGTGTATTGGAGATTGTGATGACGTAATTTCACCTAGGTTAGGTACCAGTAGTCGGTTACACGCAAAAACTAGCACATCGAGTCAGTACCAATAGTCTCATAGCTGTAAGCGTACGACTACGTCCAGTTTGTTCATAGGTAGGCGTGCTCCATCGTCGATCACATCTTACAGGCGAGTTCGTGGGCAAACGCCTTCCTATTCTCTGACTTTTAAAACTTCATACGCAACCATACACGTTTAGTATCGCATTTGATTATGTACAAACCTTTTCTTATAGGTGAAAATTTAATAAAATAATTTGTTATTGGGAATATATTTTTAAGTGCCAACTTCATTGTATTTTGTAAGCCCCATAATATAAAGCCTCTATTTTAAGTTCGTTATGTTTGCTGGTCTTTATGAAATGTAAGCCAAAATTTCGATGTGTTTGTTCTCATTAATTTTTTAATATAATATAATACGTATAAATTAAGATAAGTTTACGTTTAATTTAATATTGGTTTAACTGTTCAAACCGCGATACTTGTCCGTAGTTTGAGTAATGAACTGGATCAAATTATCACAAACTATTGGTAAAACACCTGCACCATTCCACATTAAATATTTTGGTGAACTCGTGGCAGTTGCAGCAAATAATCCTACGAGGATCCCCTTAATTTAGTTTTATAATATGAAGTTTTAAGGTATTTTTAGCAAGAGTTGTAAGTCGATAAACTGGTTTCAACAAGTGAAATAATGTAGTAACGTTCGATTTTTTGCTTCGGATTTTGTTCGTTGACTGTAAATATAGTTAAATATAATTATGTCAACATGTTGTGTAGTCGCATTTGGAAGTCTTGTATTCTTATTTTTTTAGCATTAAAATAAAAAAAGTCGACGTGTCCAAATGCCAACTACACACAGTCATTTAGTGTAAAGTATAACTAATGTGTACTGTAAACAACACTATCAGTGGAAAATAAAATAAATGTTAATGGAAGATTGGGGAGCAAAACTAACTGTATACTAGACGGTGTTCTGAATAAGAGTAAAAAATGTTGATATTGATTGAAAAATTGTTGATAATATATAAAATGCCTTTAGATTTGTTCCTCAATGAAAATGGCCATTAAAAAAATTAAAGTACGATTTTTATTTCTGCACAACCTTAACAATGAAATGTTTAAAAATAATGGTGTCCCTACCAGAGCATATAAGGAACAATATAAAACAACGATTCGATCACACTCATTTCCAAAAACTAGTAAAAGCCCGTCATGTAATGTTGAATAAAAATTAAGTTTGTCTTGAAACTAGGGAAACCGTTATATAAAAGTTAAACACGTACCATAGTGTGGCTAGAATGTGTTCATCGGCGGTATTATGACAGCTCCTATTGTCCTTTCTATTTTGCTTAGGAACACGTGCTTGTGTCCATGCCCTGCAATAGATCGGTGAGTATATAACTTGTATCGACCTACACCTGGCCACACAATCACTTTTTTATAGCCCGGAGGCCTATCGTAAGAACTATTAAAACCAAATTTGTATTGTTCAAAAGTAGTCGGTGGCGTCGGAATATAGCGCGTGGGTCCAGGGTCCTGTGCGCGACGCGGGCACATCGCCAAGTCGACCAGGGTGTTTCGACCTCTGTGGGGCTTACTTCTGCTGGTTTTATTCAGCTCGCCAAAATGTGACTTCTTATATTTCTCTAAACTGCCTTTTAGGGCGATTGGCCAAGTGGCTGCAGAACACTTGAGAGAAGTGTTAAAATGATTTTTAATCGTACTTTCGTCTCGTTTACCAGTAAATAAATCGTAGGGACCTCGAATTGATATGACCTTCTTTGATTTTTGATCGATACAATCTTTATCGATGATCGTATAGCGGTTCGGGGCATGAGACCATTTAGGTGATGTGTCCTTAAACCTGCAAGGTTCTTCTCTTTCGAATGTCGGTCGTTTGGAATGCGGTCCATATGGAGCTTTAAATGGAACCGTTTTGTAATAGGTCCCAGGATCGGGGACGGTTTGTTTCGTCGGTTTAAATCGAGCAGTCCTTCCAAAGCCGACGTTCATACAGGCTGGTTCATATTTAGGGAGCTCCGTAACTTCGTGCCAGGCAGGTCCTAATAATGATCGGTTCCATCGTCGCTGTTCTAAGACTTTTTGGTTTCTGTAACCTAAGTTTTTCGCCCATTCTTCTAATTCGTTCTTGTATCTCCACGGATCTTTATCAATTTTTTGTTTGTGAGTAGCTTCGCATAATAGATATATGGGAATTGGATGATAGAGGCAGGGATCACATCCATCGGGTCGTGTTGCGTATAGGCCGCTGGGGTCTAAATTTGGATGGCCAGTTACTCGACCAAACCTTTTACTCGTAGAGTTGAAACCTATGTTGTTTTTTGATGTGGTTACTACCATTTTACTAAAATATGTTAAAGGATGGATATGTAAATTGGTTTTCCTACGAATAAATAAGAATAATATAAATGTAATTTACGATTATAAAACGGAAAGTAGATATTTCAGAAAACTGTTTAAAATTTTTATGAACATTAAAATGTCTAACATTTAAAATGACTTGTGATTGTTTACGCAGGTTTCTATTGTGACATGTTGTCATTGTGACGTTTCTCATACATAGGTACGTTCATGGTACGTTGGTACGTCCTTGTTATGTATCTATATAATAACTCATTGTAGGTAGCTACCTCATTCCTCATAGACCTATTCGATTTTTATCCAACCCACCAGAACTTTTTCCACAATACAGAACTCTTTATGCAAGTAGCTATATTGTCGCGAGACGAACTCCGGCACGGGCCGTCGGACGGCGAGTACGGTGACGTCAGACGGTGACTCGCCGCCGGACCAGAACCAGACTCGAGCGTACGGCGCGTGGTGATCCACGCGCGCCTCCAAGACCTATTAGATCACCACAGATGGGGCCCAGTAGGGCTACTGAGGTACCGGGCTGTTCCTACTCGGGAAGTAGGAACAGCCTCACCCGGGCGGGAGAAGTCATTGGATGCCTTTCTCCCCTCTATAAAAAGGTAACAACAAAGTAAAAGTAATTGTGTATGTTGTTGCTCATACGCACTTAGATACTGATGTCAAATAGGTACAAGTACCTATAAGGACATTCAAAATATAGGTACCAAAACGTAGGTATTTATTATTTTACAGGACGTTTGAAAGATGGGAGCAGAGCATGTGGGCCTGGATAACTGGCTTGCACCATATCGATATCTAGAACATTTTATTTTTTACTAGCTTTTACTCGCGGCTTCCCTCGCGTCACAAAAGCATAAAAAGTGGCCAATGTGACATATACCAATACACATAGCGCCGTCTATACCAATACTTTTGTTTTCCCTCGGGTACCTATATCAAATTTTTCCGGGATAAAAAGTACCCTATTATCTAAATCCGGACTTCTAACTTTACGTCTGCATAAATTCAAGGCAATCAGTTTAGTAGTTACAGCGTGAAAGCGGAACAAACAAACAAACTCACTTTCCGATTTATAATATTAGTAAGGAGTAAGGATATTAGTAAGGATTATTCAAACAAAACAAGGCAGAATTATTCATCAATACATATCTACATAATAATATATCATCACTACATAGCATAAAACAAAGTCGCTATCCGGCGTCTATCTGTCCCTATGTATGCTTAGATCTTTAAAACAACGCAATGGATTTTGATGCGGTTTTTTTATTACATAGAGTGATTCTTAAGGAAAATTTAAATGTATAATACATGCATTTTGCACCCGTGCTAAGCCGGGGCAGGTCGCTAGTCTATACATACTTATAATTAAATTGCAGAAGTGTAAATTCTGTACACCGTTGCGAGCGCACGTAACGGGACGCGCCGTATGCTCGGGTTTGGTTATGGTCGGGCGTCGAGCTACCGATGCTTGCCGTCAAGCAATCTCCGATTCTCCGAGTGGACTGCGACGGCTGGAGCGTGAGGAGGTTCGTTCCCTCACGCGTCGTGCCTCCTCCTATGCTATATAGATTAGGTTTTGCTTTTGAGGAGGGATAATCAACGAATGACTCTTCTTGCGAGAGGGTGGGTGGGGTGAGCCAACTTGGATCCTGGATGTGGCAATAGGAAGTGTCAAATTCTTCATCACTTGATATAAATCCCCAAAATTTGTTCATAAAAAAGTAGTCTCTAAACATCTGAAATAAGGTGTATAATGTAGTTAGTGGAGAGCGATCACCGGTGAGCCCTTGGGGACCCTGTGCTTGCAGGGTAGCGGTGTAGCAGGGTTGCGGTTCAATATCAGCAAGAAGGGCGTGATTGACAATAACACTATTGAATACTTACATAATATTTCTGTCTCCTATGTAACCGTATTTTCCGTGAACTAACTTCCTCGTGTAAAGTTTTCATCGCGGCTTTGTTTGTTACTACATCTACGATCTAAGTGACAAAACAATGTTGTAACATTGCTAAAGTTCCTGCGCGCTACGTTGAGTTTGATTTTGAGTTACATGAGAAGATGCAGGTGCTCTATTTGCTCTTATTTTTCTTTTATGGTAAAAGAAACTAATTCTAAGGTGTATTTTCATTGAATTTTTCTTCTTATAGGTAACATAACACTAGTGACGGCACGGTAAAAATATTTTAGCATACCTACTCGTCTCGTGGGTACCTATTGTAGGAGTTAATTAAAGGTGGATACATTTGTCAGAAACCGCGTGCCAGCGATTTTGAAATCTGTGCCTTTGAAACTGCAATCTTGAACTCGTCTGCTTAGTATAGAGTTACGAAGAGGAGGCCTGCTAGGGCAATAGTGAACTATCAGGTTGTTGTAATGATAACTAGTGACCAAGACAGTTGCAACATCTTCTTAATAACACTTTTATACAATTTTATCTATATAAGTAATGTACCTAGGTAATATATTTAATTGACTGCCTCATTGTCCAAGTAGTCGCAAGTGCGACTGCCGGGGCATGGGGTCTCGGATTCGATTCCCGGGCGTGCAAAGTATTACTGAGCTTAAAAAAATCTCAGTAGTAGTACGGACTCTGGAATTGTGTAGTAGCCCGGTATATGGTAATAGGCTCACCCCCAATTACATGAAAAGTGGTTGTTACATTGTACAGTGGCATTAAGTGCCGTAATGTGCACCTCTGCCTACCCCTTCGCCTCAAAGAGCCATCAGACCACCACAGATATAGGCCCAATAGGGCCGATGCTGATTCGGAGTCGCGGAGAACCTAACGGGTAACCGGGGCTCCGGCTCGACGTGCAGGAGAAGGAACGGGGTGGTTTTTAGTCAGTAAGAGTCTGACACTCCCTTCCGCCTCACCCAGGCGGGAGCAGTCATTCGATGATTTTCCCCCCTTAAAAAAAAAAAAACCCTTCGGGAATAAATGGTATAATGCTATGAATTATGATGAATATAATGTACCCATTACTTCCGAATGCACAGACCTTGGTATTGGCCGTGGCTATGCAGCTGCACGTGTAAATAAACAGTAGGTACCGATGTCAATCAAATAACACGTCCTCATTACGCTCCCCCTTCTCCTCTATACTTACTTTTTTATTTATTCTTTTATGTACACAATTTGATTAAATAAATGTACACAATTTGGCTTAAGTAGAAAATCTTCGAAAAATAAGGTACCTATACACGGAGAATAAATTAAGAGCAAAAAGTAAAATATTATATAAGTTATACATATATTTTAAATAATAGCAAATATATTACTTACGTTGTAAATAAAAATGATGCAACTTACCTCAGAATGTGATTTAAATCTTAATTCGTTATTATTATTGGTACTGTAAACGTAGACACGATTCAAAACTATAATAATATTTTTTCAGTAATTGTATCTTCTTCTAAAGTCAGTTCTCATTAAATTGCTGTCCGTTCTACTCTGGGCTTATTGAGAAAAGGATGTACCTGTGTTTAGTTATGAAAACTTAATTAATACAATCCATCTAAGTACTATTGTGCATTTTCTATCGCTTATACCACGGGGAGTGCTCTGAAGAGTTGTTTGACCTGATACCTGCCGCATATGCATCCCCATTATATAGATGGTTGGCAGGCCACAACTGTGCTCTTCTCACGCAGCTTTCTGCCTCGCACAGCAAAACTGTGGAATGATCTGTCGTCGGCGGTATTTCCGAACTGATACGACCTACAAACCTTCAAGAAAAGAGCGTACTCCTTTTTAAAAGGCCGGCAACGCACCTGTGACTCCTCTGGTGTTGCGGGTGTCCATGAGCGGCGCTGATCGCTTACTATCAGGTGATCCGTTTGCTGGTTTGCCACCTATTCCATAAAAAAAGTAATATAAGTTCGGGTGTAAAATGATAGGCAATTACATAAATCCAGCTTTAAAAACTATGTGAGACGAGGCAGGAACATATGAGCATTAATATTTTTGTCATATTATTATCTTGTCAACAAAAATATTCTGTACACCAGCTTTGTAAGTTATAAAAATTAGTGCTTGCTATGCTATGCGAATTTGAACTCTATTTTTGGACGGGTGTTTGTTTGTAGTTAGTGAATTAAGATGAATACAAGTCCAGGGCAGTCTAGTGCAGGGCACTATTATATGATTTGCGCAACCGTGTTCTGACTGCCTATGACCAACGAGCTGGTCCGCGCGATGCATTGGTAGTTATGTATGCACCCATTGACTAAGTAGTTGATTGATGATTACGATGTCCCAGGTTCGATTCCTAGGGCCGGTAATGTTGCATTGCTTATTTTACTGCAAGAAGTAGAATTATGCCCGGTGTATGAGAAAAGATTCCTCGATTTAGGTATGTACTTCTAAATAATGAATAGGTATTTATTAGATAAACCCATACATGTCATCAACGGCCTACAATTTTGAGTATTAATCACCACGTTTGCTCCAGTGACTCAATGCGGGTTGGCAATTTCAACCTTAAAGTTTTCCTTCACCGTATGTTAGTACGTGGTATCTAAATAATTTTAGAAAGTACATATAGCTCGGAAAAAGCCACGTCTTAGACTACGCCGGGTCTCTTGAGGTCCATAATGATTTGACACCCTTTTGAAATGTTTTTTTTGTTATTTTTGTTAACTTTGCCCCACACTACAATTTTCACCTGCATCGTGGGTGCATTTACAAACATAGAAATTTACATACACGTGACACCGAGACTCGAACAACACTTTGTGTGTGGAGCTCACAAAGATTTGCTCTGTGTGGGATACGAACCCGTAGAAATTGTCGGTATTGGGGCACTGGGCATGTGCCTCGAGTGTTATGGTAAATACGTTACTATTGGTACTTGCCCTTGGTAACGATAGAGCTGCGCTCAAAAGGGGGAGGGGGTCTTAAACCTGCAGGCCACCACGACGGCTATCTCCATACAAATATTATAAAAATATCATAAATGTGAAA